CTCCAGCCCCGAAGACCAAGGGCAAACTTTGGCAATTACAGAATACGACTCCAGGTATGATTGCTGCTGCTGCTGTTGTTGTAAGTATTCATTTAATGTTGTATCTCTGAGTGTGCGCTGATTAATATTCCACTGATAGGCAATATTTGTTCTTTCAGGCGACAAGGATCTGTACGCGAAAGGCGAAAAAAGCAACATACTGTACCAACAATATCACAACTATTATCGCCAACGTCTAATGACTGGAGGTGCCTGGGCGCGAGACATCACAAACTTTTTCAACAACGCCCTCTTTCCCGAAACCTCATCCTCACACGCCACTCTGGATGTGGCAGATACCGGCACCTCCTACAACAGCTGGGAAGAGGAACTCGAGCGTGCTATGGAAGAGGGAGGTGAAGGGCCTGCTTTTCCATTTGATACGTCATCATTGCACCTCAGGCTATTGCGCAATCTTCCTCTGCTGCGCACCCGCCATCTGCCTCTGCTGCGCACCCGCCGCTGCTGCGCACCGCCATCTGCCTCTGCTGCGCACCCGCCATCTGCCTCTGCTGGCGCACCCCCATCTGCTCGGTCGCACTTACCAGCCTACTCTACTCCTGTCCACCACCCCTGAAACACTGCCACCTGTCTCTGCGACAGCTCCTGTCGTCTTGCACTCGCCTGGCTCCTATCATTGGGGGCACAAACTCACTCCTTTCTCGGCAATGCAAGATCTTGCATTGGCAGGCGAGGCTATTGTGGTTGGTGCTATCCCTCCAAGCCCCAAACCAAGCCAAGGCGGTCCAGGACGAAGGTTGCTGAGGTCCGCAGTTCTGGCCGCAAGAAATGAATTCTTTCTGATCACATGCTGTTTGTCTCAATCTTTTTTCTGCACGCTCAAATATCTTCTTTACTATGATACGACGTTTAGTCAGAATCACTACTAAATTAGGTTAGAAGTACATACAACCAAACAGCTGAATAAGCAGCTACATTTCCAGTCATGCCAAGTTTACCTCGTCTCTTGAAATCCAACTACCACAATTTCTCTAAGTCCATTGACAATCATTATATTAATCACTATGATTTTGCTCGACGTTGACGTCACTGCAGCTCTGAATCATCAATGTGCCTCTAGACTGGACCATCCACCAACAAACAACAGTCTAAGCAGCAGCGCAGTCTACTGTCTTAAAGGTACTGTTATTTGTTTTAAAAATTTATCCCTGCCTCTGACCTCACCATTGTCCACCCGCTCTCATTGCCATCACCACCAGTCTGTGAGCAGTATTAGGAATCTGATTCAGCAACAGCTCCAGCAACAACAGCAATAACAAAACAGGTATTTTTTTCATTTGAATTAATATTCTGCCTCTGACACTCCCAATTCAGATCTACACCCTCTCATTGCCGTCGCCGTTACTCCCAGCTGCCCTCGATCATTTCTGGCACTGGCGCACTCCATCATCATTATATCTTCCTATCCGCTCTCCTGCTATGTCTACCATACCATAAGCAACTAGTCTATTAGTAAAAACCATTTTGTATTTTGTTAGTTGAACCACCCGCAATTCAATTCTGAGAGTTTCAATGTGATTTCTATAGTTTGAATTTTACCGGTCGAATTGAAACTAGCGCTGCATGTTGAAATTCTCTTGAAATAAAAATAAATTATTGGAAGGCACCTTAGCGCTTGAAACTGTCTTTCGATGCCTTGCAAGGCATGTCACTTGGAATTTTAGCACTGCCTTGGAAGGCAGACACAAGACCAAATGGGTCACTGCCAACCGGCTTATGGCAATTTCGGGTGTTCTTGCAAGTCAATCGTAATGCTGCCGGCAAATTGAAGCCTTTCAATCTATTTTAAGGAATGGCAACCCAAAATATGTATTTCCAACATAACTGATTGGTTTAGCGAGCCTCCCAAGAACTCACACGTTATCTACCACGAAAGAAGAAAAGTCGTAGACCGTGTTAATCGAGGACTGGCAAGAAGTCTTATCCAGTGTAATTGTGGTGTCATTACATTCTTACACGTTTTCATATAAGACCCTCGGTTATTAAGACAGCGATGTTGAAGTTGTTGTGTTTCGGGGTCCTAGTTGGGGTGCCACTTGGTTGCGGTCCAAGAAGTGATTGGCTATCCGCTTTGGTACCACTTTTCTCCCATAGTGCGCTACCCGGTCCGATGCCTAGGTATTCCGTCCTCCCATGTCCTGCATATGTCCACCTACCTCCGCTGGTGCATTATTTTTCCTTAAATGTCGCTACTCATCAGTCGCAGGTCTTATTACATGTGTCCTCGTGTTCTGCAGCGCAGCATGTTTTATTACCTATTGCTACATCGTGCCCTCACCAGTGTCGCTACTATTCTTGCCTATGCATTCCTGAACCTTTACGCAGTATGATAAAATGTCCCATCACACATACAGTACAGTACTTCCCTTCCCCGGACCTTTGCTGGTGTCAGAGTCACTTTAGTCGCTATATCCTAGTCTTGGTGCAATTGATTCCGCTCTTGCCAATCTCTTTGATTGCATGTCGCTTGACTTGCTTTAAGTGTGCGTCGCTATAGTTCCCCCTTAAGTTTGACTTTCGCAATGTCAGATCGCTGTCGGTAGTCGAGCTATAATCTAGTCGCTATCGGGCATTTCACTTGCACTGTCTTACCTTACTCCTCGCTTTCGCTCCCTTTGATTTCTTCTCGCTGTCACTAGTCGGACATCGCATAGCGCTATCACATAAAACAACTTGCATAGTGCTTCTCACTTATAAGCGCGTTCTCTGTCAGAACTCACTTGTCACTTGTCGCTGATCGCTATAGCGCTACTCATCGGTTTTTGGTCTTAGGTCACTATAGGTTATTAGTCCTTCGCGCTATCACTCCCCTTGCATATTAGTAGGGAGTTGCTTCAATAGCAGTCCTCTTGGGTCAAATACTACACTCGCGCCTATTTGGATAAGTAGCGCTAGTTTCTAACCAGCCTAGTCACTATTTCTCTTTCACAACAGTATTTCTCCACTGTAGGAACAAAGTGGTTCCTGGACCAATAATCCACAATCTCATGATCTGTCCATCCTGTCGGAGAGAAAGAAACACTGTCCAAGGATATCAGTGTTAGTAGAGCACAATTATATGCTTATGTAGCTTACTTACCTGCCTACTTTATCTTTTAGATCTCAAATATCTGGGGCTGGTCCCTCTGAAAGGACAAACCATGATGGCATCTTAGCACACACACTCAATAATGGTTATGAGCTCTAGATTATTGCTATGGACCCAATAACGATCTGAATCTTCTGCAGAGAAAATGAATTTTGTGCCAGGATTTTTCCTTCCCCCACCCATTTGATTGCCTTTCTCATCCATATTCCAATGATGCTCTGGCGGAATTTTATTATGGTTATCATCAAGCTTCTTTCACATCTCAAAAAACTCCCCAATGGTATTCTTGTTAAAATTTCGAGCATGTTTTGGATCCAGTCCAGTGGCTTGAGATATACAAAGGGATGGATGACAACAAATGAAGCCATAATGCCACTTTCATGACAGGAGTCAGCCAGTTATTTCCTTAACAGATGCACACAACTTCACAGGGTGAATAGGAGTCACAGATGTGGATGCCAGGTTGCACCAGTCAGCAACAGTTTCCTCCTGTGCAGCAGATAATAATTGCTGGCTCTCATGGGCATGCTGACAAGACTTATGCACTCCCAAGCGTCGATCACTCAGTGTCTGACATGATACCTAGACCAGTTGAGTGAACAATCACATGATGAAATACAACTCACATTCTGTTCCTTTGCTGCAGCTGCAATGGATTTGTATAACCCATTTGCAATTCCCTGAATTGCAGCCTGAATACGCGACTCATAAGTCAGGTCTGACGAAGCTCGCAGCGTTCCTCATCTGCCGCTGCTAGACTTGCAAATGCGGACCAGCCCCATAGCCAGCAGCGCTGCATCGTTCAACCTCGTAATGAGTTGTATTAGACAGAGAATGATACCTATGTTGAGAATTTTGTGTTTAAGTAGCCAGAAATGCGAGTTTTGTGAAAGTGCCGACTTCTGTGGGGTGCCGATTGCAGCGGAAGGGATAGTACTAAACAAGGTCCCCGACTCCCCGATGAAGTTCAGTCCCATTCTAGTGGTACGAGGTTGCTGCCGGCGAAGCTCGGCCTTTATCTAATGTGAATTCACTAGTACAAACAATGGAACCCCAGTCTTTGGCAGGGGTTTCTAAACCACAGGGACCATTCTCTTGCTCATTCTCCTTCCCACTTTATCCGGTACATCTTCAAAGCGAACGGTAATGTCCTCGCTATTGTCTACTTCATTTCCATCAGCGTCGTGAAGCTGTGATTCAAGTCTTCCGCCAGATGCCGCGATGATAAGATGAATGGGATCAGAAAAGTCGAAAGATGGATCGCAGGGATGGATTGTTTCTCGGATGAGGCTGTACCCAGCGGTTAATATGGTAGCTGCCCCAGATCACGGTGATCACCACAAGCAGAAGGATATACGTGTAGGATTGGCTTCGCCAGCCGTACGTTGTGATATACATCGTGCCGTTCGTCGACCTTGCCATATTCGATGGAACTCCCGAAGCAGAGTATCCGGATCGAAGTTGCTAGATGCAATGCTCAATAATATCCACGGAATGCATGAAGGTCACTTACAGTGGAGGCGAACTCTGTAATACCGCGCCAGTAATCTTCCTGCAAAGAAATCAGTCATATTAATATTAGAGGAAGCGGAAGCAGTCACCAGTTCGCTGTACACAACTGATACATTGCTGGTACCGTACGAGGTCAAAAAGTCACCAATTGTATTCGAAGTCATGCCTTGGTTTGTCCCCGATTGATAAGCAATCACAGTTGCGATGTACTGAGAGAGAGGAAGATTTGGACTGCTTGTTAAACCAGAAGATGTACCAATCCGATCGACGGATACGATGCCTCTATTATAGGTGACGTTGACTGTGGTCAGGTAGGGAACAACCTCGCAAACGATCGTGGGCAGAAAGCTGTACTTGTACAAGCCAGACATAAAAACATCTGTAAACAGTTTACTCACAAGATACCGAACGAATATGACAAAAGACATACCAAACTTATATGGATTAAATGTCGGGGAGTTTGGGTAGGGACATACAACAACGGGGAGAAATCCCTGGGTTGCATTGTCCATCTGACCGCTCGCGTTGCCAGCGGTGAAGTAGAGCTGTGTATTTAAACCTGGGGCTGATTAGCCATGGACGACTTCATGGCAGAGACGAACGTACTTCCGGAACAATTCACAACGGCTTCCCACGTGAAAAACGTCAAGTTCAGTGGTCCTTGTGTCACATTCGGTTGGACAATAAATGTATTTTGACTGCGGTCGATCGGCTGGCATGTAACATTTGCTGTGACACCCTGCTGTGTAACAGTGTAGTTTTTCGCAATGCCTTGAGTGCCTACATCGCGTGCGTGCCCCCAGTCAAAAGTGGTATTAACCGGTACTTGTCCCCCAGAGAACGCCAGGTCAACGTCAGAACCCGATGGGTTTGATGATCCAGAGTACTCCTCTATCGCAGGAAGAACTCCACCTTTCAAGTTTGAAGTGAGCCCATCATCTTTGAGTGCCGAGGTACTCACCAGTCGACTGATTGTATGAAACTCCATTGAAGCTGAATATACTACTCGTTTGCACACCACCTTGATCTTCAACCGCAGCAATACCACTGAGGAGAGTCAAGACGTTGATGGTTTGAAACCCAGGTGCTTGTACTGGAACGGTTCCTCTTGAGGACCCCAACTATTGTTGACCATTGAAATTGAAACAGTGACATACCAGTGTTCGCTTCCTGGGCATTGAGGTCCGTACCCAACTGGTTTACAAATGCAGCAGATCCTAGATCTAGCTCCATTCCGAATATTGCCACAGGCCATTGGACAAGGGTGGGGAGGAGTAAAGTGTCCCAACTGTAAACCAGCGTCAAATATATCTCCGCTAGGTTCAGTGAGAATAGTGCATACCTCGTGTTCAGAAATGTAACCATCGCATAAACCACCAACGTGAGGGCCGACAGCTTGAGAAATCTCCATCGCGATTTGAGTACCCAGGTCGACTTGCTCAACGCTATTGCAATGCGAAGCTTGAGGAGTGTCATCGGCCCCGAGAGGTGGTGCCGAAACGCTTCTTTGATGGCAAATGTCAAGAACCTGTGCAATAACAGACGGGTAAGATTTCGGACCGGATATGTAGAGGAAGACGCACATCGAAGTAATGATGGACAAGGTAGTTGAGATCAGCATAACTATCAAGGTCAGCACGGTCGGGTACTCCAAGATCAGCTGAACGATATGATCAGGTAGTGCGAGAATCCCTGTGAACAATATTTCTCCAGCGAAGCCCCATGCAAAACCCATGATGACAGTCTGGCCGAAGATGGTCACGAGGAGCAGATTAGTGGGACTCAAGCACTATGAGAGAAAGCGTGATCGACGAGACCCCGCAGAACAATGGAGGATGGCTCACGATTTTGACAAAGTTTGCTAAGTGCATTTCGAAGGTAGAAACGTGGAATGGTGGTGAGGACGTCTGTCCGACATCTTAAGTATTGCTGCAGGGCGTTATGAACTCGGTGCATGTGTGCCACGGAAGGCGAGAAGCAAGCGAGCCTCGAATTGGGCTAGGTCTAGGTACCCTGCTGTCACCTGTGTGCGCTAGTAAGAAACAATGAACTATCAGACCTTCCTGGAGGAACGAAGAGGCTGCTTACCACCCGATTGGCGTGCTAGTACACGCCCCGCGGGTGTGCTGGGGTGCTGCCTTCGCAATTCATCAGAAACGTCACGGTGATGAGATACAACGAACCTACCGCCCCGTATTTGTTACTGTTTGAATTGGCAACACATCGAGCTGATTGGCGCACACATGCTGAAAAGGAAAGAGGAAACGAAGTCCATTAAATACGTAAACTTCAAGATGGGACCAAAGTACATACTACTTCAGTACTTGTAGCACGAATCAACAGGTCTCGACTACTGTACTTGGAGGCCCAACTGCGCAAGAGCGCTCCCAGTGACCGAATCTTCAAATCTCAGTCACCTATCATCCGTCGTACAGCCTGTACAGGCCACCGTTAAAAGGAACTGGTTATATTTACTATCATAGAGCAGGTTGACCATGGCTCTGCATAAGTTAACTACTCAGACACATGCTAGCGAGCTCGGCTAGGCGAGCCTATCCCTGCTATTCATTTGGCCTTCACATGCACATGCGTCACAGACGAACTCACTCCTTCCCGAAAGCTTCCATTTAAAACGAGTCGAGACGTGCTGTCTCGATACACTCTACTCTTGTTGTCGGAAATGAACTACATTCATAAATGTCTAAACTGAATATGGAATCAACCAACTACAGTCGACTCCCTCCTAACGCATACCAAGTACATGTACGTTTATTAAATCATGTGATTTCCAGGGGGGGCGGTACTGTCGGACAATGAAATCAATGTTGTACACCGGTCGATGGCACATTGGTCAATTGTGACGCTAAGTTTTACATGCGGAGCACCATCCACCTGGAAGACGCCCGCTAGTTGGTCGCAATATCATGTCGCGTCTTTGCGCTCACTATTTCCCATAGCACATGAACCTGTATTATACGCATCCGTCGTTCACCGCGGTAGAATGTTCGACACAGCCTTTCAGGGTTTGTTCATGCGTGTACCGTGCTGAAAGAATCGCCTGAGCGGAAATGAACAGACTATTCATTTGTGCGCTTATAACACGCATGCCGTGTCATGCCCTTATGCGCAACCCACCTGGTAAATAGTGTTATAAACTTGAACGGATGCCTGGGTGAGTACTAGCTTGCTGCTACCTCCGTTCTCCTGAGTAGCGGTTGCCATGCACCTCTTTTCATACTTTTGGGTTTTGACTTCTATTTGGTCATGTTTGGCTGCAGCTCCCTCAAGGACGATCTCCAAGAGAGGTAGTAGTAACAGCTCATTCGTGAGCTCTAGTAAAGATGGATTTTCTGTCAACGGAAGGTAAGGGTGATTTCTTTTATCAGCATATGGTGTGCAAACACATTGCACCATAGCTCACTTAGATTCGTTGGGACCAACTTGTACTGGTTGCCGACATTGGAATCGAACGATGACATCTGGAATGTACTGCAGAACGTTTCTGATACCGGTATCAAGGTCATCAGGATTTGGGCATTTAACGGTTCGTTCATCGCCTATCTGCCGAGGTTCATGATTTTAACGTCTTGATTGACAGACGTGGAAACCATGCCAGAGAGTGGAACGTGGTTTCAGTTGGTACAGAACGGCACTACTACAATCAACGACGGGCCAACTGGACTGCAGAAACTTGATACAGTGGTTCAAATGGCAGAACAACAAGGACTATAGGTTATTATGTCACTGACGAATAACTGGAATCCAGTACCTGACGCAAGCACGACTGTCACTTTGCCGCTGTAACACTCTTTCAAACGACTATGGTAAGCCAACATTGTTCTTGGCGTTTAGTCAGACCTTGAGCAAATCAATGTTTTTACAGGTGGTATGGATCTATATGTTTGCCAGTTCGGACTTCAGGACCACGACGATTTCTACACGGACGGCAATATCTTGACCGCCTTCCAGAATTACACCAAGCAGATCGTATTACGCTATCTCAACAGCCCTGCCGTGTTCAGTTGGGAGCTTGCAAATGACGCTATGTAATTCGCCCTGTGTATATATTGCTTTGTAACATGTCCCTTATCATGTGTCAGATGCAACTCGACCCTGACCACTAGTCCAACGTGTACCACACAAACCGTCACAAAGTGGCACGCTCTGATGGCTGAATTCATCGCGTCCATTGATGCCAACCACATCGTCTCTGTTGGGTAAGTGTCACGCGGTGTCGCTTCAGGGTTGTGGTTCTCAATTTTCCGCAGAACATCTGGATTCCAATGCACAGATTGTCCGAAGTTGTACCCCATTGCACCAACAGCTTCGCCTACACTTACACCCTCTCCCTGCACCTGGCAAGAAGCGCAGCAGAGTCACCCCTTTGACAAAGAGCAGATCATAAGGCAGCGTGCTGAGTCGAGACGCCAAAACAGGGCAGCCGCTAAGCGTGCAGGAACCTTAAAAGAAGACGGGTCAATGATAAGGGGTCGCTGGGTATCTACAGGTACTTTGGTCTATGTCATCGAATTGCGATGTTTCTTATCATTTTTAGAACGCGAGATGTCTCCAACTCGATCGGCCCTACAACGGATGGTTCATATGGTGTCGACAGCCAGGACATCCTTAACATCCCCAACATTGGCTTCGGTTCTTTCCAAGTATTTCCCGACCAGAACTCGTACGCTCCCAATGACCAAACCTTGACCCCGTCCAAAACAAGATCAACTCGAGTCTTGTGTGGATCCAGCAATCGGCTCAGTCTGCTGCCGTGTGAGTTGAAGTCTGGCTCAGCCGATGACTAACTTACATTCCTTTCAGCGTTGGGAAGCCTCTTGTCCTCAACGGATTCGGTCTAGTCAGCCAATCCAATTTGAACGACTACGTCCCGTTCAACATGACTTGTGCTCCTTACGCATCTAGTAAAGGTAATATTGTCGTAATCCAACGCCCGACGACTATGTACTCATGTTTTTATCCCCGTAGCTGTCATGAATGTCACCACAGCGATCATGGACGCCACCACGGCGACAGATTTTGCCAGTGACACGCAACAACAACAGGGTTACAGCTCGTTTATGCAGAGTGCGTAAATGCAGAAATGACAATGTTCAATTGTGTTAAACTCTATTGCAGTGGGCAACAGCGCTGGACTAGCAGGCGTCATGCAATACTAGGTCAATACTTCCCTTCCTTGTGATGTATTTGATTGACGCTCGTTGTAGTATGGCTCGACGGGCATTACCTCGTCAGGCACTGCCACTGAGTTAGACAAAACCAACTCCTCAACACCAGCAACGGGAAATTCGCCTAATGATGGTTACTCCATGTACGCACTCCAATATGTCATCAATAAATACCCTAGCTCACTGAACCTTATAGTGCTAATAACACAGCCATTATACAAATCCTGACGCAGGGCGCGCAAGCGATGGCTGAAGATCCATGAAAGGACTATTGATTCTTGCTTGCATGCGTGAAGGACTTCTGTTTTTCCTTTTGTGTATCGTTTCCTTTGCTTCAGAGACACTGTCTGTTATTTTTTTATATCGAGAGTCATACGTAGTACAGCACTGTGGACAGTAGTTTTGGTGAAATTCACGAGGCGAGATCATCTGATAACAGTGTGCAACTCAGAGCGTTAACTGTGTTGCAAACCAAGTTCCTTCACCAATGCTTCACCTTCTCTAAGCCTGTCTGAACTCGCTGCTATAGTCGTCGTAAACGATCGGCTGCATGGCGATAGTACATGGGTTACATACTGCACGAGTCAGAGTAGGTGGCGAGCAAAGCAGCGCTCGAAATCTACAGCGAGAGCTGAAACGATCCTAGTCAGCAAAAGTCCAAAACTTGTAACGCAGGACACGGTCTTCGAGGCAGCATCCATGAGTCGAGAATGCTACACCGATGGTGCGATTCTTCTAGTTGTTCGCTGAGAATTCGTCCAAGACCTGAAAAACGGTTCAGTGGTGGCAAACGCATGAAAGATACGCCAACAAGATGGAGGACTACAGACGACTTGCCCACTGCAACCTCACTGTAGATTGGTATCAGTTCTCATTTGTTGACACAGAAGAGCGAAGGCAGGTGTTATAAGAAGCAGCCAGTTTGATGGCAAGTGCATTGTAATCCGACAGTCCATAGCTTTGTTAGTGATGGCTAGGAAAGCTTACCGAGAAGGACCAGCTTGACAGACTGGACAGACCCGTTCGTGGAACCTGAAGAAACCATCAGTCATGACTATTGCGTCAACGTTACAAGGAAATAGACACAAGGCAAGCAGGCAGCAGCGACTCAATGTTACCTGGCTTCGCTCGCGTCTATTTCCAAGACTCCATCTGTGAGCTCATGAGGAATATTAAAGCTTCATGCAGTCTTGCTGTCAAATAAACTTGTTCAACATAGGTCGTCTGACTCGGACTTGTGTCATTTAGGGTTGAACAACGAGAAGCGCTTGGGACTCTTTCGGTCCACTGCGACATCCTTACACCGGTCCCTGGAAATCTTTATCTTCAGTCAAGCAAGTCATTTTTCGGACTGGGGGAAAGAGCAAATCTCGATTGAGTATGATTGGGCGTGACGGAAAAGCAAACAAGAACTGGAGAGCGATGCATATATTCTTGACTCGAACACACTGGATAACAACACCGATGTCTGACTCGAGGCATGATAGTCCAAAGAGCTGTGATATGTGGCAAGGAGTTCCCACCCAGGGAGACGAGGACAGGCAACCATCCTTAGGTCACAACGTTGTTCGCTGCGGAGTACAAGTGAGTATAGAAAAAAAATCGCCCGAGAAATTCAGTACGTTATCGTTCATGTCTCAATTCATTATTCCTCCTCTGAGGATTCGTCAGACATATATTCTGACTCACCCTCGCTTCCGCCATCCTCTTCAGCAACCTCTCTGTCTTCCCCATTGTCACCATCAATCGCCGCATCTCCATTTTCGGGCTCATGTGCGAACTGTGCGATTCCGTAGTGATTGTATGGGGCTTCGTTTCCATCAGCTCCTTCACCTGCATTCAGCGCCATCCTCCTCCCCTGCTCGCGCACCGCGGAGAAAATCTTAATCAAGTCCTGGACGCATTTCCACCTAGTGGAGTATTTTTCGGAGTCTGGGTGTTTCCTACTACCAAATTTCGGGTGCCATGTAACGATTGATTCCAAACTGGGCATGATGGCTGAGATGAAAGCGGCAATCCTTCTCGGATGGCGAATCCTTGGACTACCAAAGAATACCTCAGATATTGTCTTGTGTGCAAATCCTCGGTAGGGAGCATCCAGTGACACTGCACACCTGTCAATAGTAGACCAGTTCACAATAACGGACACCGAGACTAGACCGGGGCAATGCTGCAACAGAAAGATGAAGGCACTTGGAGTGACTCCACGACTCGAATGGTCATATTGGTTGAGATGTAACACTTCAAGGAGGGGCCAGGCCTTAGCCATCTGCAATAGGACAGCGTCATCCCATCGCAAGACATAGTTGTCGCAGGTGCTGAAGTCAAGCCTGCGAAGATTGCGGAAGGCAAAGAGTGGTCAAAAAGCTGCAATTCTGATTGAAGTGATGCGATCTGCGGTTCTGATTGGAGTAGTGCAACCTTCAGGCTGATCGATGATGATAAGCCCCATATGTTCCAGTGAGCCCTGCACACATCCATTAGACAGGCGGGAGATCGAGGCCGGCAGGGCCCGTGCGGTATCTGCACCAGCAGAGATTTCAAGAGGTAATAATTTTGGAGCAACGAAGAACCTCTTGAAAAAAGCATCTAAGAGCGCCATACTGCTGCATTCTATGTCCAGTTCTTGCAATGCGCAGAACACAGGCTGCTGCAGCTTTTGTGTATCCACAGACATAGGTGTTGGCGGTAATTTGAACTGTAGAATCTGGAGCGAAGGCAGCTTGGATAGGTGTAGTATGGCGGCTTCCGAAAGTACTGAAGCGATCACTGATGTTAGATGAGGCCAGCATTGTAGTGCAGTGGAGGAGCCTTCTGATTTTGGGGATGGAATACGCTGGCAACAAAAATGCGAAACAGAAGGACACAGCCTTGCAATACATGACAAGACTGAGTGTTCGGATGGACCAAAGGTGTCGGGAATGAGATCCAGTGTCGTTATTTTGGGGCTTACAAACAACCGCATCCGTAGGAACGTCTCGCTGCTATCGGAGCTCCAGGTAAGAGACGTCAGGTTGGGGAGCAAGGGAAGGGGGAAGGGAGGGCATCCGAAAGCACACCAAATCTTGGCACCAACTTGTATTGGATAGACATCTGTTCTCAATGAACGGACAGTAATGGTGGTATTTGCAAAAAATAGACCAGTCATGTAAGGTCATGAGTCTTTGAAATTCCTGGCAAATGTGTGAATTCATGTGCGTCTCGAGTGTCAGCCCGAGCTTGACCAACCAATTTTTGTTCCACCTGTTTCCATAGACTTCGCGGGAGACATTTGATAAGTGGTGCAAGCCCAGGCAGGTCTTGCCACAAAAGCTTCAGTGCAGGTTCCGTGAATGACTTGCATGTCAAGGCAAGCGCCACGAGGGTCTTATTTCCAATGCGCCTCGCTTTATAGTTGTCACTCTGAGCATCATGAACCAGCTGGAAAATTGTGCATCGAAGTTCAGGTAAGCCTGAGATACAGCGAGTAAACGCTGGTAACTTGAACGAAGTAGAAACGTCATAGCCTCTCTGTCCGCTGTGGGACTTTTGGGCCTTGCGTTGATGCTTGACGCTTTTGACGGAGAACTCGACCTTCATCCTAAGTCACGGTATAGCTATGCGCAGTGCGCACAGCGAACGTCGGACCGAACTTTGGCACAGCCACGATAATCTACAACACAAGTTACGTAAGGACCCAGTGAGTGACCAGCCAGCTGGCGTTTCGCATGGGTAACTTTTTGTTGTGTGCTTCAACCGAGCTTCTTCTTAAAGCGTCTTCATCTTACATCGATCCTAGTCAGTTTTTCACGATTCTAAATATATATTTACACGATCTTCTGTAGATTTTCCACTTGCAAGTTTCTGAAGCTGAAGCAGCATCAAGCATTAATGCTTCCGTGTCGATACGGTTTTCAGCAAATATAGACGAAAGGCAAGCAAGTGGCAATACCTATAAGTTTTCTGGCTTTGCTCGCGTCTGCTTTCAAAACTCCCATCTATCCATGTCAGCCCATGAGGAACGTTAAAGCTTCTCGCAGTGTTGCTGGCAAATAAAACATTTTAATATTGGTCGTCCGACTCGTGTCGTTTAGGTCGAACAACTTGAAGGCGAAGTGCTTGGGACTCTTTCGGTTCACTGAGACATTCTCACTTCAGTCTCTGAAAATCTTTATCTTTGAGCCAGTTATTTGGCTGTTCAGACATTTTCAGATTGGGGGAAAGAGTGATTCTGCAAGACCGGGAGTGATAGAAAAGCAAACGAGAACTAGAGAGCGATTTGACTTGATGTCGATCATCCTCGCATTGTGATAATAAGGGCGCTACGCATTGGATGGCAATACCAATGTCTGACTTGAGGCCTGACTCAGGGACGATCCAGCCCGAGGAGCTGTCACGTGTGGCCAGGAGTTCCCAACCAGGGATATAAGGACGGGTGACCATCCTTAGATGACATAGGTCACGTCGTTGGTTGCTGCAGGGTATAAGTGAGCATCGAAAAAAAATCGATATGATGGTCGCACCTAAGTATCTGTCGGCATAGCTTGAGCAGAAATCGGTGTTCTTTTCCCTTCCCGCCCAAGTCCAGCAGCTCTTTCCGCTTCCTCTATCGTATATGCAGGTTCCTTCAAACCTTTACACCGTCGTTTGTGAACTTTGCCCTTCCAATGTGACCGGAGCGCGATATCAATCTCAAAGTATCTTTTTGACGACGTAATCAAGTTGACGGAAAGGATATGGTAACAGATCGACTTACTTTGCATATTCAACGTGGTAATGCTGGACAAGACCAGGTTTCTTGAGATCAATGTGTTGTGCTTCAAGAGCAGCGCGATTCTATGTATGAGTTTAGTAGTAGATGGAGCGCATGAACTGAAGATATTTTTAGTACCTTCAGGTCTAGATCAATGAGCTGAATTTGATCGAGATCTTTTGTGCGAGCCTATTTGGAGTCAATAAAGAAGCAGAGACCAGAAAGCGAGTGCATACCCTTGTACGAGATCATGCACGTCGCGTTGTGCATGGTGTGTACGAGATCTCCGTAAGCGACCCATGATATGTGCAGAATTGGTGCAGAAAGCCCGTCTAACAAATTCACCCCAACTGTCCCACAGGTGCAATTCCCTTTTTAGGGTTGCCCACTTAGTGCGTGCACGGTGTGCGCAATTAGTCTAACCCGAAGTTGCAGTGATACTAACTGATTGTCAAACTTAAGTGCGGTGCATTCATTGTCATCGAGGGACTAGACAGATCTGGAATAAGTCCTCAAGCCTCTCTCCACAATCACCTGCAAGACCCGTAAGATGTAGGGGCTACAACACCAAAGGTAGACAATCCTGTTATGTAAAGTTCCCCAGTACATCAGGAAAACCCTCCCTTGTAAGCTAGAGCTGATTAGAGATATTTTGTCAAAATTGTCCTAACTGCATAGATTAGAAGGCTAGCCAGGACTGCATTACCTCAATCCGATTAGAGAAAGTTAACAAGAACCTATTGCTAAGCCAAAAAAATTAGACGAGTTTAGGCAAGCTTAGACGCAGCTGGTGAAGCCTTTTCAACACCATTAGAATGCTCTAGAGATTATTAGACAGGCTTTTCACACTTGAATGTACAGGAACAAATTAATCATTATTAAAAGTGGGTATCAACAGCGGTAACATATGAGAAAAACAATGCACGAGGGAGTGGAGTGGATATGAGATCTACAAGAACAGCATTACTAGAGACAAGCCGATGCTTTCTGCACCGTGATTGGAATGAACTATGCCGGAAAAATCTACTCATCTTCCATGCCGTCCAAGTCCAAGAACGAGAGGCTATCATCCTGGTCATAGGCTCCAGCAATGCTATGATGGAAGCGACTGTAAATGATGATAGGTGAGCAATGTGCCAGAAACTCGGACCCAGACTTACCAGACTTCGTCATATATATCAGACATCATTTTGTGATACTTGACAGGTGCCTTTTTCTGGATGCTCCCAAACAACAACACATGGTGGTTATAAATATCTAAAAACTGATTACCAGTGAACTTGAAGTCATCATTTGACCCGTTCTTCTTTGCAAGTAGGATAGCGCGAATCTGACAATGAGGAATATTGACGTGTGAATGAGTACAAAGACAGCAGGACTCACAGCAGTGCAGACTATGGCTAACATGGGGATTGGAATCTCCGGGCGACCACCCTTATTCTTTGCAATGTCATGGAAGCACTGTCCAAACTGCACACCAACAGACTTCAAGTGTTTGAAGAATACTTCGTACATCACAAGGAACATGGGCTGTGTTTGATTGGGCTTCTGTCGGTTCGGTGAAGGGAGGCCCCCAGCCTTAAATGATGTCATGTGTGAGCGCGGTGTGACAATCATATTGGCGCTAGGCATGTATACCTGCATAAGCCTTCAATAGGTGGACCAAAGTTATCCCTCATATCATTCACTACTCCCCTATCAGCAGTCTTCACTTGTCTCAGCCATGACCCTTGTCCGACACTATTCCGCACTTTCCTGCACTATCTGCGCACATTCCCGCAGCGCTATTCATGTTCCCACGACTTATCCGACGCTATTTCCGCGCTTATAGCGCTATCAGAACTACCAGCAATGTGTCTATAGGAGCATTAGTGCATGTCCGCTCTATCTAGCGCTTGTTCCCGCGCCTAGCGCTAGTCCAGCGCAGCTGTTCTCGCGCTCTAGGAATCACTCGAAATGTCGGAATCCATCCATGGTCCATCCTACCTCATTGGTATGTAATTTGCCTTGCCTTGAGTTTGTAAAAAGTGCTACAGTCTTATTACATGTATATCCTATCCCTTCCAAGTCCGAGATGGTATAGTTTACTAGTATAAGATGCCTATGGTGACTACTTCGACATTACTTCCCTTTGACTGTATTTCCCTCCCTTAAGTTTTACTTAGAAGTAGTCACCCCTTTAGTTGCGCTCTATGGCCCCTATTTGACTTTCCTTACTCTTGCAATCAATACCTCTGATCTCACTCGCTATCCATTACCCTCCTTTGACTCAGTGTCCGCTTTCTTGACTTCCGCTCTTTCCTGCGCATTAGCGCTCTATCTTGCGACACGCTTTCTGGCGCTTTAGCGCTCTTTCGGGTCTTTTGATCTTGAGTTGTCCTTAGTAGCTTTTCCCTCAGGTCGAACATTCTTGCTTTATTGTTTGCAAGTATAGCAGTATAGGCAGAGCTTAGACATATACTGGCTTAGTACCTTAACAAGTGCCTAGTCAGGTTGTGTTCTTCACAGCGGTAACAACTTCATGCAAAAAAAAGAACGAACATCAAATGTTTGTGGAAAAATATATGAATGATTGGTGAGAAGTCAATCAAGGATTGTGTCACTGTCTGAACTGCCGAGACGGAAGTAACCTGATATGCTCTTGCTCACGACGTCCTTAACATCACTGCGAAACAGACTAGCATGAGCATCAATCTACAGATAATGTCAGTACCAAACTGCAGCAAAGATACAGCACTGACTAGATTTGTGAGGGCCGACAAATACTCATTGTCGATCCTCATCTGTTTCTCGATTGGCACTGCACTGTGGTACTGTGCGGCCTTCAGCAGTATTTCCTGTGCATAGACATTCTTCAACACGAGATCAGAGTAACCATGCTCGAAGGCAATGTATGCCTTAACCTCGAGAATGCCATGTTGAATCACCTTATGGAGTTCAATGTTCTGGTCCGTGAGTCGGACAGACCCAGTTTTCGAGTAAACAATACGTGCTATGGGGTCTGCTTGAAGTGAGGATTCAGTAGAGTGGGGCTCGGCCTCAGATTTGTCGGCACTGTGAGGCTCAGGCTTGATATTGAGGGTGGGACTATGATTGTCAGGCTCGTCGTCGACTAGGGTGGACTCATCAGAGAAGGACTTATTGGTCTTTTCAACATGTCTAGTGCCAGTGAGACCCTGGGACCCGAATGATGAACTCGTCATTATCAAGTCCCACATGGTGATCTAGAGTTGGCACATATTGCTATTAGTTGCAACTCGAGTATGTAGCAAAAAACTTGCCTCCACTGCGTGCTTTCTCTCTCTCACACTTAAAGGCTTGAATTGGGAACCCCAAATAGGTTGAGGTGGAGTTTTCGACAACCGTGATGAACCCGTGGTCTTTGGAGTGGGTGATGCTGTTGCCAGTTGTCTCTGGTCAGGTGTCTTCTGATGGGAGGTAGTAGGAACCTATAAATGTTAAGTTAATACCAGTGGTTGATACATGGTAGACTCACTTCTCCAAACAAACTTTTGGGGATGCTCTCTGTGGGCTCAATCTCAGATTCTTTGCTTTCCGACTTGTCTGAGTTGTCTATGGCGTCGTTTTGCTTATCACTATCAGTGTCTGATTTGATGATAGCTGGCATGCGCACTACAAACAAGTCAGTACAGAGTGTCATGTGACAACCCATGATGCTGACATTTCTTGGATTGCCTAGGTTTGATTACTTCCTCCTCTGAATCTGAAGCCGGAGGTAGCACTTGTTCTTATATATCTGTGAGTACTGTTTGTAACATTTTTGTCAGCATTGAGACTTACTGCGACTTTTGGAGTGTTTGGGAGGTAGTGCCATTGCCTTCGTTCTGTGATCTGGACATGTCACAGTAAGTAATCGCTGAGAATCCGAGTCATGACTTACTTTTGCCTGACTTTACCTGGTTTGGGACAGGCTCGACATTTACTGAAGTCAAAGGTTCACGGCACTTGTGAGGCTGCTTGCTCCGGGCTTTGAGGGGTTGCCACACTGAGCTCTGCAACAAAATCGTTGTGGTGAGTATTAATGTATAATATATGATTCATACTTACCTGGATTATCTAGCGCCTGATCCTTGGCTTTGCGTTGTGCTTGAACCAAGTAAGTTTTTTGATCTTGTTGTTTGAGAAAACACTTACGGCGCAAATTTGACTCCATTGAACTCTGTGCGTCTGATTTGAAGGGAAGGTAAACTTGAAGGAGTGAAAAAAGATGAAATGAATGTGCGCTTGTCTTTCTGTGCTTGGCAGGAAGACTATGAATAGAGGTGAGTGAGTATTTAAGTTTGAGCTGGAGCAAACTTGGTCTCACAATTTAAATCAGGCAGCTTATATTTCATAACACAGAGCAAGGGTTGCCAGTGACCCTTTCCTTGTCAGGCTTAGCTCACAATTTGGTGAGTTTATGGTTGGAAATTTTAACACAGCCTTACGAAGTACTAGTCTCAGCACATTGTCATGCATGGTATGGAGTTCATACCATGACATGTACAAATAGCAGTATAAAAGGAGATAAGTAGAGGAGTGTACAAAGGATATGCTTCTTACTTATGTAAGCTTTGTTTCTATTTATTTAGTTATATTTGTAGTTTCCATTAGTTTCTGTCTCTTTCCATCATTTGTTCTTGTTTATTCAGCCACTTGATTACATCAGTGAGCCACTCAGATATGTTTGTAAGCATGTCATGTGACTGGTAATATTCTGATTTGTAAGGAATTTCCATGACTCATCATGTTTTGTCATGATTCATCATGCTTTGTAATATTTTACAGTGCTTTGTAATATTTTACTCATGTACTTTAGTAAGCAGCTGATTCAGCACACCAAAAGGCTTGGTTTGTAAGCATAATCTTACCAATCCAGTGATGACTCATTGCTTAGTAAGGATGGTTTCTAAAATGTATATAAGGACTCCATTCTCACATAATATATAGGTTTTTTCCCCTTCCATTCTTTTCCCAAACCATGTGGGAACGTAGGAATTTGAAGTCAGGAGTTTTCCCACTTTCTGTCTCAACACTGTGATATCACGAAGAAAGTGAAGGCCTATGAGTTGCCTTTGAAAACAATCATATTCACTAGTCTAGATTGATTGTATACTATCTTACAGGGATTGCCTATACAATAATCTATCGTTTTAATCTATCGTTTTACGTATTCGTGCCACATTCAGTTCAGAGAGGTCCATATTACCTACTAGGTTTCAGTTAACCTGACAAAAAATATCATACTCCTTTACTATCAAGAAGTGATCTAGCAAAGAAGTAATTTATTACCCTTTGGCCACCCATGAACACCATGTTATCAACCGAGAAGTAGAAAATCCGTTGACCAGTGAACTTGAGGAGCTGGCACCTTAGTCTTAAAGAATACAATTGTGATAGTCATTGTATTCTGATCAACATATAAGACCCTCAAGTAAGAAGACAGCGTGCACCTTTATTTTCTTACTGGTAATGGCCTTGCTAATTCGGAACTCCATTGGCGACATGTTCTGATAGTATGGACCTGCACCATCTACTGAAATGAACCTCCTATTGCTGAGGCATGCCAACTGGATGTCACAAAGCACATTTTTGCAAGTACTGTGATGCTGGACGAACATGTATGTTCGTTGCATCAGGAAAAAGGGAATTTTTCTTAACAACACTTAAGGCGACTTGAAGGTAATTCTAAGTAAGATTAAGTAGAATTCTGCTAAGCATGCCATTGCTTAAAACAAGTAGGGTCTTCCGATGATTTTGACTTATTGTTGCACTTATCAGCGACTTGAGATCAGTACACAGTTAAGCAGTGAAGTGCAACTCATCGTGCCAGATTCTCTTAAGACGCAAAGCTAAGTCAAAATAAGCAGACCAGTAGCAGAGGGATTCAGCTCTAAGGAGACACACAGGTCCGAGTATATTGTATCTTTAAGGCTCCCAAGGTTACAAAGTCAATAGTAAGTGTAGAATTCAGACAATCAAGCAGTGAGAATGGTGTAGATCCATACCATGCTACCAAGACATCCAAGCACGATACCTTTAAGGCTCCCAAGTTCCATACAGTTGATGGTAAGTGAATAGTTTAAGCACTCGTGAAAACATTCAAGTCAGATGTATTTACATCTTGATTATGTAAGACAAAGTGGTCAAAAGCATCAATTCAAGTGGTGACTATTGGGTGACTAAGACGAAATGCAAATTAAGACAGTCAAGTGAAGGAAATAAGTGTGATCATAAGAGCTGCCAGAGTTGAATCAGGTCAGTAAGTGTGAATGCAGTGCTGGCATCCAAACATCATTCCACCTCCATGCTGTCAGAGTCATCATGATCTTTGGACCCAGACTCAGACTCAGATATGTCCACAAGCTGAGCGCACTCGTCCAGATCTTCATCCTCAGCAACAGCATCATCAATGGCTCTATCGTCACCGGAACGATGGCTCTTCTTGAAAAATTCCTTGGCAGAAGTGATGACGGATTGGAACTTCTCATCTCGGAAGCGTTTCACGAGTGACTTCGCATATGAGCACGTGGAAATACCCCAGGTGACGTCGTTGAATCCTGTTTGCCGATTGGAGACTTTGCTGGTCGAGTGATTGAGTGCCTTTGGCAAGGGTATAGATTTGCCCTTGGCAGCAAGAACCATTGAAATGGTTAGAGTACAAGTAGTAACAAGCGTCAATGCTCGTTCAACCTAGTAGCAATGAGTGATCAGCAAGGTATGATTAGAAAAATAAAACAAAAAAATATTACTGCAGCGCACAACAGTGCTAGACCCCCAGCAGGATTCAAGTTTTATCCCGGCTTGTCTAGTCCAGATACCTTGCGAGCACCATTGATGGCAGTGAAGTGGGCACCAAATGTTTGCACCACGAAGGCACCTTGATAAAGGCCACGGAACTTCTGTATTGCATGTTAGTAGTCGCACAGAGGTAATAATAGAGGCAATGAACAGAAATAGTGAGAAGCACGTACAGACTTATCATCACCATTTGCCTTCTTGTACAAGAACCGAAGCTTGTCCAGAGTGTATTTAGCGAATTCGACACGATTATTGTCTGAGTCCTTGAGTTTGTCCTGGGACTCAAGGTATGCGATGATGATTGCAATAGCCACTGAGCCGATGAAGCTGCGATAGGAGTCGGCAACGCGCTGGACAGTCTATAGTATCAGGTTGAAGTTAGTATTGCCGTTGAGACATATGAGCACACTCACTACGATATACACGGTACTCATGCTCATGACTGTGCACAGAATACTGGGGAAAATTGCGTCCCAGATCACCTGCATTTTCTGGCAGACCAACTTGGGGAGAACCTCCCAGGGATTAGCCAGAGTCGCAACATATTGCATGTAAGTAGAAACAAAGACACAGCACCACAGTTTTTGTTCAACACCATCCGGGAGATCATTATTGCCAGGTTTCTTTGTCCGCTCGGCTTGACAAGCTGCGGGCTTGACAGGCAAATTCTTCACAAGAGCCTGCACAATATAACGTAGTTGTATTGGTAAATTAATAGCTGACTTGAATGTTGAAAGAATAAGAAGACACTTACCGAACTTGAAACTCGTTTTTTTTTCCTTTGGGAGGGCTAGCAACTGCTGCCTCTCGTTCAAGACCTTGGGTCTCATCTTCATCTGAGAGTCCTTCATTGAGGAGTTGGAGAGTGTGTCGCTCTTTCAGTTCCCGCTTGATGGGGACAATGTGAGAAATCAAAACATTTTCTGTCAGAACTGAATTAGTGGATGAGCGAGTGCTGGCATTGGTCAAGGGGGGAAGGCGGCGTGAACTTGTGCTATTTTTAAACATGCTGGACTGGCTGGCGGTGCCGTTAGCGCTGGACTTTGCATTTTTGGGATGCTTGCTGCCCAATTGTTGATGCCAGTGGAGAAGTCCTTGTCATTGGGAGTCAAGTCACTGAGCAAAAAATAATATAAAGTTGTTTCGTCAAGAGTGAGCTCAAGCATGATAGTAAAGGGTAAAGAAAAGTCCTCACCTTTTTGAATTTGGCAGAACCCTGTTTCTTATCAGAATGTGCCTTATCTGTACCTGCCGCCTGATCTCCCTCTGCCTGATCTCCATTTGCCTTCTCCTTCTCCTTCTTTGCCTTCTCCTTTGCCTTCTCCTTCTTTGCTTTCCCTTTGCCCTTCTGGTCGACATGGCCTGGAGCCCGGGCCATAGGAGTAGTGTTGCATTCATCATCACTCAAGATGGGCATGGCCCACTGAGATGGCTGCTTTTCCGGAGGGGGATTGGTGATCATAGGTTCATGCAAGTCATCATCCAAGTGAGCAGCCGGAACTGACTTTGCTGATTTTTTACTGGTGGCCTTTGCAGATGTCTTCATTGAAGGTTGATCAACGATCATAGCATTGTCATCTGGCTGAACAGCGGCTGGCTTTTGTCTGGAAGCTTTCTTCGGTGTTGGGTCAAGAACAAGGACGTCTGAGTCGTCTGAGTCATCCGAGTCATCGGTATGGAGGCTTATTGCGCTGCAAGGTGTGGTTTTCTTCGTGTCTGCATACTTACTCTTCTCTGACGTATTAGCCTGCTGGACTGCTTTGATAGCATCTCGTACAGAAGACTTCGACACCTTCCCTGCCTTCTTCCGGCTAATTTTCGCCTTTTCCCTTGGCAGCGATAATGGCACTGCGCTGTCAGACCCATCTGCATGTGAGTCCAAGGTCATTGTGTTGGAAGCTTGGGTTAAATCTGGTTTGAAGGTGCTGCTATCAGCAGCTGCGTCATCCATCTCAGCATCCGAAAGAAACCCGTTGTCTTCTGCAGCGGGAGCATCTACAACGACCTTCTTCTTGCGAGGAATTGGCTTCAGCCTTGGCCTTGGTACTGAAGGTGCAACCGGTGCATCACTCATCTTGGCATCCGAAAGAGATGTGTCCTCCTCGACAGCAGGAGGTGCCACAATGGCCTTCTTCTTGCCCGGGATTGGCTTTGACTTCAGTTTTGAAGGTGCAGCCCGTGGTGTAGCTTTGCTCACCACATCCTGATCTGCCTGCTTCTTCTCATATGTAGCAACGCGTTTGATGCTCGCTTTCTTGGTACGTTCTTTCTCCTGTTTAGCATCTAACTTAGCCTGACGCTCAGCAGCTACCTCTGCCGCTGTATGGTGTTTCTTCTTTGGAGTTATGTCTAGGATACCCAGATGTTGTGTTGCATTTTTTGCATGAGTGACACGTCGGGAAGACATAGCAGTGAGTAAAAGGAGGTAATCGAACACAATGGCAAGTGTAGACGTGTTTATGAATTTGCCACGCCTCAACAGCATGCTTTTTGGACTGAGAGCCCGAGTTCCATTCTATCCAAGCCTTCGACTATAGATTTCTACTTATCGATCATCATCTACAATGTGTAGTGCGTCTCTTACTAGCAGTATCTGAATCTAACACTTATTTTGGCTGGCACTGTAGCCTGCCGCTCTTCTCCAATGCCTGAATCTCAGTGGCTGGCTGATGTGGTATTCTCAAGTACATCATCCTCACTACTGCTATGTTTGTTGCAACTCACCAGACCAGACTGCTTCAGAAGATTGGAAGGACCAGGCACAGCTCGTGTGCATTTAGACTTGAGACTTCGGAGGGTGCAAGTTCACCTCTGAAAAAATGGAGAAGACAGGGTTACAGTCCGGTTAGTACAAGTCTCTGTTGAGAGCCCTTCATACACTCACCAATGTCAAGGTCAACTTGAACATGAGCAGCAACAAACTGACACTTCATACCTGCTCACCATCACTCTTCACAACACCTGCCACAAAGCCTGCCATCCCCACCATCTGCCTTGTCGCCACAACACCCTCACCAGCCAACTCCTCCGTCACTCCATGGTCTGAACCCCAGCCCCCACTCACTCTCATTCTTGTTCTTGCGCCCAAAACCCCGTCCTCAGATGCAATACATAGGCGTCTCATACTCGAGCAAGAATGGGAGTGCAGGAATCAAAATATATGTCGACCCCACTTCTGATTCCAAGATTGGGGGAGACTGCCTCCGCGAGGAAGAGCCGCATGTCCCCAGACGGCAAGGGCTGTGGTCCTGCTCTTGGCGAGGCAGTTATTCACGGGCGCACCCTGCATCAACCCTGGATGCATCGTGTTATGTGGCTGGAAGTTATAGACCTGTGGTAAGTCCAAAATGCCAGAATGCATGTGGCGCAATGATTCGATTCTCAACCACAAAATGGTTCATGGAACGTCATCAAACCTTCCATGAGCCGAAGAGTCTATTGTCCTGGGGAATTCTTAATTACACAAGGGTCAGCGATCAGACAATTAACTGGTTCATCAACACTTTGCTCAACGCGTGCAAAAAACTTGGTGCCATAAGTCTTTTTACCTTCTATGCATCTCAAACTAACCCCATCTATCTTAGGAATGAGTAAATGGGATATCGACTATCATTTCTAGCTGCTGATCACTGTTTGGCAGATGTATCCCCACCTGCCGCCAGTCAATTGTGTTCTGGCGTGTCATCTGTGGTGAACATAAGCACTACATTGATTCAACCGTCGAACATGGACTCATTTTAAGCAGGACATGCGGTCACTTAAAAATGCAGTTGGCAACAAGATAGGCAGAGATCTGGAGCTTGTACTGGCAATCCTACCAACGAGTTCGACAGACGTCTACCATGCCATCAAGTCATTTGGTGACGTTATCGCCAGTGTATGTGCTGTTATCTGATCAGTTCAACTGATGCTTACATCTTGCCTAGTTCCCAACACAGTGTGTTGTGAGTTATGTCTCGTTGTTTGCAACCTCCATTACAATCTTCTCCATCTAGCAAGAGAACAAGATCGAGAGAGCCAATGACCAATACTGTGCGAATCTCGGCATGAAGTATGTCAAATTTCAATCTCTGCCTCGTTGCACCATTGACTCATTTGGTAGGATCAACGCCAAAATTGGAGGCATCAACTCGCTGCCAAGGTCAGGTGCGTTGGAGAATCTCAGTGCCTTGCATCAACCCTAGATGTATCATGTTATGTGGCTGGAAGTTATTCATGGGTGCACCTTGCATCAATCCTAGAGCCCACTGCCCTGTCCTTCTACCAATATGGCGGGCTTCAAGTCAAAGCTCACGGCGGTCTTTCACATTGCTATGTCGTTGTATGAAGTCAGCTCGAAGTTACACCTCCAAAGCCAGACTCACAGATTACCATCAGCTCTCTTACAATGCGGGCCAATGACAATCTTTGTGTCCACAATGTGCACAATCTTGGCCACCCTCAACTCATGCTACCATGCCTAAGAACGGACTGTATCTGCCATTTCACAACAGGTCAGGGCGCACCACTCATATGCAATCCCAGCATCCATCTGAAGAACCCAAAGTCCCACCATCATACCATTCCTCTTCGAGTTCACAGTGCTCCCAGTCATCCCAACCTGGCACCGGACATCCTGTAACAAGCTTGGCGTGTATGCATTCACGCAGCCCAGCTCAGACTAGTGCAGGCTATGAACAAGCATCTAGTGGTCATGACGTTAACATGGAGTTTGACTTGCCAGAGTCGGATGGACATGGGTATGGCTTTCATGATGACGCTGCCATCGAGGCAGATATGAATGACTCAGGTTCAGATCAACGTCCTTCAAGTGGTATTGGCCAGGTGAGTCGAGATGGTAGTGTGTCTCTTCAAGTTCCCGGCATTACCAGAACATACCATCCTAATATTAATGGTGCACATTAATTTCACTTGACGCTCATCCAAAATTGTGCTCATACACTCTTCTCCATGAAGGGAGAATCTGCGACGAACTCGGAGATGACATACCCCCGAATACTCTTCCACCTCCGCATCCATCAGATCGTGGCCCGGACGACTGGACACCATATGCTAATCGAGTTGATTTTGAAGTCGCAGACTTCCTCTACCATCACAACCAGATGTCGGGGGGCGATATTGACTTTATATTCAATCTGTGGGCCGCCTCATTAGCAGCTCACAGTAAAACTCCACCCTTCGCAAACCACGTTGACATGTACAATGTCATTGATTCGACACATCTAGGAGATGTCCCCTGGCAGAGTTTCACTTCAGAATATAATGGCACTCTACCTGAAGATGATGTTCCACCATGGATGACATCCGAGTATGATGTATGGTTCCAGGATCCTCTGTTACAGTCAAGTACGCCCCTATTCATTTTCTTTCTCTTACATCATTGTATTACATCACGATTGCATCTTGCCGTCGCTAGATGATCTATTCTTGTTATCTCTGACTCGTCTTATCTCTGACTCGTCTCTATGACCTCATCGTACCGGCTCGTCTTATCTCTGACTCGTCTCTATGACCTCATCGTACCGGCCCTAAAGTTGTTACCGTTCATTATATAAACTCGCCCTGTACTATGTAGTTCTTTACTTTAATCTTACTAGGTTTTACCTGGAATCTCCTTTGCTTAAGACCTCCAATCTTAAGTCGTATTGAACTTGATTCGAGTCGAGGACACTCTCCTCTTCTTGTCTTAGAAACTCTGAAGCTTCGGTATACGCCGAAGTCTTGAACCGACCTTGGCCGATTGCTCTTATCGAGTAGCCATACGTCAGACCCATCCTAGTTCGTAACAAAAGATTAAAGTCCTTCTACGAATACATCGCTATCACGCGTTGTAAAACCCAGAACAGAACAAACCCTGGTCATCACGACAGATAGAACCCCAGGTCCCCAGAAGCTAACAAGCTGACGTCCTTGACACCAATCTTTGGCGCTTTGAACCTAGGTGCTGTACCACCCCTACCACCTTTGAACCCCCCAATGTCTTCTATGAAACCCATTGAAATCAAAATCGGTTCTCCCCCGATCTTTGACGGGGATAGAGATAAATCCGAGGGATTCTTGATGTCATGCCAGTCCTATCTCGATATTAACGAGAAAATCTATGTCGACGACAAACAGAAGATCATTTTCGTAACCTCCTTCATGAATGAAGGGAACGCACGCTACTGGAAGGAAGATTTCCTCAGACAAGCGCAAGACCCTAACAATAAGACCACCGCAGGCCTTGTCAAAGGATACGGTACATGGACTGAATTCCTTGCCGACTTCAAAAGCGCGTTTAGGCCGCTTGATCCCTCAGGAACGGCGCTAGCTAAGCTCCGTAACCTTAAACAAGGAACCGAACTTCAAGATTACATCTCGGAGTTCTTGATGCTCACACGACGGGCGGGAATTCAAGGTGACGTCGCCAAGAAACAGTTCTTCTTAGACGGGACTCCACCCAGGACTGCTCGCTCGCCTTTACGGCACGGGCGATGTCTCTGACGACTTTGAAGTTGTCCTCTCCACCTGTATCAATCTCGACAACTCACGCCTCCACCTGAACGCCATCAGGGCGCGCAACCAACCCCAGAAGAAGAAGAACTTCGGATCCAACCGATACGTGCCATCTAGAGACCCCAATGCCTATGGTAATCGATCGGCTTTCTGAAGAAGAACGTGCGGAACATTTCCGCACCGGAAAATGTTTCACCTGTCATAAAACCGGACATCTTTTTAAGAACTGTCCGGAGAAGAAGAAAGGAAAGACTCCGGTACGCCGCAAAGAAGTAGAAAGCAGCGATGATGAAGAAGAAGAAGAAGCGGAAGTCCGCCGTCTCAACGAGGATTTTTGATATGGGAGACTGAATCAACGTCAGTATCTCTCGATGTACCCATAAGACTTGTACGAAAAGTTGGTGAACGAAAAGAACTTCGGGTTCCCCTTTCCCTCATTTCGAAAACACGTCTGAAAACCGTTGAAACCACCGCAGTTGTTGATTCCGGAGCAGCCGGAACCTTTATCTCAGAAGACTTCGTCAAGAAACACAAGATCCGAACCCACGCCCTTAGTAAACCCTTTCCGGGTTACTACCGCCGATGGAAGCTATTCCAAAAGCGGAGCTATACGCCGATACTGCGTTCTCACCATCAAGATTGACGAACTGAACTATGATAGGGAAGTTTAACGTCACACGTCTTGGCAGAAGAGATCAGATTCTCTTAGGGATCCCTTGGCTACGGGCTATGAACCCGGATATTGACTGGGCAGCTGAAACTCTTATCCTTCTCTCGAACGGAAAAGAGTAATCAAGTTGAAGAAGAAGTCGACAAAGAAAGGAAGAAGAACGATCTTCCACTTCTATTTCGACAAGAACCCATAGATCGGACTTGGAAGCAATCCAAACTTAAGAAAGCACCAATCGCCGAAACCCCTGTCATCTATCCTAAGGCGACCATCGAAGAAATCGTTGACGAAGAAGCACCACACGTCCATTCCCCCACTGATTCACTACCTGATCTACTCCCCATCCCCGACGAAGACGATGAGACTTTTGATACCAAGGAAGACGTCTGGACGCAAGAGAACTTTGCCGCACCAGTGCGAGAAGTCTCTATGTATGACCTAGATGACGACGAATTTCTGGTGGAATACTCCATTGACGCATCCGAACTCCGGGTAATTTCAAATACTACCATGGATACGCCATTGACCCCGGACGGTACCAGTCGTTCTGAACAGAAACCCACGGTCAAACCTTTGCCACGGCCTACGGAATACGCGAAAGTTAGTAACAAAGCTCAGCAGTTCGCTCTAGCTGCGGGCTTAGAACAGAAGAAGAAAACTTTCGAAGAACTCGTACCCTCCTATCTCCACGACTTCGCTGATATCTTCGCTAAAGACGGTCTTAATCAACTCCCTCCTGAACGACCCGGTATTGACCATCGTATTGAGACGAAACCCGGATTCATCCCCAAAACGTCGAAAATCTATCCCCTCTCTATCGCCGAACGAACCGCTGTCAAAGCATTCATTGACGAAAACGTAAAGAAAGGTTTTATCTCGGAGTCCAAGTCGCCACAAGCCAGCGGTTTCTTCTTCGTAGGAAAGAAGAGTGGAGATCTCCGACCCTGTCAAGATTATCGATATATCAACTGATTGGACGATCAAGAACGCCTACCCCTTGCCGCTTCCCTTATCCCTTGTCGCACGGTTACATGGAGCAAAGTATTTCACCAAGATGGACGTCCGATCCGGTTATAATAATATCCGCATTCACCCTGATGATAGATGGAAAGCTGCGTTCACCACTGAATTCGGACTCTATGAGCCGAATGTCATGTTTTTCGGGCTTTGCAATTCCCCGGCCACGTTCCAAGCCTACATGAACCGTACTTTCCAACAGGAAATCAACGAAGGATGGTTAGTAATCTATATGGACGACATCCTCATCTTTTCGGATAACCTGGTTGAACATCACGCTCGTACCCGTCGAATTCTCACGAAGATCCGCGAAGAACGACTCTTCTTGAAACCAGAGAAGTGTACCTTTGACGCGCAAGAAGTTGAATACCTCGGCATGATTATTCGCCCCGGATGTGTAGCTATGGACGTTGCTAAAACTGACGGAATCCGCGATTGGCCAACTCCATCCACCTGTTAAGGAAACCAGATCGTTCCTAGGTTTCTGTAACTTCTATCGGAACTTCATCCCTCATTACTCCGATATCGCACGACCCCTTATCGACCTTACAAAGAAAGATAACGTCTTCCTTTGGTCCGCACCGTGTCAGGAGGCATTTAGAACGTTAAAGGAGTGTTTCCTAAAACAGCCTGTCCTTCGTAACCCTGATCCGTCTCGACAATTCGCAGTAGCCACCGATGCATCTCTTGTTGCAACGGGTGCTGTCCTTACTACAGACAGATGAGAACGGCGTGTATCATCCATGCGGATACCTCTCCCAGTCCCTGAACCCCGCTGAAAGAAATTATCAGATCTTCGATCGCGAACTCCTGGCCGTTATCCGTGCACTTCAAGAATGGCGTCATTATTTGGAAGGAAACCCCCATCCAATCATTGTTTTCACCGATCATAAGAACCTCCTTTATTTCCGTACCTGCGCAAAAGTTAACCCGTCGCCAAGCCAGATGGCAGCTCCTTCTTTCTTGTTACGATATTGAACTTCATCACGTTCCAGGAACCAAACTTGCTGCACCGGATGCCCTGTCACGACGACCTGATCATGCACCCGATACCATTGATAACGAAGACATGACGCTCCTCCCCGATTCCATGTTCATTCGCCTTCTTGACCAAGAGCTTATGACTACTCTTGCGAACCCTGATCCTGATGACACCGATCCCATCTTCCAAGCTGCCTCCGATGCCTTAAATGGCCTTTGCCTTCCTCCCATGAAATCGGCTCTCTCAGATTGGACGATTAAAGATGACGTTCTATTTTACAAAGATCGTGCCTATGTCCGTCCAGCCGGACGCCGCTCTATTTTAGAACGCACCCATGACCACGCTACAGCAGGGACATCCCGGCCGTTTTAAAACCGAAGAACTGGTTAAACGCGACTTCTGGTGGCCGTCTATGGGGACCTACATCCGTAAATACGTTGAGGGTTGCGCCCTTTGTCAGCAAATGAAGTCCGATACCCATCCCACGACACCCTCCGTTGGTTCCTATCCCTTCTTCGGTCTCTACCCCGTTCTCCCAAGTCTCTGTCGACCTCATCACCGATCTTCCCCTATGTAACGGGTTCGACTCTATCATGGTCGTGGTAGACCATGGTCTTACGAAGGGGGTAATTCTCATCCCTTGTACGAAGACTATCACTTCAGAAGGCGTAGCAAAGAAATTCTTCAAATACGTCTACCGCCGCTTCGGGCTCCACGAGAAAGTAATCTCAGATCGAGGCCCACAGTTCGTATCCAAATTCTCTAAAGCTCTTGCAAAACTTTTGAAATACGACATCGCCGCTTCCACCGCTTATCATCCGCAAACAGACGGTCAAACCGAACGTCTGAATCAAGAACTAGAAACCTATCTTCGAATCTATTGCCGTAACAACCCAGAAGAATGGGTTGAACATATCCCCATGTCCGAATTCGTTCACAACCATCGCAAACACGACTCTCGCAACGCATCCCCATTCTTCCTCATGATGGGATACGAGCCACGGGCTCTCCCCCATGTACTCCCAGACTCCACTGTCCCCGCCGCAGAAGAGCGACTTCGTCTCCTTCAGAAAATACGAGAAGAAGCTATCTCTTGTCACAATCTTGCAATGCAGCGAATGGCTGCACGATCTTACGGAAAGAAGTACCAACCGTGGAAAGTTGGCGATAAGGTTTGGTTATCTGGGAAGAATCTTATCACGCAGTTACCATCACGAAAACTCGCTCCGAAACGCTACGGCCCCTTTACCATCACCGCAGTACTGTCACCAATCACATTCACACTCCAGTTACCAAAGCAATGGAAGGTTCACCCCACATTCCATGCTTCCGAATTATCGTCCTATCACGAAACCGAAATCCACGGTCCTAACTTCCCTGATCCTCCACCTGACGTCATTGATAACGAAGAAGAATACGAAGTCGAAGCAATCCTATCGCACAAGGGCACGGGTAAACGAAGACGCTATCTTGTATCCTGGAAAGGATATTCATCTGCCAGTAACGAATGGATTCCCACGGAAAATCTTGGCAACGCCTCCGCAATCCTCGCCGCTTATAAGAAAGCTCACCAGTTATAAGAACGGTCGCGAAAAGATGTCTTTCTCAGAACTCCGCACTCTCCAGATTTGCCTCTTGCAACTTCAAATTCTCGTCCGATACAGTTGATAATATGTCCGAAACCCTTGCCACATCCCCATCCACTACGTCCGTCACTTTGACTGAAACCATTGAATCGCCAAACTATTTCACCATCCTTGACGACATCGAAACCAACACGCTATTTGAATCCGCCCTCCTTTCTGAGCAATACGCTATCGAGATAGATCGCCTCCTTGCTGAACAAGGGGCCCTCTCTAGCACGCTCCTCATTAACATTATTCGCGCCGCCAATCTCATCAAGCGTACCGCAGGCCTTCTCAGTGAAAGCGAGAATGACCAACGCTTCAAAGCCATTTTCCGTCATCTTCATATTCGCATTCGCAACTCTGCGATACGTCTCATGCCTGCCTCTACCAAGGAAGTTGTTAGAGAAGCCATCCATATCGTTACTGAACGAATTGCAACAAACCCAATCGCCAGACCGCCATCCCCTCACGTCGCAGTTCCCATCCCTCCTCCGGTTGAGACATTATCTCCCGTTGAGCATACGCCTGATGCTGTCACTCCTTCTGATGTACCGGTCGTACCGTTTACTCTTACTACTGCCCCGGCGGCAACCACCTCTCGCTCACGCTCCATTCGTCTACGACCCTCCAAACGCGAAATCTCCGTCTCCCCTCCCTCACGCAACAACACCCTACGCTCCAAAACACCATCCCCGCCTCCGCAATCGTCCTCCGTCACCATCGTGAAAACCGAACCCATTGATAACTTCAAATGTCGCTACTGTAAAGAATTCGGTCATCGTCACAAGAATTGCCCAACATATTTCTGCCGCGTATGCTGTAACCTCGCGCCAGGGCATCTTTCGGTCTTTTGTAAAGACCTTAAAGGCGAGAAACCTATCCCATTAGTATGGACGGATGAAGGCTTCTATGAAGCTCTCGCTAAATGGGAGGCTGACAAGGATGCCGCCTTAGAACAGATCTCTATCGAAGAAGATGAGAGAATGTTCGTTCAATGTGCAGGTGATCGTGACAACTATGACGCTTACGATCACTTTGATTGTTGAAACCGGTGACTTCAACGATAACAACGGGGTAATGTTACAGTCAAGTACGCCCCTATTCATTTTCTTTCTCTTACATCATTGTATTACATCACGATCACATCTTGCCGTCGCTAGATGATCTATTCTTGTTATCTCTGACTCGTCTTATCTCTGACTCGTCTCTATGACCTCATCGTACCGGCCCTAAAGTTGTTACCGTTCATTATATAAACTCGCCCTGTACTATGTAGTTCTTTACTTTAATCTTACTAGGTTTTACCTGGAACTTCCTTCGCTTAAGACCTCCAATCTTAAGTCGTATTGAACGTGATTCAAGTCGAGGACACTCTCCTAGACTTGTCTTAAGAACCATTGAACTTCGGTATACGCCGAAGCCTTGAACCGACCTTGGCCGATTACTCTTATCGAGTAGCCATACGTCAGAACCATCCTAGTTCGTAACATCCTCGGCTCCTCGTGCAAAACATTCTTTCCAACCCAGACTTTAAAGATGAACTTGACTACGCACTGCTACAGGAGTATGATACCAGCAATGGAGCACATCACTTTCAGGACTTTATGTCTGGCGACTGGTGTTGAAAGCAGGCTGTAAGCCTTTTTACATTCTTTTTTCCGGTTTACTTGATCTCTCACACAATTCACAGAATTTGATTGCTGAGGATCCCAATACAATTGGATCTATGTTTGTTCCAATAATCCTCGGCAGTGATAAGACAACAGTCTCTGTTGCTACTGGACACAACCAATATTGGCCAGTCTATATGTCCATCGGCAACATCCGCAACAATGTGTGACGTGCACACCGCAATGGTGTTGTATTGCTTGGCTTCCTAGCCATCCCAACAAGTACGTGTTTCAATCTGATGTTGTCTGTTGCTAGCATTAATTAGATGCATATATTTAGCTGACAAGGAGTCCACCAAAGACGCACATTTTCGAAAGTTCCGCCGTCAGCTTCTCCACTCATTGCTTGTGAAGATGCTGGAATCCCTCCAACCAGGTATGACCACACCCGAGGTCGTACACTCCCCAGATGGTCATTTTTGACGTGCTGTGTATGGTCTTGGACTGTACATTGCTGATTATCCTGAGCAAGCATTGTTCAGAACTGGTGTCCAAAGTACGTATTTGTTTCGTTCTTCATGTTATTCAGTAGTATCTACTTACTACATATCCACCCAGATGCACCATGCCAGCAGATAGTCTCGGTGATGGTACCTATGGTCAGCATTCCCACGACCATACTGAAGTCTTAGTTTAGGAGTTTGAGTTAGGTGTGTTATGGGACGAATATGGACTTGTAGGAGACATCATGGTTTGTACCTTCATCATCATAGCCGTAGTGTAGGCTGACAACTTACAATATACGTGTTCTACAGCCATTCACCAACTATTTTCCACAAGCTGACATACACAAACTCCTCTCCCCCGACATTCTACATCAGCTAATTAAGGGAGCGTTCAAGGACCATATCGTCACCTGGGTGCATAAATACATCGAGGCTCAATACTCGGAAAACGAGGTGAATAGAATATTAGATGATATTTATCACCAGTAAGTTTAATTTTGAACACGCTGGGTTACTACTGCTGGTATTTACACACTCTACTGCTAGTATTTCTCTTGCTCCCTCATTCGCAGGCCTTTGACGATTTCCGGAGGGAAGAGGTTTCAAACAATGGACAGGAGACGATTTAAAAGCACTCATGAAGGTACGTCGATGAAAAAGTGTTCTATCATCATTAGTAGTGTTGACTAATGTGTATTCTTACTACTATAGGTCTATATACCTGCGATTGAAGGCCACATACCTCCAGAGATGGTGCTGACTTTGCAGGCCTTAATCGACTTTATATATATTGCACGGCGCAATATCATCGACTCCAACAGCCTCAATGCGTTGGACGATGCACTCAAGTGTTTCCACAGGCACTGTGAAATATTTCAAACATCCAGTGTTCGCCCTAATGGATTCAACCTCCCTCGACAACACTCGCTTATCCATTACCACAAAATGATCCAAGCATTTGGCGCACCAAACAGACTCTGTTTTTCCATCACAGAATCTAAACACATCAAGGCTGTCAAAGAGCCATGGTGGCGGTCCAGTCGGTTTGAAGCTCTCAATCAGATGTTACTGACAAATCAATGTCTGGATAAGTTAGTGGCCTCTCGTATCGACTTTGCTAACCATGGGATACTAAGAGGAACATGTCTATCATATATCCTCGACAAACTTGGTACATCTATTTGTCCACTGCTTATTATTTACTGTTAACGTGAATCACACTCATAATTCACAGGAATAAACGCTCCAGCATACAATGCAGAAGACATTCAAGTCCAACTCGAGGACGATGTCCTGCATGATTTGGGAATCATGCATGGACATGACTACTAGGTATACCCCTAAAAGACAAAGTCTGTTAGCTTAGTCCTCAGACTAGTCAACCCATACCTTGGTATCAAACCTTGGTCCAATAGTTTCAGTTTTCCCTCAGTGATTCATGAATCCACCATGTTTTGAAGAAAAGTCATATGTGAGATGGGAATCACATAATGACCTAGTTGATATGAGAAGCAAAAATGAAGGTTAAGGTATTGCCTTTCATTTGGCTTATTCACTTTGGCTAGAGAAACCCATAGAGAAAAGTTCAAAGCCTAACAAAAACCTATCTAAAAAGCCCGCGTATTGTGTACTATTATTTGTTCCATTATTTCTGAGTTGTTTTCTCTAGTGTTTCTTTACTTTACTTTTCTATTAGGATGCTCTGACTAATCAGATGCTTCATAAAATTGTACCTACAGGGTATGATGTCATAATGATGTCATAGGACTTCACCTACACTCCTGCAGGTATTTTGGTTGAAAGATATGATATCATAGTGATGTCATAATGATGTCATGTTCCATGGAATTTGCTAGAACATTCCAATGACTCATAATGACTCATAGTGACTCATAGTGACTCAGAATGATGTCATTATCCCACCATGAATATTCTGGAATGTTCTTTTGCACCTGCTAGAACATTCTGCTCCAGTTTTTTGGAATATTCTTCTCACATTCTGAAGTCATTACATCACCTTTTTACTTACATAATATTCCCACACAAAATGTATATAAGGAGAGCCCATTCTCCCCCCAAAAAAATAGATCTCCCACTTGTTGCATTCAAGAACCCCCACTTGAGCAAATTGAACTCTCACCTAAGAAGCTTCAGTCTGAACAAATTGCTGCTTACAAAGCCCATTTCCTTTGTAAGAACTGTCCAGGCAAGTGCAGGGAAAGTGTTTCCCTTGAGATTACATAAGTTTCTCGCGATAGAAACCCAGTTTTGTGAGACCAGTGTTCTCACCACGTAGTGTTTACTGACCAACACGAGCTTTGGTCACCGTTGTTATTTGTGAGACCAGCGTTCTCACCAGGTATTTGTATACTGACCAACACGAGCTTTGGTCATTGTTGTTATTTGTCATTGTTTTCTATTTGTCATTTGTTGTTATTTGTGAGACCAGCATTCTCACCAGGTATTTGTATATTGACCAACACGAGCTTTGGTCAACGTAGTCACATTTGAGACCAGCTTCTCAACAGTTAATCGTATATTCAGGAAACCAGTTCAAGTGTCTAGACGGTATATCCTAGACAATCCCATAGTTTCAATCAGAGATAATAAAGCTCCGGCTAAGTTAATCTAACTGATTGGTTTAGCGAGCCTCCCAAGAACTCACACGTTATCTACCACGAAAGAAGAAAAGTCGTAGACCGTGTTAATCGAGGACTGGCAAGAAGTCTTATCCAGTGTAATTGTGGTGTCATTACATTCTTACACGTATTTATATAAGACCCTCGGTTATTAAGACAACGAGCCTATTGTTATTCCCCATCTCAGACACAACAATCATGTGAATGCCGGGGCTGATGCAGACCAAGACAATGCTGCTGAGCCCAAGGGTGGTGCTGTTGCCGGACCGATGGTGATAGCACATGTGGACTTGGCAAAGAAATCTGGCAAGTGAACTCGGAGTACGTTTGCCTGGTGTGCTTTCACTTACAACAAATTTTAATGTAGCAAAACAGATCTACCCAGACCTCCTCGCAGATCAAATTGGTGAACCCAACCTCACGACTCATATTCAGCAATTTCTACATGACCAGCTCCATCGTTCTGACTCCAACTCAGAAGCCTCCGCTGACTCGTCCAGTTCCCTTCCTGAGCTATATGAAAAAATCACTCTGTATACATCAGCTGTTGCCACCTTCTTCGCTCCAAGTGACATCTCAGGCATCGGTGGTATGCACTACGAGCGTATTCGTGCTGTGGATACCTGGAGGAACGGCCCTGGTCGATATGACTGTGCTTTCATCAGTACTGATCCCACTGCTGAGGGCATGAGCGGCTTTGATATTGCTCAAGTAAGGCTTTTCTTTTCATTTAAACATGATGGTGTATATTACCCTTGTGCATTTGTGCATTGGTTCAAACGGGTGCACGACTCACGAGATGAGAACACAGGAATGTGGGTAGTAGAGCCTGAAACCCTCGAGGATGGGACACGCTTTGCCTCCGTCATTCACCTTGACTGCATTTTTTGTGCAGCACACCTTATGCCTGTATTTGGGTATGAATTTGTACCTACTTATCTCTCTTACACGCAGACCCTTAATGCTTTCCGCACTTACTATGTAAACAAATACACTGACCACCAAGCATTTGAGATTGCTTGGTGACTTGATAACTTATTCTTCTTGGTTTGACTTCATCCCATCTTGGATAGGAATGGTGTTGATTACTTATAAATAACCTTCGTACTTGAATGCGCTTTTCAGAATTTCAAGAGGTACTTAAATATAGCAATGCTGACATGTTGGATGCCATAGCCACTGAGTTGCCGCTTATACAACCTTCCCACTTGAACATGCTTAAAACTCAACATGTACTTAAATCACAGCCTCCAATCTGTTCTCATTTTAAACTTATATAACTGATCTGCTTAAACATTATTATCATACTTAATTTTGGCTATGCATTACTTACTATTATTGTGTTTCCTTTGTGAACTATTCTCCAAGCAGAAATTAAGTCGAAATGATTTGCTTTGACAACTTGGCGAACTTAGCGTTGAATTAAGTCTGTTCAAGTGAGATAAGATGGCTAAGAAAATTTCCCATTTTCCTGATGTGCAGTGTTGCCTGATTGTTATTCAAATACTAATCCTGCCCTCAACAGAATGCACCCGAAAAGAAGACCAGTTTTGCTGCTTCATGACATTACCGTCACTTTACTTGTACACAGATTATCAAATGTCCGGGTACAATTCTCTGGCAGTACATTATTGTCTCCCTGTATGTTGACTCCCACTCATGCGCTGAACAGCAGCCAGGGACATCAATTTTGATCATATTGCTGATGGCCGCCCCTCTCTCCCTCTTTCGTGAGATCTGTGCGTTGACTAGGGAGAGCCATCCCTTTGAACTGGCATGCACTCCATGCAGTAACAGTCGCTGCGGTAGCTCTTCAAGCATGTCCTTCGAGCGACACAGTAGCATGGAATCTCATTGAAAGTGAAGGGTGAGATATATGCACTTGCCTGTCCATCGTCAACTGGCGCCCACCCTCCACCTACACCTAAATAATCAGGAGACCATGTCTCCACATCTTCGACTTCCTCTTAGGCTCATTCATTGACGTCGAGCTTCACCCTTTCTTCTGGCACAGCAGTTAATTTGCCTGCATCATCCACATTATTCAATAGCAAGCCTTGTGAGGATGCAAGCAACAATGCATTCGCCATTCAGCTTACAAGGCTGTACCGCAGCATATCCACCCTAGAAACAAAGATATCAAATGAAGACCCTTATGATCATGTAGATGAAGGTCGCATCGTTCTCCAAGGATGAGGACACGAAGTTAGCAACAAAGACCTCCAGCAGCAAAAATGGACGAAGCTGATCTCAGACCATAAACAGTAAGCCGTTCTCCAGTTTTCATCATGATATCATTAATTGAATGTGTGCAGACTCACTGAGATGATGCATAATCTGATGGAGTTCTCCATCGCTCTGAGCATTCTCGCTTCCCTCTGCATAATCTCGAACTCCTTTGCTGCTGCCACCCCCCCTCCCCCCACTTTATCTCATCAGACTATATCTCCGTGTCTTCGACTTCCTCTTTGGCTCATTTATTAACATCAAGCTTTACCCTTTCTTCTGGCACAACAGCTAATTCATCTGCATTGTCCGCATTATTCAATAGCAAGCCTCGCAAGGATGCAAGCAATAATGCATTCGCTGTTCAGCTTAAAAGGCTGTACTGCAGCATATCCGCCATAGAAACAAAGATATCAAATGAAGACCCCGATGATCTCATAGATGAAGGTTGTGTCGTTCTCCAAGGACGAGGACAGAAGTTAGCAACGAAGACCTCCAGCAGCAAAAATGGATGAAGCTGATCTCAGACCATAAACGGTAAATCGTTCTTACCGCAGCATATCCACCCTAGAAACAAAGATATTAAATGAAGACCCTGATCTCGTAGATGAAGGTCATGTCACTCTCCAAGGACAAGGACACGAAGTTAGTGACGAAGACCTCCAGCAGCAAAAATGGATGAAGCTGATCTCAGACCATAAACAGTAAGTCGTTCTCCAGTTTTCATCATGATATCATTGATTGAATGTGTGCAGACTCGCCACCCCATGTTGTAGTCCTAGGCCTTATATACTGGCAATTGCCACATCGGAAGCTCATAATTGCCAGTTGTACCAGCAACATTCACATGCACTGGGAGGTGTTAAAGTGGGGGGTGAGGACAATGAGGCATGCCTTGAGGAGTTTGTGGAATGCGTGTGTCCAGAGGCAAGGTGTTAAAGTTGGGAATGAGGAAAACGAGGCATGCCTAAAGTGGGGGGTGAGGACAACAAGGCATGCCTCGAGGAGTTTGTGGAATGTGTGTCCAGAGGCAAGGTGTTAAAGTTGGGAATGAGGAAAACGAGGCATGCCTTGAGGAGTTTGTGGAATGCATGTGTCCAAAGGCGAATGATGATATTGTACTTGGCTGGGATGGGATGGGGTGGGGAGGGGGGGGGGGGAATAGATATGGGAATGCTCGGAGCAATGGAGATCCCCATCATATTATGCATCATCTCAGCAAGTCCAGCCTATATTGTAGTTTTTGACCAAACTCAACTGGCAGTTGCCACAAAATGCTTTGTCAAATAGTGTGGCAGTTGCCATAGGCTCATTTGCCCTAGCTGTTGGCTACAGGTCACAGCCGCTTTTTTGGCATTTTTGAAACCCAGCTATTTTTCATTCCACTACAGCTGTTGGCTACAGGTCACAGCCGCTTTTTTGCATTTTTGAAACTCAGCTGTTTAGAATACATTCCATATTTGGTGGAGGATGTATTCATATGTTATGACCACATTTTTTGGCTTCCAAAAGCGGAAATTCACAACACACATTCTATTTTTGTCACCTCCTCACATTAGGCCTCCCCACATTATTCCCACACATCACATTTTCGCATTTTTCAGCCACACAGTGTGGGAATTACCCCATAACACCCAAAACATTGCCTTGGCAATATGGTACACCCCACAATTATAATTATTCACACACCCTCCCCACCTTGCTGCAGCTTCACCACCACACCACAATAGCTCCCCATGCATATATAAGTAGTAGTTTAGTATATATATGTATAATATAATATAATAGACCACTTTTTGGAACAAAAACACACAAAATCGCATTTGTGACATTTTTGATGTTTTTCAGTATCTCACCCTTGCATACATAGTCCACCTTGCTCATATATCATCATTTGTATGTATATAAATGTGTTTTATGCCCAGGATCAGCTCACAATAGGCCGGAGTTTTGAGGTAGTGCATATACTTACTATTTCTACTGATAAGGGGCCTATACCTTCAAAACATCGAGATTTCATAATCAGACACCTGGGGCACGTTTAGGATATACTCAGTATCGTAGATCTACATTTACTAAACGATCCAACAAGAATTGAGTGCTGGGGAAGTGAAATAGATAAGAAATTGAGTGTGGGAAACTCAAAGACCCAAAACATCGAAAATGGTCAGTTGAGCAGTGGTAGGACTTTAATGCTGTATCAACTTACTTTACCCTCACATCCCTTTTACATCTCTTCCACCCTCAGGGCAAAGTGTAGTGTAGGTTCCTTGTGTAATTTAACATGTATCCTATTAAAATTTAATCAAATCTTCGACCTATATTACATGTAAATGTGACTTTTGTGTGATATGTGTTAATTGTCACTTTTCACACATATGTTCCTTTGCTTCCCTTTCATTCAATACTTGATGGATCGTTTAGTAAATGTAGATCTACGATACTGAGTATATCCTAAACGTGCCCCAGGTGTCTGATTATGAAATCTCGATGTTTTGAAGGTATAGGCCCCTTATCAGTAGAAATAGTAAGTATATGCACTACCTCAAAACTCCGGCCTATTGTGAGCTGATCCTGGGCATAAAACACATTTATATACATACAAATGATGATATATGAGCAAGGTGGACTATGTATGCAAGGGTGAGATACTGAAAAACATCAAAAATGTCACAAATGCGATTTTGTGTGTTTTTGTTCCAAAAAAGTGGTCTATTATATTATATTATACATATATATACTAAACTACTACTTATATATGCATGGGGAGCTATTGTGGTGTGGTGGTGAAGCTGCAGCAAGGTGGGGAGGGTGTGTGAATAATTATAATTGTGGGGTGTACCATATTGCCAAGGCAATGTTTTGGGTGTTATGGGGTAATTCCCACACTGTGTGGCTGAAAAATGCGAAAATGTGATGTGTGGGAATAATGTGGGGAGGCCTAATGTGAGGAGGTGACAAAAATAGAATGTGTGTTGTGAATTTCCGCTTTTGGAAGCCAAAAAATGTGGTCATAACATATGAATACATCCTCCACCAAATATGGAATGTATTCTAAACAGCTGAGTTTCAAAAATGCAAAAAAGCGGCTGTGACCTGTAGCCAACAGCTGTAGTGGAATGAAAAATAGCTGGGTTTCAAAAATGCCAAAAAAGCGGCTGTGACCTGTAGCCAACAGCTAGGGCAAATGAGCCTATGGCAACTGCCACACTATTTGACAAAGCATTTTGTGGCAACTGCCAGTTGAGTTTGGTCAAAAACTACAATATAGGCTGGACTTGCTGAGATGATGCATAATATGATGGGGATCTCCATTGCTCCGAGCATTCCCATATCTATTCCCCCCCCCCCCCTCCCCACCCCATCCCATCCCAGCCAAGTACAATATCATCATTCGCCTTTGGACACATGCATTCCACAAACTCCTCAAGGCATGCCTCGTTTTCCTCATTCCCAACTTTAACACCTTGCCTCTGGACACACATTCCACAAACTCCTCGAGGCATGCCTTGTTGTCCTCACCCCCCACTTTAGGCATGCCTCGTTTTCCTCATTCCCAACTTTAACACCTTGCCTCTGGACACACGCATTCCACAAACTCCTCAAGGCATGCCTCATTGTCCTCACCCCCCACTTTAACACCTCCCAGTGCATGTGAATGTTGCTGGTACAACTGGCAATTATGAGCTTCCGAAACTCAATGCTGTGCTGCACGCCACGAATATAACTCAGACAAAACTTTCATCAGGCGCCACCTTTGAGTCATCTTCTCTGACTCTTATAACTCAGTCTTCCAAGTAAGTGGGTTTTTGGGTGTTTGATTGTTTGGTGAACTTATCAAATGCCCTAGAACATGCCTGAAACATGTCCTGCCTGCAACAAAGAGCTCACATCAATAACTGGCTATAATCAGGCACCTTGCCAAAACCACCAATCCAGCTTGTCGTGCTCTCTACCTTGCCTCACAGCAGTTTCGTGCAAGTCTGCCTGCTCCAGATCAACAGGACAACGAGTCTGACATGGATATTGGAGATGTACCTGACCTGAATCAATCGCCCACCGCACTTTGAAGGTGATTTCTTTGGGATATATGCTGAGGATGAACTTGAGTGGCCAGCAGAATTTGGTGATGGAGGGGATGTGGACAACACGCCTGCAGATGATGAGGACTCAGAAGACGACGGTGATGCTCCCGACGAATGGGAGCCTGTGTTATTTGCATCACCTCACAATACACACAAGGAAGATAATGAAGATGAACATTATGGCACCCAGGACCCACATATCTTGGATGTGCAAGAGCCGGATGCTCACCACAGGGTAGAGCAGTGCCTTCATGACCATGAGCAGGTACCTATAGTTGTCCATTACCCTGATCAACGAGCCGGACAGCCCATTGATCCAACCAAGCAGTTGAGAAATGTGACTTATCATGCACAGCTCGACGGCTCAGGCACAGATAATGCCTATACTTCATTTGCTTCGAAGCTTGATTGGGAGATGGCACGATGGGCAAAATTGCGAGGTCCCAGCTCAACTGCGTTCTCAGAGCTCATCTCTATTGAAGGTGTCAGTTCATGGCATCTCTCAAAGTCGTCAGGATTAGTCTGACTGTAGTCCTCCAGCTCAGTGAAATGATGGATCTCTCCTTCAAGAATGCCCGTGAATTGAACAAGATCATTGATCAAGAACTTCCAGGCCGTCTGAAATTTAAACGAGAGCAGATAATCATTGCCAATGAAGTGTTCGATGTGTACTATTGCGATATCATCGAGTGTATCAATGCTCTCTTCAACGACCCAAATTTTGCAGACTTTCTTGTATTCGCACCTGAACGACACTATGCCGATGAAGATGAGACAGTTCATTTGTATCACGAGATGCATACAGGTAAATGGTGGTGGAATAGTCAGGTTGGTATTTTGTGCCTTTTTACAAAGCTGGGGTGCAGTAGACTAACACTGTTTGTAGAAACACCTCGACCATGAGTGCCCTGGCATGACAATAATTCCCATCATCATTTCATCGGACAAGACTCAAGTTACATTGTTTCATAACAAGACTGCATATCCTGTGTACATGACAATCGGAAACATTCCCAAGGAGATCCGTCGAAAGGTGTCACGCTGAGCTCATGTCCTTCTCGCATACCTACCAACCACCCGCCTTGAACACGTCACCAATAAAGCTTCTCGCCGCCGCATGCTCACTAACCTATATCATGCTTGTGTGGGGCGCGTGCTGGCTCCACTTGCAGCTGCAGGCATTGATGGAATCAATATGCGAAGTGGTGACGGGGCTATGCGTAGATGCCATCCCCTGTTTGCATGCTTTGCAGGGGACTATCCAGAGCAGTTTTTAGTAACTGGAGTCAAGACCACTCAATGTCCAAGCTGTGATGTTCCCTCAGATGAGCTTGGTCTCGCAGCAGGTGCTGCAGACTATCAACTGCGAAACCTGGATGCAGTACTCGATGCCCTCAGCGCTCTCGACGAAGGTGGGTTAGCCTTTGTTCGTGCATGTACAGAGGCTGGCATCAAGCCCATCGTTCACCCATACTGGGAGGGATTACCATTCGTCAACATATTTGAATCTATCACCCCCGACATTCTACATCAATTGTACCAAGGACTCGTCAAACATCTCCTCGCTTGGCTTTCAGATGCATGTGGTAGTGCAGAGATTGATGCTAGATGTCGTCGCCTTCCCCCGAATCACCACATCCGACATTTTATGAAGGGCATCACGACACTTTCGCGCTTGAGTGGCACAGAGCATAACCAAATCTGCCGTTTCTTACTCAGGATTATCATTGACATCAGACTACCCAACATGTCTTCTCCCCAGCTCCTCTGTGCTGTTCGTGGCCTGTTAGATTTTTTATATCTTGCCCAATATCCATGTCATAGTTCAGAGACACTGACTATTCTGGACGAGGCACTCAATCTCTTCCATGACAACAAGGACATTTTCATCGACTTCGGCATTCAGAACTCATTCAACCTGCCAAAACTCCATTTTGCGCTTCACTATGCTCACATGATTCAAATGTACGGTACAACAGATAATTACAACACCGAGTACACTGAACACCTTCACATCAACCTTGCTAAAGATGCGTCTCGCTCCACAAACCACAAGAATGAATTCGCACAAATGACGACCTGGCTTGAGCGCAGAGAAAAAAATTTCTGCCATGAGAAATACATACAGTGGAGACTCGCAGGCACCGCACATCACCCACATCATCACCCTCGACCTCCGGAGATGTCATTTTGTTGCACTCAGACAATGGCAAAGCATCTGAGCGTCAAGGCAGTCACATTAGAAAAGCTCGCAAACAAATATGGTGCTACATACTTTTGCAAATCTCTCGCATGCTTCGTTGTGAAAGCAACACTTCCACTGAACACTACCATTCCATCTAGGCAGCTCGAAGATCGAGCTGCTGATGTGTACCTACCATTTCAAATACTGCCAGTATTTCATAAGGTGAAGTGGATCTCAGTTGGTGTCCGTGGCCATGGCAATACTCCGGTCACACTTGATAGTGTGCATGCACATCCTGGACGTTCAAGGTCATTTGCCTCAGACAGTGTTGCATCTCGATTTGATACTGCATTCATCAATGACGGTACAGGTGGGCCACTCGGCATCAAAGGTGAGTCCTGATTGTTATGGAACTAGCGGTACATCAATGCCTAACATTTACATAGGATATTGAATAGGACAGGTCCGCACTGTGTTCTCGATCCCTCCCAAAGCTCTTGCTATACTCTTTCCCCCAACATTCCGGCCTCCAAAACACCTTGCCTATGTCGAATGGTTCACTGCTTTCCATGCACCCGACCGCAATCAGGGCTTGTGCAAAGTCTCGCGTGTCATCAAAGATGGGGAACAAATAGTGAGCATTATTCTGGTCAGTAACATTCATTGTAGTGCACATTTAATTCCGCAGTTTGGCCCTACTGCTCCTCGTGAATGGAGTTCTGCCAATGTCCTTGACAAGTGTCAAACATTTTTGTAAATCCGTACTTAGATAGACATAGCTTTGTAACACTGCGCTAATTGTAGGCCATTGTCATCAACTTGTAGTTCCTAGAGCTAACTAGTATTAATTTTGACAATTATCAAAAATTTATCTAAATAGCTCTAAGTTTGTGCAGGAGGGTTTTCCTGATGTATATTTTCAATCCAATTCTCCAGTCAAACTGAATACGAGTTCATTCTCAGACCATACAATAGCAATCGGGAAGACGATTGACGTGTATCTCCATTCCAAGTGCGAGCTAGATGACCACGCCATGCATCTGCTTTTGTTTGCTAACCGCTGGGGACTTGTGTGAGCACAATCATTGCCTTTGCCATCTCTTCGCGTTCGATGACATCATTTATATTTCTTTGAACGCAGATCCACGATTGCAGCTCATCTTGCACAAGGGACGACCATCCTTGCTGACTGATATGCATTTTCTGGTACTGCATTTTCAGCTCTTAAGGACTACCGTACGAATGGTGTCATGCTCTGAATCCCAATGTGAAAAACACAACCTGACTAGGCACTTTTTAAGGTACTCAGCCAGTATATGTCTAAGCTCTGCCTATGTTGCTATACTTGCAAACAAAAGCAAGAATGTTCGACCTGAGGAAAAGCTACTAAGGACAACTCAAGATCAAAAGACCCGAAAGAGCGCTAAAGCGCGGGAATAGCGCATCGTAAGATAGAGCGCTAATGCGCGGGAAAGAGCGGAAGTCAAGAAAGCAGACACTGAGTCAAAGGAGGGTAATGAATAGCGAGTGAGATCAAGGGTATTGATTGCAAGGGTAAGGAAAGTCAAATAGGGGCCATAGAGCGCAACTAAAGGGTGACTACTTCTAAGTAAAACCTAAGGGAAAGGACATACAGTTGAAGGGGAGTAATGTCGAAGTAGTCACCATAGGCTTCTTATACTAGTAAACTATACCATCTCGGACTTGGAAGGGATAGGATATACATGTAATAAGACTATAGCACTTGTTACAAACTCGAGGCAAGGCAAATTACATACCAATGAGGTAGGATGGACCATGGATGGATTCCGACGTTTCGGGTGGATCCTAGAGCGCGAGAACAGCGCGCTGGATAAGCGCTAAGCGCGGGAACAAGCACTAGATAGAGCGGACATGCACTAATGCTCCTATAGACACATTGCTGGTAGTTCTGATAGTGCTATAAGCGCGGGAATAGCGTCAGATAAGTCGTGGGAGCATGAATAGTGCTGCAGGAATGTGCGTGCATAGTGCAGGAAAGTGCGGAATAGCGTCGGACAAGGGTTATGGCTGAGACAAGTGAAGACTGCTGATAGGGGAGTAGTGAATGATATGAGGGATAACTTTGGTCCACCTATTGAAGGCTTATGCAGGTATACATGCCTAGCACCAATATGATTGTCACACCGAGGTCGGACTGTCTGCACCAGACCTTACACTCCTCAATATCAGTCCAGAGATTGCAGCTGCGGGGGGTGGATATGGGCCCGAGAGGTACGAGAAAGAAGAAATCATAAAGGCGTGAGGCGGGTATTTGATAAAATTAGTCAGGCAGTGCAGGAAGAGGGTGAGGGCCAGTTGTGGAAGATGGTGTTCGAACATTCAATTATCTATCAGCAGGCGATGCTATGCCACTATGGGAAACAGCTCTAATCCTGGCCGGGATACCCAAGGTGGGAGCTGGCCACACCGCATTGTAGAATACCACAACCCTACGGGTACCCCTGGACCCATTATTTCTTTATTGTTTTACCACGGAGTCTCATCCTTCACTATTGCTTTCAGTAAGTATGATACATCTACAACTTTAGCTGCTCATTGAGCGCTCAGTTTGGGATAGTCCAGGGATTGATTACGGACTCAATTTTTTTTGGAAAGATTGCACTTCCCGAAGCATGTAATGATCCAAAGAACCAATTCACTGTCCAGCAAGATGAAGATACCAGATTATCGAGTTATCAGGTTATCAAGAGCCAGATCAGTCATAAGATATGATCATACCTAGGGATAAGATTGAAGATTGTAGATACAAAACATGACTACACAAAATAATATGGTACAGCTAGACAAAATCTGCATGTAATGTGTGGTACCACTATTTATTGGAGAATGCATTGAGATAAAAATTATCATAGTGTTCGAGAGATGTTGTGGATGAAACAGAGCGATCCATCATTGTTCCATAGATGGGTATCAATTCTACTGCATGTGTAACATCGATAAGCTGTACTATCTTCCTGATCCTTGTGCGACTTGGAGAACGATCAGATGCAGGATAAAATGAATGTCGAACTCGGTACATGGCAATGTGCAGCTCAGGGGTGCAGCTATTTCGAATTGCTGAACATACAGAAGAGGTTCCTTGACCTCTCCCAGTAGCTGCGACCCTTGTGGCGACAATGCGAAAACCATTCGAACTTGAACGATGCACGGTACTAAAGCCAGATCAGTACGCGGAATTGAGCAAAAACTTGAAAACTTACAGGACTTTGGGTGAGCATCTGTAGGTTGAAGGAGAATGATATCACAGTTTCCAAATGGATAAGTATCATATGGTGGATAGGCTTGAACTTGCTGGCTTGGCGTGATGTTGCATGGACGAAGTTGGGAATGAAGCTGGAGCCTAAATTTGTACCAAGCTTTAAGCAGGTGACTGTGATACAGCGAGTTTTGACCTGATACACCGTCGAGATACTGTGAAAGGACATTTGGAAAATCTGTGAGATGATAATGTTGGGCGAGAGCGGCAGCTGAACGATCAGCAAGATCGTGAGCGATGGTAATGTGAATGGCGGCATTAGCCTCGTCAGAAAGGAGGCCTTTGAGAAAGTGATTGCAAACGGGGCGAATTGCCTGAAAGCGATGCATTTCCTGTGGCGCAACGCGCGCTATCCAACTAAAGGTAGGATCCATATTGACGACTTCGTTGAACTCGTCGTCCATGACATTGATGAGAGATATCCCTCATTCACGCAGGAGGGCGTACAGGTCAAATTGTCTCATCACATCCTCACGGTTAATGATATTGACGATCTGCTGTGTGAATGTGCCTCGTTGGTGACTTGTTTGTTGGAAAGCCGTCTTGCAATGTGTAATCAGCAGCCACTCGCTGACATCCGCAGAATGTTGTATAAGGGCACCTGATTGTCAGATCGGATGAGCGAATGAATTGAAAGATTCGAGTTTGGGGATTTGAAAGTGACTGATAGGGCCCGAAGTTCCCATGCGAGCCTCCGCCTCTAAGATAAAGTGTTTGTAGGCGTGGAATTCATTCAGGGAGGACACCATACTGTCAATGGAGGAGCGGGTAAAAGTAGGAGCCTGTGCTTTGTATATGAAGTTGATCAGAGTGCGGATAGCACGGGCGAATTCATCAGATGTCACACCCGCAATAGTGGGGACAAGTGTTCGCTGAATATCACGATGCTCGTGTCCGGCCATCTGGTTCACATGAGACACACCATCGTGGAAATGGCATGTACCAACCCGTTTATGCTGGCTGTGGAACCTAGCATCGAGCTCGCTGGGGCCTATCACCTCCTTGCACCACTTCAGCAGGTGGTCAAAAAAAAACTTATGGCACGCATGCAGTATCTCTGGGACAAGGAAGATTGAAGGGTCTGCGCGCCCCCAGTTGCACCAATATGGCTGGTGGACACCACTGAGGAAATGTTGCTTGGCCAGCTCCTGAAATTCCCAGACCTTCCAGGGATCCGTGATTTTGCAAAGTTCGTGTAGTTTCTGTAGTGTATCTGAGCCACGACGAGGGGGGTATGCGATGCCATCGCTGAACTGTGCCTGCATGGCTAAAGTTGTCGGTGAAGCGTTTTTTGAGACACACGCGATCATGGTTTGCTCGGGAAGATCAGCGATATGGGTGGCAAGTGGTGTGAATGCGTAACACTGACAACCCATGGGGTCTACCATGAATTTGCCCACCCCAGCAGTGACATTCAGATTCTGCAAGACCAGATCCATACACTTATGCCAGACGCGCACTTCCAATAACCCAGAGAATTCACTATTCACTACATATTCCTAGGCCCGGAATGTAGGCGATTCACGCCCATGCGTGCAATGTGGCCTTCATGCGTATTTCAGAGTGGATGTTGCCAATAGTAAGGAATGTTGGGTGCATCTCGAGTGAGCCCGTCTGTCGGGTGACTGGTGTCTTATCGGATGTGAGAATAATGGGCCCGATAGTTGCGCCAACAGGCAATTGATCCTAGTAGAAACCAGTTTGATTAACAAACAATGTTAGTGCAGTACGGATGAAAGGTGCTTACTTGAATTTCGGATGCCTGTTCACAAGACATCCACTCTCCATACTTGTGCTCACCATTGTCGTTTATCTCATAAGGATTGTATTCCATATGGTTGGCGAAGATTGGATTGCCGAAAATATGGTGCACAACTTCTAGGGCATCTCGCCAAATGAGATTCACGTGGTGGGTAGTTGTATATCCGTCAGTATGGATGGGCGTACACTTCCATCTGGGGGTCACTGGTAGTACATCCATGAAAGTGAAGAGTTGTTTTGCGTTCTTGAAGGATAACGGCTTTCTAGTCTCTGAAACCACCTGGAAGAACATCATTAGCACAGTTCATGTAAATTAGTTCAAACAGACCCAGAGAAGCTTCAAGAACCGAGTGATCTGCCCCTGGTTAAAGTTGTCGCATAGAAACTTTGCAAGTTCCCACTCTGCTCTATCTGAAAATGGGTAATATACACTGTGTTCCCGCATCACCTCAAAATTGTCTTGTTTCATTCGTTCGAAAGTATTGGGCTCTCCAAGCCCATGGATGTAACCCGATTTGGGATGAAATTGCCCTTGTCGCAGCTGGTCCTCTGATGTTTGGGGGACACGGAAAGCAACTGGAGGAGGAATGAGACACCGATAACATCCTGGATAGAGGGCCTTATAATGAGCACATTCGATTTTAAGAGTTAAAAATTCGCACCTGGATCATCAGAAAGGTGAGCACAAATATCATCTGCGGTGTCAAAATCATTAGAACAGATAGGGCATTTGACTGATTTGTTGACACTATGTACTTGTTAATCCGATTGAATCCAGAGTAAGCAGCACTTACTTGATGCCACTGAATTGATCAGTGGGGTGACTATTAGGACTAGGTGAATCGTTTGGGTTCATAGCTGCAGCACTAGTACGAGTGTGCACGCCTTCAAACAATCTTCAAAAATTCTCTAAGTCTTTCAACATCCGAAGTCAGTGCCCAGCTCACCACTCATGCTATCATCAACAGTCAATCGTAGCCAAACTATGGCCGCAACTACGAGTCAGTTACCCATGAGGGGACCATCTAAAACTCTTTCAAACTGTTCCTCTAGCCCTGCAAGTTCTCACACTTGCGTCGAACTGTCGTCCTCTTTCCACAAAGACAAAGCGGGTGTCAAATCCGAACACATTATGGATGTCTTTAGTTCTCCCAAAACACACTATATTCCATCATCTCCTCATGAATTCACCTTTCCAGAAACTCCTTCTCGTTCTCGAGAGATGAGCACTAGATCTCCCCTAACATCCCCCACCAAACCAAGGTTTCACCCATATGTAAAATCCAGGGGAACTGCAGCTGCCACAACTCAGTTTGCATTGGATTCCCTGCAAGGCCTGACTGCCAAAGAACTGAACCCAGGCTGCTACATTGATGGTAAGTAATATCATTCCTAAATGTCTCAAATGTCTCAAACGTCTCATAAGTCGCACAGGCTAAGGAGGTTTTCACGTGTGGTCTTGCGAACCTGCCAGATGACATGCTATGTGAAGGCGCAATGGCACAATATGCCACTTGTGAGGTAGCTAGACAGGAACTCATCACGGCGACATGGAAAGTTGAAGCAAGCACCCGCTGGTCAAAATTCCTTGCCAGTGCTTCAAAGCACTTAAAAACGCAACATGACTACTGCAAGACTGATCTTGAGATCTGGGAACAAGCATGCACTAATTGCGGGCTGAAAGATCTCTTCAATGACAAAGCCTTCTATGAACATTCAACTTCTCAAGGGACTCTGACATTGGCATTCCTGCAGGAACAAGCTCGCCTATTGAAGGAGTATGTCGAGGAACGAGGGGCAGATATAGGTGGTGGCCATTCAGAAGGTAGCTGTTCAGGCGGTAGTGACTATGAACCAAGTGAGTATGACAGCCCTTCTTTTCACAATGATGGTATTATTTCGGAAGTTTGACTGTAGTAAGCATGATTTGTCGCATATTGTTTTCATTTCCAGAAGCTGTTATATTACATATAATCCCTTGCAGCATGTTGTTTTTGACGTGTGCATTACATGTACATACTGTATTGAGTGGGTGATACAGTGAATTTGTCTCGAATCAATTATCATTTTTGTCCATCTGATCATCATACATTTGTGCCTGCATCCCATTGGTGAGTACATTTTGGGTAACATACATGTGGCTAATTCTTGAACTTTATCATGTACCACACCAGTGCCCTTGTCTGCAATCTCTATCATGCCGCTAAAGTCCACCCAAGGCAAGAAATCCACGATGGAAGAAACCACAAAACTCTAGGGTATGAATTTTTTGTAGCTTTAGAACAGTACTAATCTAATCAACAGCAAATCCGCAAACCAGCGAGAAGAAGCAACAAGAACCCTTGCCTGAACGCTGATGACAGCCAAGTCGGACGCACAGTAGAGCAAACAGAGCAGCCAGAGTTGGGGTGCAATGATACATTATCAGTTTTGCACGAGGAAGAGATGCTGGACTCTGAGTTTGATGACTTTGACGATGCAGTATCACAACACGAGCCGCCACAAAGCCTGATCCATCATGAGCCCCTGTACAACAACCATCATCCTGAGGAATACACATCAGTGTACCACCCTCCATTCCCGCAGCACGAGCCTCAGATGCTTGTGCCACCCTTCCAGCCTCAACACATCTAACACCTTGAAATGAACCAAGTTCCTTTCCAATGTCCATTTGCACCTCAGACGCCATTCCCTCCGATGAACCAGGCTCCTTACCAGCCTCCATACGCACATCAAACGGACAATTCATTTCATCAGCACAGGCCTAATCTAAACTGGATGCCATCTCTGCAATACACCATGACCACAGAGGAACTCTTCTTAAGTTGCTCCGTCAACAAACCGCTTCCTCCTACTGTGCGTGGTGTGGACCACCTCAGCAGACACCTGCGGGACCCAGAGGCACAATCTATACGTCCATCGCCATATGCCCTCCCAGGGCTGTGGAAAGTGACTGTATTTGGCCCCCATCGTCAGGACGAGCATTACCATGGTGAATGGCAGAATACAGGTGTTGTTCATGTGCGTTCAAACATCTCTACACTATCACTCGCCTTATTTTTAGCTAGGCTGGAAGCAGTAAAGAAGTCGCTCAGAAATGCCCCACAGTAAAAGATCTACCACCACGCCCATTGCCCCCTTTAAATGTATCTGTTGCTAGTGCGCAACATGGCGCACCACCACATCCACATCCACATCCACATCCACATCCACATCCACATCCACAACCTACTCAGTCTCATAACGATGGCAGTTCAGATCCTCATCTCAATCTCCCTCAGCAGGAAGCACAAACCACTCAGGCTGATCCCCCCCCCCATTCCTATACCTGCTGAGCGAGTCGATGAGGTCAGTGCTAGTGCGAAGTCGAAGATGCGACGAGCCGTGCTGTCAACAAATGGTATGCCGACTAACAACAAGAATACCACCATGGCGCGTGCTGCATTAGCAGAAGCTATTGCAAGCACTCTGAACCTTCCGCTAGGCCAATATTACTTCCCAGACACAGAGACACTCATAACTTCGCTCACAAAAATCACTGGCACTGTCCGAACAGTCGTGAAAGCTGCTGCGTGTATTATTGCACAGCACAAGTATGAGCTTGGACTCAATATATGGGATATGTCGTCAGGAAGTTGCTCACAAACTACAGATCATGCCCGCACTCACGACACACCTGCAATGTTTGTTCACCTCTGCGAACATAGTAGGTCATTTCGCTCGTGGTGGGCTGTACTGACCAGTGACAATTAACCAGACACTCGACGGTATTTTACAATCTGTCACTGTGCTCAAGCATGATGGACTGGTTAGTCTCGTCATTGAGATCTTGTGGGCCCACAGGTTTTATAAAGACATTGATTTTGATGATCTGACAGCGCTGGATGGTGTTATCGCTCTTGCAGGCGCAGCGCTGTGCTTGGCGCTTATGGAGTACAAGGCTGGTACATACAAATGTGTTGAATTTTCAACAGCAAAATCGGGTGATACTTACCGGAGCATTCTTACATACATTTCGAACAAGATATACCCAGTGCATTTCAAGGCATTGAAGGCAAAGATCAAGGAACACGGGGAAGCCAGGCTGGGTTTGTAGTACTATAGATGCATACATAATGATATCGATGATGATTGTGTACTATCTTTGATTGTGATAAGGCAATGATCAGTGATAATCTTTCTTTTATCTGAAAATCTATGATCAATCTCATCTCTGTCGTTTTAGTGAGTTTTACCTCACTGTCATATACCATATATCCGGTTACAGATCCGATGATCCGGATCTCAGATCCGATCCAGATCCGATGAACATATCCGTCGTCCGGTCCACAGATCCGCTTTGATTCTTATTTCATTTCCTGTTCATATAACTCTAACTAATCGTTCATCTCCTTTCGGTATTCCTGTACACCGGTATACCGGTTATCCTTTACTTCCGCTTTGCTTACTGATCCGCTACACTTACGAATCCGCTTTTACTTGTACTTCATTCCCGGTTCATGATTCGTGATCCATCCGACTTACCAATACGCTCCACTTAGACTTTGCTTATACTTTCGTACATAGCCTCGCACCTTTGCTTATTGATCACTCCGTTAGCTATCCGTAGTATATAAACCTTTGTATATGCGCTGTAGTAGATCAGTTCGAATATCATCTTAGATTGCATTCATTCCGTCTGGACTCTAAGTCCCTCCGTTATCCGTCCGGACTTGAGTACACTACTCTTGTCTACTCCGAGACTTAGGATAGATTCCTATAGTCTACATATCTGCCTCTGTCTTCGGACAGTCCTCACCTGTTAGTTTCTAGTCCGGATCCGATCCGGATTAGCCATTACTCTATACGTTCGATATCCGGAAGTCTTAACAGATCCGTTGCAATACTTATCCGTTGCAATACAAGACTTATCCGTTACAATACTTATCCGCCTCACTAGACGCGATACTTTAGCTCTCTGAAATAAGGGGCAAGACTCGGGAAAGGGGCACAGCGCACGAGCTGAGGCCGAAGCCCTTCGGATCTGATACTACTTGAGTACGGTCTTAACACTCACCTTGCATGATCTCCACCAATCGGCAAGCTGCATCACTGAGTCGTAAGTGTTCATAACACATCAAACTTCTTACACTACTAAGCGAGAACTTGGGTGTTTTACAGATGCTACCGCTTGTTTGACATTCACGGCACGAATAGTCGCATCCCAGGGCTTATTGTGTCCTCCTGAGCATAAAGCTATGTGTTGGATTGCTCTATGAGCGTCTTGAGGCTCTCTGCATGAGCAACGGTGTTTCATATTAGCTTCATATCTCATCTAGTCCAATTTCCTAGGCGCTCGATACAAGATCGGTCCAAGAATCCGTGCACTCAAAGTGCCACAGGTCCATATCCCCGACTCTATGAAGTAGGGAGGGTTCTGTCAGATCCAAACATCCAGGCACCTGTATTTTCATGTGCGCGTGAAAACATTTCCTTTTTCTGCAAGTGGACCACAAGCCTAGACACCCTCGGGCATTTGTGGCCGTCGTGCTTTCTGATGCTGACATTGTATGTTATCCATTTGTCTTTGTTTTTGCCTGAAGCTGTTACTCGTCAATCATTGAAACAATGAATATCTGCCAATCAATATTGATTTTCGACTGTCCAATTTCATGGTGGTTTGCCTCTCTCCCTTGACTATCTTCCTTCAACTTCCGCCTTGCACTTGAGTCTACTTTCTATCATGTCTCAGATGCCTTGTCCTGCCAAGCCTGGCCCATGTAACTGTTGTCCGCCTTCAACTGCCTAGCCTGGCCCACGTACCTGTTGTTGTCTCACATAACTTCTCCTGCCAAGCTGCTGGCACGTACCTGTCAGGTTTTGCACTTGAAATACCGCCAGTTCTGCATCCTTCTTGCTTTCGTCTTGTGAATGAACCCCCCGCCCTGGTAAGCTTGTCCTCTGTCGTGATGTCCTTTTCAGTTTGACACACCTCTTCCTTCTTCAGGTGCTGTTCACATGTCATCGCAGTTTATGTGCAATATTGCGTGCACACACGCTCGTGTTCTTGATGTTGCAGATTGTCCACCCCATGATGTTGATCACCTTACCCAATCATACCCTCTGTTTTATGACCTGCTGTACTACCCACAGTATCATTCTGCCTGTTTGGTAATGCGGCCAGTTTTTGTAATTGGTTGCAATCATTGCTCGCCTTGCACAGATGCACTTGTTACTGTTGCACTCAGCCTCCAACACGTATCACTGTTACCACTCTTTCTGCTGATGTTCAGGTTCAATTCGACGACCATGTGATGACTTTCACTCGAGCAAATTTTGAGATTTCAGTGTACACGCACTGCACAGTGTTTGCACAGTTTAGCACCCATCATCCTGATCGGGTGGAACAATCTGGAGTGTTGTCTTGTGGCCACACTGAACGCTGATCTGCCTTGGCTTTCGCATCCCATCACTGATTATGAAGTACCACTCAATTTATTATCCACTCCCATTCTTCGTGTGGCAGCACAGCGCATTGGGTGCAAGGGATCTGAGGCCCGGTGCAAAGATAACAGCGTTCAGTATGTATTACGACATTTTGCACAATCTTGTACTAAGCTATCAGCTGCGCCCGATGAACACCTCTGTCATAATGCAGTCAAACTTCCTCCTAATTCTTTGAGAACAAGAGCCACATTGATTGCGGCTGAGTTTCATGATGACTATGGTGCAGATGTTGCAGCTGCTTTGCGTTCTCTCGCGTTCATTCTGGCATCTGTTCATGCACCCGTTACCCCTCTGTTTGTAGCCAATTCACCCATGTGGGTGGACACCCCTCTTGATGACCTCACTTGTCGCCTTGAGTGCCTTTCTCGAGATGACGTGCACACATCTATTCGTCGCTTACCCCACCAATACCATTCATTGTATAACACACAGTCGCATCGAAAATCGTGCAATGCTCTCGCGAATTGCGTCCATCTGCGCACACATTATTTACGTCAACTTGCTGACAATGCATTGGGTGAGCTATATTTAAGGGCTTGTCCGTTTCCCAGTTCCCCATTGCTTACACGTCACACAGTGTTGATTACTGTCTTAGAGTATGAATTTGGCACAACTGTCATTCAGTGCTTAGGACAAGAAGTTGAGTCGGTCTCTTCAAGGCGTAAAGTCGCTCATGCTGAAGTCAAACTGTCTGTCCTAGCTGATGCTCGTGAAGACCGTGCTGTGCACAAACAACTGTGGCCTAGCCCTGTTTCTGACGATGTTGTCTTTCAGCGGCTGAACCAGTACATGGCCGCTTCAATGTGGACAGAGTCCCCTGTTTGTGCTGTCTGTTCCCAATACGACAAACACGCAGTGAAGCACTCACTTCATGGTGATTTAACTACTCTTCATCTTGAGATCTTATGTATTTCTGACCCTTATGTGATCCAGAAATGTGTAGTTCAGTCCCTTTCAGCTTGTTTTTTGTACGGCAATGAATTGATTGACGTCCTGACTTTGGATAAGTGTGGCTTGGTGTTCCAAGGCTCTGAGGCTGTATCCATGTTTGTGTGTCCTTCATGCCAGACATTGCTCGCACAAGACAAACTTCCCGCCTTTGCGCTTGCCAATTGCCTGTATTGCGGAGCCCTTCCTGAGAGATTTCAAGATCTCACCTGGCTGGAGGAGAAAGTGTATGCTATTTACTCGATCACAGCTCACATCACGTGTCTTTTCAGTCTTCTGATCTGTCTCAGCCAAAAGTGTTTCATGGCAACACCTGTGCACATGACATGAATGTGATGTCTATTGCTTCTGTCTTGCCATGCACTCCCGTGGACATCAATGGGTTCTTGAGTGTCATGTTCATTGGACCTGACACATTTGATCCCAAGCGCATGGGCACACTGTTCCATGTACGAAAACACAACATCTGGTCCTTTTTGGTGTGGCTGAAGGCACACAATCATTTATATGCAGACATCCGGTTAGACAAAGCTGTAATGGAGCAGTATCCCTTAGACAGCACTATTCCTGGCCTCCATGATCGGGTGGTTGTAGATCATGACCTCAACCCTCGCGCAGTATTTGCATCTGAGACCACTGGTTTTAGGCCACATCTGGCCACACTAATGTATGAGACCGACAGCTCGCATGCGCAATCTGTCAGCAAAGAACTTGCCCCTGTGTTAATAGAGAAGATGGGTGTATCTGACCCGGAGTGTGACAAGATGAGCGGTCGAGCATTTACAGCCTCTGCCTTGAGGAACTTGTTGCCCACTGACAAAACATGTACCTCCCCAGATCTCGCCCTGCAGCGTGGTGAAGCTCCTGTGCCTGAATATCACAACACCCCTCTTTTTCCGGGCATGTACCCTACGTTGTTTCCATATGGTGTGGGAGGCTTTGAGGATTCAGCTCGCAGTACACCGTTGTCCTTCAATCGTCAGGTGAAGTACTTTCTGAATATCTCTGATCGACACTTTCAGTTACCACGAGACTTTCATGTTTGTGGTCCTCAACATGCTCCAGCGACGCCATGCCCATCTGCAGACATCGTTTGTTGTGCCCAAATCTAACTTTGACACTGTTGCATGGAACCTCACGAGTGTGTCTAGCACTGTCCTCCAACGTCTGGTCTCTTGCTTGGAACAGGAATGGAAACTGTCTGCTCTTACTGTAGAAGAGCAAAATGTGTTCAAACTCCTGTGGCAAGTTAACACCATGTCTGCTCGCATTCCTGGTTCCAAAGCGGCCAAAGTTTATGTTTGCAATGAGATTCGCAACTATTATGTGTATTTTGGTTTGCCTCACATGTTCTTCACATTCAATCCTAGTGCTGCTCATAGCCCTATCTTCCAGGTGACGTATGGTGACCAAACTGTTGATCTGTCATCGCACTTTCCTCGCATGCCTACCAGTCGCACTCATGCACTTTGCCTTGCTCACGATCCAGTCACAGCTGCTGAATTTTATGAATTTTCTTTCAAGTGTCTCTTTCAATACTTACTTGGGTGTGATTTTGCAGAAGGACGGTCTATCCCACAGGGCGGCATCTTGGGTCATATACGTGCTTTTTATGGTACACCAGAATTTACCAAACGTGGTGTTCTTCATGGACATAATCTCATATGGCTTGTGGGAGGACTTAATCCGTCAGAACTCCACACCTGCCTTAGGGGCATGCCTGATTTTCAGCACCGTTTTTCCCATTCTTTGAGTCTGCAATCCACCACCATTTCCCTGACATTGATGAAGTCGTTGAGAGTGATTTTGAACCATGTATCCAACGTCCTCCACCTCCTCCATCTGTAGTGAACAGAAATCAAGCCGAGGTTGACGAGTGGCGTCGAGTGTTTGCATCTGAAATCAAGAAATGTGGAGAAGTCCTTCAATGCCATCAATGTCGCTCGGTGTGCCATAAGTATGGCAATGAAACTCGTTGTCGATTTTTGTTTCCGCACAAAATAGTGGACAGTTCCTATTTTGATCCTGATACAAACTCTGTGGTACTCATGTGCCAAGATGGCAATGTGAACTATTTTAATCCATACATCCTCGTCTATTGTCGGCACAACCACAATATCAAATGTATTTTGTCTGGCAAGGGTGCCAAAGCCGCTATGTTCTACATTTCTGACTATATTACCAAGATGGACATCAAGACTTACGAGGTGTTGTCATTGTTGTCTCGCGCTGTCGCTCGTATCCCTGATCAAGTCTCGTGTTTGGGTCGTGTCATTGACCACAGCAAAACTTTGCTTCATAAATGTCTTTCACAGTTCAATCATCAGCAGCAGGTACATGCTCAGCAAGCCGCAAGATATATTCAAGGTTTCGAGGATAGCACCAGTTTGCACAAGACTGTGCCCATGCTGACCTCTTTGTTGATTGCCTATGTGAAGGAAAATTTTATCCGCCAAGATAAGTTAGTTCCGGAGGCAGATGACAACGATGAGATTGAACCGGTTCACCTGCAGATTTCCACAGATCACAACGGGAAATTGGTGGAGGCGAACCAAGTCCATCATTATATTTATCGAGCCGACACATTGGAGGACATGACCTTCTACGACTTTTGTCATTGTGTTCGTGTTGATCCTATCAGTAAAAGTGCGAATGTGAAGAATACGTATGAGACACGGCTTGGCGTCCACAGGAGGCATCCATTAAAAATTGGCCATCCGTCACACGACACTCATGAGTTGATTGAGTATATGAATGAAGAACGTGGAGATGGGCATCGGGAGCTTATCCCTCATGTTGTTGGATTATCCATACCTCGTCCTTCCGATGCTACTGCTTGGGCTCTATTTGCCCTTGCCTACTTTAAGCCCTTCAGCATCTGTTGTCCATTACTGGGTCCTGAAGAGACAGTGATTCATACTTACCAGGCTTATACCTTCTCCACACACAGTCACAGAGTCATGACCAATTGGGAAGCAGTGCATGAATGTGATGATGAGTGTGATGCAGACCGACTCCGTAAACAAGCCAAGCTTACAGCTGAGAGCAAAGTGTTAACTTCATCCTTCAGACTTAGTAATAATGATGATGAGGTTGAAATCGATGTGTCATACGGTCTCTCATGCCGTCCCGAGGATGACTTTGTTATCAATCAAATGGTGCTTCTGTTGCAGCAATGTCAATGGTTGACCCACACTGACAAAATTGATAAAGAGCTCACACAAAATATCCATGAACCATCACCCTCAGAGGACAAATTGGCTGCACTGGGCATTACATTAAGTGCCCACCTTAAAAAGTGGCGACACAAGGTGAGCAAACAAGAGACTGCCATTGTGGGTGCACGACACAATGCTCTCAATCCAGAAAGCCAACAGTTGTATAATGTGCCTTCAGAGAATGAGGACATCAAGCAGTTAGTGTTCACCCATCTTTCTCCTTGTCAGCTTCCCAGCGAAAGCAATGGTGTGCGGGAGGAAGCTCGACCCTTGTTAAGCCCAAAGGAAGTGATCGAGGCCATGGGGAACGAGTTCAGCCTCAACGATAAACAATGGATAGCCTTCAGGATGATTTCTGAATTCTTTGTTGCGAAATATGTCGACAAGACAGTGGCTGAAGATCAGCAGTTGCGAATGCTTATGACTGGACCCGGAGGGACTGGAAAGACACATGTAGTCAAGGCAGTGCAACAGGTCATGCAACATTATGGCTGTGCGCACCTGATTCGTTTTCTGGCCCCGACAGGTTCCGCTGCAGCGCTAATTGACAACATGATGGTCCACAAAGGCCTTGGTATCAAGATCAAATCCAAGAACAGAGGGAAAGGAAACCGAGATCCCGGGACGGGCACAGAAGATTATTCCGTGTTCATCAGTGTGACAAACCGTTCACAGCTGTGGGATGAGTGGAAGAATGTAGAATTCTTGCTCCTCGACGAAGTGTCATTAGTGGGACTTCAGCTATTAGTGGACATCAACCATGCACTTCATTTTGCAAAAAAAAAAACCCATCTTTGGTTCGGAGGAGTGATGATCATCTTCTCTGGTGATTTCTTCCAGTTTCCTCCGGTGGGAGGAAGCGCATTGTACACCCCAATCTCCTCCTATGCCGGCCAAAACGACTCCGAGATTCAGAAGAGGCTAGGAAGGCTCGCATGGAAGTCTCTCAATGCTGTCATCAACCTGACAGAGCAGCAGTGGATGAAGAGTGACCCGGAGTATGGAGCAGCCATGTGCCAGCCTTCGCGAGCGAGAGTGCACAAACGAAGATGTAGACTTGTTCAACTCTAGACTTATAAAGTCGGCCGCATTTCCTGCAGGAGTGGACATGGGAGCAGATGATAATCTGGAGGCAGCAGCAATTGTGACAATAAATGCCCTACGCGAGGTGCTCAATGCCCATCAAGCTGAATCTGCATGTCCCAGCCACAAGGACCTCATTGTCTGCGCTGCATTGGACAAAGCAAGCCAAGACCTTACACACCTTGAACGTGCTGACCTCCTCCAGCTCAATGTTACAGCATTGAAGTTGACAACACCTCTGCCGAAGTATGTTGCACTTTTTGAAGGCATGCCAGTTATTTTGCGCAGCCAGAACCTGTCAACAGAATTGGGTGTGACTAATGGCACTCAAGGAATAGTCCAGAAAATCTTCACCGATGTTTGTCCTACAGGGTTCATGTATGCCACTTGTGTGTTGGTGGAATTCCCGCACAGCAAAGTTCAATTAAGTGAACTGCCGAAGGGCTATTACCCCATTGTACTGTCGACATGGTCATTCACAACCTCTCTTGCACACACCACCGGCCAAAGCGAGAAGATTTGAATCACACGGCACCAAGTCTCAATCCAACCAGCCTTTGCTGTGACCGGCCACTCTGCACAAGGAAAGACCCTCCTGCGTGTACTTGTGAACCTTCATGAAGGAGGTTTTTCTGCCTATGTCGCTGCGTCCCGTGCATGTGGCCGTGATGGTCTCTGCATCACCCAACGAGTATCGTTGGGCCAACTAAACAAGTGTGTTCCGTGCGATTTAGCTGCGGAAGTAAAGTGTTTCCAAGCGCTAGAACATAACACACTGGTCCGACTAGGAATGGCCAAGGGTCCACCCATCCCAGTGCCTGATGCCGAAGGTGAAAACAGCCTTGCACAGGTGCCAATTGTAGTGAACTATGAAGAGGTGGATGAGGAGAAGAAGAGAAAGAAACAGCCTGCGGATGATTCACCGGATGCCGAGCACAACTCCAAAGGCATGCTAGTCGCCGAGGCTGAGACTGCTCCTGCTGGTGTATCCATAAAGGCACAGTTTTGACTTCACCGATCGTACCTTGTCTAACAAAGTTCTTGTCCAAAAGGGACCTCCGATCAAACGACATTGTACGTCGCACAATACAAATGCATATTTACCTGTTACCCAACTCATCAGCAAAACACCTCCTGCAGTATATGCACCTACTGCTGGATGCAGGTGGTCTGCATCCAACTGGTCCTGCGCATATGATAGCATTTTTATGGTCTTCTGCTACATGTACGCTCATGCTGATGAAAACTGGAGGTCAAAATGGGCGCAGTCCAATTCCCTGTGCAGCACTTTGGGATCTTCATTCGAGTTCATATTGGAATCTGACACCAACCGCTTCTCAACAGATCTCTTTGATTGTTCAAGGGATGGTTTATGAGACTCGTTATCAACATACGATGATGTGCTATTCCCTCGTGAGGGTGCTTGCACAACCTCTGTCGTTGCCATTCTCCAACTGTTGTGTGAAGTCGCTGATCCACTCCTGCAGATGGGCCCAACGTCTTCTTCAAGCTTCGCTCACACCATCAGTTTACTGAACTTTGGGCTCCCTCGTTATTGCGTCGCTGTTCGGAATCAGGATGCAATACAAGTGCATATGCCACTCCAGCTGTGGTTGGACCTTTGGCTACAGAGGCAATTGCAAAGGCTGGATCGTGTCCATGGTGCCGTAGACAGGAACGAACACTCATTATCACAACAACATACCATCAGCCTGCATGATCCCCCACCCATACTCTTCTTCAAAGTTAATCCTTCGGATCTTGGTGCCATCGTCCCCTCAGAATCGCTTGTCATGCCATGCGAAAAGGGTGAAGTATCATATAGCCTCAAAGGAGTGTTATACTCCAGCCAGCAACACTTTTCTGCACACCTCATCAACGATGAGACTGTGTGGAAATACGACGGTCAACAAAATAACGGAAGTCCGCAGGAAGAGAATACATCTGCGACAGACATGAGGAATCTGTCAGGGCGCCCTGCAATTGTGTACATCTATGCATGTCAATAGGTCAAAGTCATGGACCTGTAAGTGCCATGCAGTCGTACACCACGAAACTCGCTGTGACAATCATATTGGCACTAGGCATGTATACCTGCATAAGCCTTCAATAGGTGGACCAAAGTTATCCCTCATATCATTCACTACTCCCCTATCAGCAGTCTTCACTTGTCTCAGCCATGACCCTTGTCCGACGCTATTCCGCACTTTCCTGCACTATGCGCGCACATTCCTGCAGCGCTATTCATGCTCCCACGACTTATCCGACGCTATTCCCGCGCTTATAGCGCTATCAGAACTACCAGCAATGTGCCTATAGGAGCATTAGCGCTTGTCCGCTCTATCTAGCGCTTGTTCCCGCGCCTAGCGCTAGTCTAGCGCGCTGTTCTCGCACTCTAGGATCCACCCGAAATGTCAGAATCCATCCATGGTCCATCCTACCTCATTGGTATGTAATTTGCCTTGCCTCAAGTTTGTAAAAAGTGCTACAGTCTTATTACATGTATATCCTATCCCTTCCAAGTCCGAGATGGTATAGTTTACTAGTATAAGAAGCCTATGGTGATTACTTTGACATTACTTCCCTTTGACTGTATTTCCTTCCCTTAGGTTTTACTTAGAAGTAGTCACCCTTTAGTTGCGCTCTATGGCCCCTATTTGACTTTCCCTTACCCTTGCAATCAATACCTTTGATCTCACTCGCTATCCATTACCCTCCTTTGACTCAGTGTCCGCTTTCTTGACTTCCGCTCTTTCCCACGCATTAGCGCTCTATCTTGCGATGTGCTATTCCCACGCTTTAGCGCTCTTTCAGGTCTTTCAATCTTAAGTTGTTCTTAGTAGCTTTTCCCTCGGGTCGAATGTTCTTGCTTTATTGTTTGCAAGTATAGCAGCATAGGCAGAGCTATGTATAGACATATACTGGCTGAGTACCTTAACAAGTGCCTAGTCAGGTTGTGTTTCTCACATCGCATTGGCTCCCTAATTCACTCAGTGTACGGCTATGTGGCTCTTTGTTGTCTTTGCTTTGGCTTGAGCCAACGTCTTTTGCTCTCAGATCATTTTGTGTACCGTCACGGCCTCCATCACTTGCCTCCTCGAATCTCATGTCATCCAACCACACAACTGATCATGACTCCTATGTACTTGAAAGGGTCGAAGAGGTCAGCCCGACCACAAAGACCTAGCATTGTATGGACTAATAGCTTCATTCACAGATCCACCAGATCATTTGTGCGGAGGGCCAAATCAACCTCTTTCGGCTGGTCATCAATCCTTCGAGCTTCGGCCAGTCAGTCGAGAACATATATTATTTGACGTTTTTGATTCATGACGGCATCTGTGGCCTGGATTACACAGATGATCAAGAACCCGTGATATGTGAGCAGGATCTATGCAGATCCGCATCCACGAGCACTCACTCCATGCAGTCCCAGTTCAGCGCTCTCAAAACGGTCAAAGGGACGAAGGTTTTCAAAGGCATCAACTGGTACTTGAATTTGACATGGCGACTTGGAGGGTATGTGGAATCAGCATTCTCTCACTCCTGCCTTGTTGACCATCGGACCAGCGTGCCATCGATGTTTTCAGCATCACACGCAGTGTCATCCCTCATCGCATGTAATACGAGTCTGTCCTTCCACCTTCCAAAACATTGTCTATGATTTAGTTATTGTATGTGTTTCAAATGGTCCATCCGGACATCAGGATCTGTGTCAAAATCTGGCTTGAAATTGCCGTTGTTTGTCCACAACATCTTGTGCCATGCATGTGTCTCAAGCTGAATGTTCCAGGACGATCGCCCCTATCAACCGTTAGTGGGCATGTTTCAGTATGGTGTATCATATTGACAAGACGCAATTTGAGACTCCTGAACGTCGTATTAGGGATTGTACCTCAGACCAACAAAGAATGAACTGAAAACATGGGCTTGACATCAAGTTGCGATCAGGAATATCATATCTCTTTATCCATTCCCCGAAGATGAAAGATGGAGCAAGGACATGTGAGAGCTCTGTATTATGAGATGCATGAGCACAGCTAACTGACTGCAGTCTTCCGCACTCGTTCTTTCATGCAGGAAACCTACGAGAACTTGTGCCATTTACCTGACATCATCGGGGGCATGAGGACCGCACATAATATGCGAGATGTGTGCAAGAAAATTGCTTCAAGACGGTTTGAAGCAATCATATGTCCGTTCACAGGAAATCATGTAGCCGAACTGCAGTACATCATGCACACCTCTTCAGCAATCATTACTGGGTCCTGTGCGAGAAATATGTTGCTGGGGGATGACTCCAATGCAACAAATCTCAACTTCATCGTGCCATACGACCAGACCAACCTCCTGGCTTATTTTGTGATGGATAAACTGGGATATCAATGCATAAACATCAGGCCAGCTTGCCACCCCGTGTTTACATGATACCTCCGAAGCTTTGCAGGTCTTGCAAAAGGAAATATGACCATCACAGTATCTGAGGCCACTGCCGATGGTATTTTCAAAGTGGTGGTCTCCGCTCAGACCACCGCCGACATGATCATCATGACGGCTGGGGGTGTCGCTGTGTTCTACCCTGAGTGGACAGTAAATGGTATAGCTTTGACAAACCATACAGTGCAGGTGGATGGGCCATTGATTGGATGCATGCGAGGGTCGCAGTTCGAGATCGAGACAACGACCACCTTCCTCAACCGCCCATGTGGAAAGTTGTGTCCCACATTGTGGCATAACGTGGCCGACAGATGAGAGCAGACGATGGTCTTGGAGTGGGATTCAAGATATTCTGTAACAAATGTGGTGGATCGCTCACACACTGTCTGGCACCTGCGCCTGTACTGCGCAAATAGAAACTATCCTTTCAATCCCACGAATAACACCCACATGTCACATATTCCTGCCAACCCCGACCCATCAGATTTAGTCAGCACACAGATACAAGAGGCCCACATTGGACACCACTTTCTGATAAGTGGCACTATTTGTCTCAAAGGATTGGATAAGTTGACTGACCCCAGAGAAAGGACTACCATGGCATGCTCGAGGGAATTCTCTATGGAACCAGTGCGACTTCACCGCACTTGGTAGCGATCCCATGGAGAGATGGCGTGGACTGTCTTTACCACATCTCACAGCTGCAGGTAGGACACTGGGTGAACCAACTTGGACCTGACCTGTTCGTGTCAGCGACAGGTCACTTCCAAAAAACTTACAATCCTGTGGTGGATTTGCACCCCAGTCTGCATGTCCTTGGCTACACTTTCTTCAGAGAGCATCCCATGGTGTTTGCACCACCAAACGCTCTCATTCACAAGGTAGCAGGTATTATGACAAATGCCACAGATGTGACCAGCAATGTCCTCATTGTCAAACATACATGAGGCAAAAAACACACATTGCTGGATTGCGATGAAACCGACATTCCTTGGGTGGATACGATTTTAAAACAGTAAGTGTGCAGGCTTCCTTACTTTGTTGTGGCGGCATCCAGGTCCGTTAGAAATGCAGAGTTCTGGACGTGACTGAGAAAGTGTTTGCGTTCAATGTCAACGTGGACAGTCGTATGAGACTGTCAAGGTCTTCATACTTTAGTATGTCTTCTGGTTAGTAGTGAATGTAGATTGGATGCAGTCCGTTGACAAAATCCATTGGTTCAAGCTTAGTGACGGAGTTTGTTCCCAAGGATAGAATGAGTGAACTGCAACAGACTATCTAACAAATCGACTCATTCGACAAAGGAATGACAGTGAACAACTGTGTCAATTGTGTGCTGTGCTTCCCACACTTAGTAAGGCGAGTGATGAAGCTTCTCAGTCTCAGACTTGTCTCGTCTTGGATCAAGCACACATACAAGGGCGGTCAGACAGTCTGTCATGACATTCAGAACATCAATGATACCGAAGATGGCACATAACAAGAGTTCATGTTCCACCGCCAAGGACTCCAAGGCGTTGAAAAACGTGTTGGCATGAATAGGCAAAGAACCACACCCACTATCCGCCTAGTTGCAACATCATGAATCAACCATCTGCATAGGAAAAAGAACCAAGGGCATATGATGACGTCTGCTGTCATGCTCTTACTTGAGCTCTTCCAGGACAAAGGAGCATTCATTTTCGGTATGTCGGATGGATGCACGGATGCAATATGTTGACCCTGCATAAGTGCAACGTCAAGAGCAAGGACCTCCCGTATTCCATATCATCCCATGTGCTGATATCAAAGCCTCAGGAACAGTAGGAGGAAGAGATCCCTCCTGTAACATGTTGATAGTGACAGACTGCATTTATGAAGAGCCAGAGCAACTTAAACATATGTGATGGTGATCTTAAGAAACTCTAACATGCTAACATAGATGTCCAGGAACCATATCGACTCTCACATACGACTGGACAGTTGACACTGTCTGCGCACAAAGTGTGGATTTGGCTGAACGCCTGGCTGGAGATGCGATTACTGAGCACTGGATTCCATGCAAGATCAAGAGGATGGCTTTGAGTGAGGAATGAAAAGTGCTGTTCTTCAATGGTCATTTGTACAATATGTATGTTACATGTTTGACTACAAACCATAGCTCAGTCCTGGTAGGTGCATGATTGCAGGTCCATTGGTCACGAAAGATATTGAATTGACTGTTAGGTACTCTCAGACTACTCTACAAGGAACCTTGCTCCAATATAAACTCACTTCTCCTCAAATGAAGGGAAAAAGTCGATGGGTATCACATACTGCACACATCTCCAGAGTGTCAAAGTACGTGTGCATCATCAATGGCCGTTGGTCTCACTGCCATGGCCACTGAAACATACACAAATCTCATTCATGAATGTTGATATAAGAGAGACGAGCAGGTCGAGGAGATAGTTTATACTCACATATTGCAACAGGCAGTAGATCGACAGCTAGCATAAAGATGCTGAATACTAATTAGGCTTGGTGATAATGAGACAACTGTGTATTTGCATGACTCTGATGTACAAAAGGAGCTTGTATATCTAAGATTTATTTAGAATGCTGATCTATCTCATGCAGAAGTTGTCCTGCGCCTGAGACATATGGTGCATAGGGGATTTTGCGAGCCTCTATGGCCAAGTACTCAGCCATCTCTACTGTGTCTGAATATGCACCTGTGACCATCATGTCGTTCACAATGGTGTACACCATACCTAGAAGATCATGGACAATAGACGACAAGCGAGTAAATTAAAGTTACCTCTGAGCTGAGAAGGATACTTGCAAAGTTCCTCCATTGCGAGCATAACACCAGAGCCCAAGCATCCAGCAACCTGTGGCTTGCCAGCACAAAGATCGGCGCTGGTTTGCATGTGAAATACTGGAGGGCCACCTACAGGGCATTCCACTATACAGTATGGCTTTATGAGAAGATTTATATCCACTGAAGACAGAAGAATGCACCAAATACGAATGCACCCTCGCCGTCGAAAAATTCAATCAAATCCATGATGGATGCTGACATCGCTGAGGTTATAATAGTTGGAATTGTAAGGAGATAAAAAGTGGCACATTAGCGGGGTATTTGAGAGTCGATGTTGGGAATACGATCGTCAGTCTGCATCATTCGAACCACAAACTCACCTGGCACAAAGACATTTGATTGATCGCTGCTTGGATACAGGAAGTAATGACCTGCCGTTTGCAAACGGAGAGATGGCCGGATGGGCTCAGGCAGTGTCTGGAGAGGCAACAAAAACTTGGATGATAGATTAATCAAACTGTCAGAAAGTGAAAAGGTATCAGTAGGTGAATCACAAGTAAAGCGAAACAGATACCTTAATCCGCCATGTCAATCCAGAACAAGTCAGAGGACAAAAGGTTGGGCGTCGAGGACCATATCACAGTGTTTCAATACAGACACATTGTCGGAGGCCGGAAACTGGTCTAGAAGATAAGTGAAATTTGTCAAACACGAGGTAATGAGATAAGCACAATGGCTCAGTCTGGGAAACAAGGAGGAATACGACACATCGTGACCAGAACTTCAAGTATGAGACACAGATATTGAGAGCAGTGAGAGAGACACATGAGAGAGACAGAAACAGGTCGGAGATGTTTCGATCTGAAAGAAGACAAAGGTTGAGTAGGCCAACAGACAAAGGAGGAGCAGAGCAGCATGCCTACACCGCAAAGATACAAATAGCTCAGTGGAATCAGGTCAAAGGGTATCGTACACAATCCACTCTCCAATAATGTCTTCATCAGATGAGTCCGAATCCACCACCAGATCCCCAGATTCCCCTGCCATCAAGACACCTCTGTGGAGGTCACTATACGTGTTGTCCACTGCTACAACAGCCGTGAATGAAAACAAGGTAACTAGTGTGCCAGCAGCAAACAACCCACGTCCTCTCAGGTTCACAGCAGACAACGCGGAATACTGGGTGAACGATGCTGGGGAAGCCTTCACATTCAGATTCCCTGCAATGATTGACTTCGATGGGCAGTTGGACCGAACGGGTCCATATTTCAACCTGCCACAAACTGGTGTAAGCACATCTCATGGCTATGAACGTGAAAAGAACTGACCGTCACACTCGATTATGACCATAGTTGGATCTGGGAGTGTTGAAAAAAATGTGCGCCCAATTTGAGATCCACCCTCTTGAGGTTGAAGCACAAGACAAATACCCAGAAGAGGCTATCAAGTGCCATTCATTGGCATTCAATATGCTGAACGTCCTTCATGGGGAAGCTGAGGAAGCCAGGAACTCACATGAGTGTTAATGAATGAAAACTTCAGGAAGGGCTGCTGACTCAGAAGTCTGATACAGTGCTTGCGCCTACAATGTACCCAAGAGATAACCCTTTCTGGCGTCATATGCCCTACCAGGGAAAGGAATGATTCTCTGTGGTTGTGACAATCGAACCGTTGGTCAGGAACTTGCCCGATGGACAGGATTCTGTACCACGTTTGAGGTGTGGTGACATGGGGAAAAGTGACACTATGCAGAGTCCATGTAAGTGCTCTTGAATGACTAGATGAAAATGGGACTCACAGTGTTACACACTACAAGCCAAAGCCAAAGCTGCAAAAGCAGCGGGAGGAGGAGGTGGTGGCCCTGGAGATTCTGGTGAAGGATCCCAGAACACAACTACTGTGCCTGGTGAGTGTCACGCGACGTACAATGGGTGAAATAATACACTGACAGTTTAGTAGATCACCCTCGGTTGTCAGAGCTACCAGATCCGCTAGGCCGAATCACTGCGTTGATCACACAATACGACCTTCAGCAGGCTACAGTCATCGCTCCGGATGTACGCAACAGCCAAGGGGTCCTGATTCGGCCACACAAGTACAACACAAGATTGGCCACAGGCAACTGTGGTATTGTTGGAATGCCAACTCAAATTGTGAGTGCCCACAGGAGGAGAATGAAGCATATATTGATGTTAGACACAGGTGGACCATCGCTCCCAACAAGAGGGAGACTGTGTGACAAGATGATAAGAATGGGTTGAGGAGGTACCAAGTCATGCTGAAAAGTATGAAGGTGCTGCCTGATGCCTCCATAACTGCATCGGAGTTCAAAAACTACTGGAGTGACGTCAAAGGTAAACGCAAGGCCACTGATCAGCCACAAGGATCTGGGTCATCAAAGAGAACTTACATAGAATCGGATGACGACAACGACAACGACGAGGAAAGCGATAATGACGGGGGAAATAATCAGGCGATGCAACTTGAGTGACAGAGGATTGGACCATTATGGTACAACCCCTGAAGGCTCTGATTGTAGCCAGAAACTGATATATTGTAGTAGTTGGGCCTTGGAGAGTTTCGGTTTGAGTTTCGAATGTGCTTTAGGCTAGTTTCTATGACTGTGTAATTGTGCTTCAGATGGTTTCTATGCAAGTTTCAAAAGTACTTTAGGGTCGAATGTATGACTGGGTATAGATATTGATTTTCGACTGTCCAATTTCATTGTGGTTTGCCTCTCTCCCTTGGCTATCTTCCTTCAACTTCCGCCTTGCACCTGAGTCTACTTTCTATCATGTCTGCATCACAGAACGCTGGGTTTAACCCACATCCGGACACACTGATGTATGAGACCGTGAGCTCGCACCAAGCAAGTGTATTTTCAGTAGCATTATGACAATGAATGTTTCACAAGTACGAACGTGATATAAACAATACCACAGGAAAGTTAGCTAAGGATGATATGGCAAAAATGTATGAATGGCCTGGACAACGTCCCTTCTCATTCACATGAGCATCGCATGGCTTTCGATGTAATACATATTGAGGCCAGGTGTGAACACCATAGTGAATAACACGTCTGCAAATCATGAGATAGATTCATATGCCAGAAAGACAACTCACCAAAATAAGTTTCCATGGTGGGATCCCTGAAGATCTCGGGGTCTACAAAAGAAACATCATGCAATCGATGTGTTCGCCTCTCCATGGTGTGGCGGCGTACGATTGCAGAGGTGATGAGACAGACTTGGGTGGGTCTCCCGTGCCGTCTGTGGACTGAGTATCGGAAGTTTAGAACATGGCTTTGCAATAAAAAGAAATCCTACCTAGTATGAAGCCTCCCCGCCATCCGTTGGACTCCGCAACTTCAAGTAAGGAGGTACGCATGAAAGCAACGTGTATAATGGGTGAATGGTGAGAATAGGCAAGACAATACCATGCATATCATGGTCTATTATGGCCTGCCTTTGCATCATGTCTCAGATGCCTTGTCCTGTCAAGCTGCTGGCATGTACCTGTCAGGTTTGGCACTTCAAATACAGCCAGTCCTGCATCTTGCTTGCTTTTGTCTGGCGAGTGAAGCCCCCCACCCTGGTAAGCTTGGCCTCTGTTGTGCTGGCCTTGTCAGTCTCAAAGGCGCCCAAGGCAACGAGTGAGCTCATCGGGCCTGAGACCGCTTGCACCCAATGTGCTGTGGAGGTGCAGGAAGAATGGAAGCGGGTAATAAATTGAGTGTGACGCATTACAAAACACGGCAGAATGAAACTGTGGGTAGTACAGAGGGTCATAAAACAGATGGTATGATGGTATAAATTACATGCACCCTTCGGTGTGCAAACAATTAGTAGCAGTGAGATTGGAACATTATTTCAGGTTGGAGCCAGCTGTAATCCAAAACCGAGAAGACATAGTTGAGCGGGCCACAGCGTGAGAAAAACAAAGCTATTGGGAGTCGGGGATTGGCGGCTCGCCGCCGTTACGATAGTGTATTCGGCATTTCATTCGGCATGTGCTTGTAAACCAAAATGTGGTCGTGTGACTTGTCTCTGTTCAAATAATACAGGAGCCAGGACCGAGCGTGAAAGGTCGTATACATATAAACCTAAATAAGCGGGCCGGTATCGATCGTGAGACGGAGATTTGAAAAAAAATCGACATACCTGTGCCGCACTGCCCGGTAACCCTGAGACGGGTCCAGGAATCAACGTGTCATTATGAGGTGCAACATAACTAGTAATTCAATCACTATCGACAATATCAAGCAGTCTTTTGCGGGGTTCCGGAACCACAGGGACCAGTCTTGTGTTGATTCTCCTTCCCACTTTGTCAGGTACATCTTCAAAGCGAACGGTGATGTCCTCGCTATTGTCTACTTTGTTTCCATCACCTTCGCAAAACTCTGATTCAAGTCTTCCGCCAGATGCCGCGATGATGAGATCAATGGGATCAGAAAAATCGAAAGATGAATCGGAAGCGTGAATTTTTTCTTGGATGAGGCTGTACCCGGCGGCTAATACGGTGGTCACCCAGATGAGGGTGATCACTACAAGCAGAAGGGTATACGTGTAAGTTTTGCTTCGCCAGCCGTACGTCGTGAAATACATCGTGCCGCTTGTCGCCCTTGTCATATTCGACGGAACTCCCGAAGCGGAGTATCCAGAGCGAAGTTGCTAGATGCAGTTTTCAATAATATCTACGGAATGCATGAAGGTCACTTACAGTAGAGACGAACTCCGCAATACCGCGCCAGTAATCTTCCTGCAAAGTAATCAGTCATGTTGATATCAGAGGAAGCAGAAACAGTCACTAGTTCACTGTACATGACTGATACATTGCTGGTACCGTGCGCGGTCAGAAAGTCGCCGATTGTATTTGTGGGCATGCCTTGGTTTGACCCCGATTGATAAGCCATCACAGTTGCGATGTACTGAGATAAAGCAAGATTCGGGCTGCTTGTTAATGCATCAATCCGATCGACAGATATGATGCCTCCATTATAAGTGACATTGACTGTGGTCAGGTAGGGAACGACCTCGCAAATGGTTGTTGGCAGAAAGCTGTACTTGTACAAGCCAGCCATAAAAACATCTGCAAACAGTTTATTCGCAAGACACCGAGAAACATAACAAAAGCCGTACCAAACTTATATGGGTTGAATGTCATCGAGTTTCCTGGGTCAGGACATACAACAGTGGGGAGAAATCCCTCGGTTGCACTGTCCATCTGACCGCTCGCGTTTCCAACAGTGAAGTAGAGCTGGGAATTTGAATCTGGAGCTGATTAGCTGTGGACGAGTTCATGACAGAGATGAACGCACTTCCAGAACAATTCGCAACAGCTTCCCATATGATGAGCGTCAAGTTTAGTGGTCCTTGTGTCACAATTGGTTGGACACTAAATGTATTCTGACTGCGGTCGATCGGCTGGCATGTAACATTTGCTGTGACACCCTGCTGTGTAACAGTGTAGTTCTTCGCAATGCCTTGATGAGTGCCTGCATTGCGTCCGAGGTGTCCCCAGTCAAAACTGGTATTAACCGGTACTTGTCCCCAGTGAACGCCAGGCCAACGTCAGGACCCGGCGGGTTTGATGATCCAGAGTACTCCTCTATCATAGGAAGAACTCCACCTGTCGACTCGATTTCAAGTGAGCCCGTTATCTTACGTGCCGAAGTACTCACCGGTCGACTGATTGTATAAAACTCCATTGAAGCTGAATATATTATTCGATTGCACATTCGGGCCTCCTTGATTGTCAATCGCATAAAGACCACTGATGAGAGTCAAGACATTGATGATTTCAAACCCAGGTACTTGTACTAGAACGGTTCCTCTTGAGCACCCCAACTGTTGCTGGCCATTGAAATTGAAAAAGTGACATACCATTGCTCGCTTGCTCGGCATTAATGTCCGTACTCAACTGGTTTACAAACGCAGCAGATCCCAAGTCTAGTTCCGTACCGAATATTCTCACAGGCCACTGGATAAGGGTGGGTAGGAGCAAAGTGCTCCAACTGTACAAACCGGCGTCAAACATATCTCCGCTGGGATCATTGAGAATAGTGCAGACCTCGTGTTCAGAAATGTAACCATCGCAAAAACCGCCAACGTGAAGGTCGACAGCTTCACAGATTTCCATCGCAATACCCACGTCGGCCTGCTCAACGCTATTGCAATGCGAAGCTTGAACAGTGTAATCGGCCCCGAGAGGTGGTGCCGAAGCGCTTCTTTGACGGCAAATGTGAAAAACCTGTGCAATAACAGAAGTGTAGTATTTCGGACTGGATAATGTGGAGGAAGACGCACATCGAAGTAATGATCGACAAGGTAGTTGAGATCAACGTAACTATCAAGGTCAGCACGGTCGGATACTCTACGATCAAATTAACGATATGATTAGGTAGTGCGAGAACTTCTGTGAACAAGATTCCTCCGGCGAAGCCCCATGCAAAACCCATGATCACAGTCTGGCCGAAGACAGTCAAGAGGAGCAGACTAGTAGGACTCAAGCGCTGCGAGAAAATCTAATCAATGAGGCCCTGGAGAGTGATGGATGTTGACTCACGATTTGGAGAAAGTTTGCGAAGTGCATTTTGAAGGTAGCAGGGCGGAATTAAGGTGAGGACGTTTGTCCGACATCTTAAGTATTGCTATAGGGCACTATTAACGTGTACCATGGAAGTCGAGAACCCCATACTGTCACCTGCATGAGGAGGCGGTAATTAAGAAGCAACGAACGCCATCAGACTTCCTTGCAGAGTCCAAGAGGCCGCTTACCACCTGTTTGGCGCGCGAGTACATGCCCCGCAAGTGTGCTGGGCCTAGGTGCTGCCTAAGTAATAATTCATGATGAGATATGAAAAACCTACAGCCGGTTCTCGGTGAAAATTGGCCCACACATGCTGAAATGCATAACTTAAGTACTTAAGTATGCCTGGCACGAATCACGACGCAGCCACGTCGGTCTGTTCTCGTCCCTCGTCCGAGATAAAGACTCAGGAGTCGGAGCAGCCTGCACTGCAGAAAGGTCCTTGATGTGGCTATTCCAGGACCCTAAAAGGGTGCTGGTCTATGTAGAAGATCTGTGAACAACCGATCATCTGAGGGCTCATCTGGGATGTGGATTTTCCGGGACTGTCCGCCGACTCCCTCCACCGCTGTCCAGGTTCGGCGAACTCCAGCGGACTCTTTATGACAGTCGTCAGTCACAATCTATATAGTATCTTCGTTGTCGGTGATCATGATGAATCCGTTCAGCCATCTGTAGAGGAAACCGTCTATTGTCAACGCCGCATCATTTTGCACTCTATATCACTTTATGAACATTGCATTTGCACTTAAGGATAACATCCTCCTTACACTACCATCAACTCACGCTGTGAACAAGCCATCTAATGTCCTGTCGCCTGACATCAAGACATTTCTCAGTGCCAGTTGCAGTCTCGATGATGGTGAAATTGACCTCCATCCTTAGGTTACATAGGTCACATCATTGGTTGCTGCAAGGCATAAGTGAGCATTGAAGAAGAAAAACTCAATATGATCATCGCACCTAAGTATCTGTCGGCATAGCTTGAGCAGAAATCGGTGTTCTTTTCCCTTCTCGCCCAAGTCCAGCAGCTCTTTCCGCTTCCTCTATCGTATATGCAGGTTCCTTCAAAACTTTACACCGTCGTTTATGTACTTTGCCCTTCCAATGTGACCGGAGCGCGGTATCAGTCTCAAAGTGTCTTTTTGACGACATAATCAAGTTGACGGAAAGGGTATGGAAACGGATCGACTCACTTTGCACATTCAACGCAGTAATGCTGGGCAAGGCCAGGTTTTTCGAGATCAATGGGTTGTGCTTCGAGAGCAGCTCGATTCTATGTGAGAGTTTAGATGGAGCGTATGAGTTGAAGAGATTTTTAGGACCTTCGGGTCTAGATCAATGAGCTGAATTTGATCGAGATCTTTTGTGCGGGCCTATTGAGAGTCAATGAAGAAGCAGAGACCAGAAAACGGGTGCATACCCTTGTGCGGGATGCTCGATGCACGTCGCGTTGTGCATGGTGTGTACGAGATCTCCGTAAGCGACCCATGATATGTGCAGAATTGGTGCAGAAACCCCGTCTAACAAATTCACCAAGTCCAACAGGTGCAATTCCCTTTTTAGGGTTGCCCACTTAGCGCGTGCGCGCAACCTCAGAGTTTCACTTGACCTTCCTCGTAAGCAGCAATGGCGCTCCCAACAAACGGACGAGTGGTAATCGACACGACTGCAGGCGAAATCGAAATCGAGCTATGGTCAAAGGTGCGCACTGTATTCTTCGAGTCTCCGGCTTGGTTGCTGAGCGAGAGTTCAGGAAACACCAAAAACATGCCGGAACTTCATCGCACTCGCACTAGAAGGTCAGGAATTGAATTTATTCTGAAACCAAGGCGCCCAGCTCATTTGGAGGTTAGGTTATTATGATGGCGTCATCTTTCATAGGCTAGTATTCTGCTCAGCATACTCGGAATGCGTCTCTAATGTTCCTTGCAGAATCGTACCGGGTTTCCTAGTCCAAACGGGTGACAAAACAGGGACAGGCGGAGGAGGGGAGTCATTCTATGGAGGTGCGTCTTTGTCGTGGTTTACCTTCATCCACAATCACAATACTTGGCCAAAGAACCATTCGAGGATGAAATTCACCCGCGATTGCGGTATGCTCACCGTGGGCTTGTCGCTATGGCCAATAATGGGACGAAGAATTCTAATGATTCCCAGTTCTTTATTACCCTTGGTGAGAAACATTTCAGTGAGACTTGGTGATTGAAGACCTTGACGTCACTCCTTTGGCATAGACAGGGCGGATGAATTGCACGGCAAACATACATTGTTCGGGAGGGTAATTGGGGACACCGTGTATAGTACGTTTGGAGATTAGACATAGTTTCACATTTCTCACCTATTTTGGCCTAGATGTCATGAAAATCGGAGAGATGGGTAGGTGACGCTCTTACGCCAGGGGCTTGGTCAACTAACATTAATTCACCCCCTTCCAGAGATTGGCGAAAATGAACGACCCGTGTAGTAGGTTTGACACAAACTTGTGGCAACCCTTTCCTCTCAAAGCTCACTAGCCTTCATCACCCAGTCCACCCAAAATCAAGTCGATAAGAATAGCCGACAATCCATTCCCAGACATCGTACCTCGAATCACTGCTGCCGAGAAGCGTGCCCAGCAACGAGCTCGAGAAGCTGGTCAGCGTGAACGGGAAGAGGCCGAACGTCGGAGAGGTGCTAAAAAGTGAGTTAGAAATTGTATTTACGCTTGTCTTGCTCACTCTGCGAAGGGATGTAAAGCTTTTGAGCTTTGGGGAAGAGCAGGATGGGGAAATGGAACCCGTAGCGTTCAAGAAGAAAAACATTGCACGGCCCGACTGTGAGTTTACTCGTCAACGGGCACTCAAAAACTACAGCTGAGCAGAAGGTTGCAGTGGTCGACAATCTTCACGCCACGGGCATTCCGATGCCGGAATCTCTACTCGGTCCTCCGAAGAAATCCAACGAACCACCTCGAGAACGTGCATCTGAGAAGGAACCATCCAAGGTACATACTTTACAGCTACTGCCGAGTAACGAATGATGCAGATTATTATCAGCACGAGAAACCTTCAAAAAGTAGTAAATCCGAGGGTACAGACAAGGACATCAAGAAAATTCGAGAAACACACGCGAAAGAGAAGGCTTCCGGAAGGTTTTTAATATCTTATAAGCTTCTTTGCCCCGAGTTGACGCGTGACTCCAATAGTGACGCCCGACGCACTGAAATCGAGCAGATGGAGAGCGAGATCCGCAGACTGACGCGCAAACGAGAAGGTGGTGAGGATAGCGACGAGGAAGCTGCGCGGAAGAAGATAAAACCGACGAAGTCCTATCTTGAGGAAGAACTTGCCAAGTACTCCAAAGGGCGGGGATTGCAGAAGAAAGGGAAGGGAAGGAAGGATGAGGGCGATGTCCTAGCTGCTTTGAGTAGTTTTAGGGGATTGTTGCAGTCAAACGCGAACCTGGAGGTGGAGGACGTTGTAGAGGAGGACGATCGTGTGGACGGCAATGGAAGCGGAACCGTTCCTGGTGGAGAGGATCCGGGTATAGAAGTGGATGACGACCGCGGATTCATTGGCCACGCTCTACACTTCCCGAAGGATGATGGGGAGGAAACGAGGAAGGCTGAGAGGGATTATGAGGTTATTGATCCTCGTCAACGTGGTGCGAGAGCACGGGAAGAGGAGCGGGAGAGAAAACGAACTGCGATGAAGGGAAAGAACGGACGTGGCCGTCGGTGATATCCCGTCCTTTGCAGCTTCCTTTGCGCTGGTGGGAGCTGGTAGTATTATTTGGCGCCATCTTTTGTACCTGATATCATCTAATCTTATCACAGATCAAAACGCGTACACAACGTGTCTGACGCGACTTAGTATATGAATCTGGAACGGAGTCTAGGTACAAAGTCAGTACATGTATGACGTGACCATGCCTCAGCGGAGGTAAAACCAACAACGAGCGGTGCAAAGATTATCGTAAGTTATGTAACGATAATCAGTAGCTTGTGATATGAGTGAACTATACAGTACGTGCTAATTGGGTAGCGAATTAGGTAGCGAACTAGATGCAATATAAAGAATACTGATCAAGGATGCGAACACTTGGAAACTACTCTTACAACAGCACTCATGGCAAGCTCAAAGCGCGGTGCATTCATAGTCATTGAGGGACTAGATAAATCAGGAAAGACTACCCAAGCCTCTATCCTTCACGACCGTCTTCAGGATCAGCGAGATGCAGGGGCTACAGCACCAAAGGTAGTCAAGCTACACTTCCCCGGTACATTTCCAATCCAATTCCCCATTCAAACTGAATACAAATGCATTCCCAGACCGTACGACAGCCATCGGCAAGATGATCGAAGCGTACCTCCATTCCGAGTCTGAGCTAGATGACCGCGCTATTCACCTGCTCTTCTCTGCTAACCGCTGGGAACTTGCGTAAGCACAATCCCTTCGCGTTCGATGACACCGTTTATATTTCGTTGCACACAGATCTACGATTTCAGCTCATCTTGCACAAGGGACGACCGTCCTCGCTGATCGATATTCGTTCTCTGGTATCGCATATTCAGTTCGTAAGGGACTACCGTACGAATGGTGTCGTGCTCCTGAGGTCGGACTGCCTGCGCCAGACCTTACACTATTCCTCAATATCAGTCCAGAGGTCGCAGCTACGAGGGGTGGGTATGGACTAGAGAGGTACGAGAAAGAAGAAGTGCAGAAAGGCGTGAGGCAGGTATTCGATCAGATTGGGCGAGCGGTGCAGGAACACGGCGAAAAGGGCGAGGGTAAGTGGGTGGAGATTGATGCAGGGAAAACAAAGGAAGAAGTTGCGGAAGATGTTTGGAATGCGGTGGAACCGCTTGCCAGCGGCGTTCAAGGATCTATCAGTGGGTTATGGGAATAAATAACTCTTTAATCCCAGATACGCGAGGTGGAAGCTGAGCGCACTGCGTTGTAAAATAGTCGAGAGCAAATATTACATGCCAACATCTGACAGTACACAGCTCTGCATTGTGAAATCTGAAACACAACAACGTTGTGGTGTGAGGGCACGGGAAGAGGAGCGGGAGAGACTCTCGGAAGCGAACTGCGATGAAGGGAAAGAATGGGCGTGACCATCTTTACGTATTATCTAATCTTATCACCGATCAGAACGCGCACATAACGCGACTTGGAAACTATTACAACAGCACTCATGTCAAGCTCAAAGCGCGGTGCATTCATTGTCATCGAGGGACTAGACAGATCCGGAAAAAGTACTCAAGCCTCTCTCCTCCACGACCGTCTGCAGGACCAGCAAGATACAGGGGCCACAACACCAAAGGTAGTCCTGCTAAAGTTCCCCGGTACATTTCCAATCCAATTCCCCACTCAAACTGAATACAAATTCATTCCCAGATCGCACAACAGCCATAGGGAAGATGATCGACGCGTATCTCCGTTCCGAGTCCGAGCTAGACGACCGCGCCATTCACCTGCTTTTCTCTGCTAACCGCTGGGAACTTGCGTGAGCATAATCACTGCCTTTGTCATCTCTTCGCGTTCAATGATACCGTTTGTATTTCTTTGCACACAGATCTACCATTATAGCTCATCTTGCGCAAGGGACGACCGTCCTTGCTGACCGATATGCCTTCTCTGGTATCGCATTTTCAGCTCGTAAGGGACTATCGTACGAATGGTGTCGTGCTCCCGAGGTCGGACTGCCTGCACCAGACCTTACACTATTCCTCAATATCAGTCCAGAGGTCGCGGCTGCGAGGGGTGGGTATGGGCTCGAGAGGTATGAGAAAGAAGAAGTGCAGAAAGGTGTGAGGCGGGTATTCGATAAAATTGGGCAGGCAGTGCAGGAAGAGGGTGAGGGCAAGTGGCTGGAGATTGATGCAGGGAAGACCAAGGAAGATGTTGCGGAAGAGCTCTGGAAAGCGGTGGAACCGCTTGCCAGCGGCGTTCAAGGATCTATCGGCAGGCTATGGGAATTAACTCTAATCCCGGGCCGGGATACCCAAGGTGGAAGCTGATCGCACTGCTTTGTAAAATAGTCGCGAGCAAACATTACATGCCAACATCTGATGAAAGAGACAGCTCTGTGGTAAAATGTTGAGTTGTTTACTTCAATGATGAAATCTGAAACACAAGCCGTGATACCTAAGTATGTATCCTCCATACATACTACATGATACAATTGGTCCATATATCTTTATTGTTATCCAATCATGAAAAAATGAGAAATGAAAAAAGGTACAGGGTAGCCCTAGTCCTCGATGTATGTCAAGGGCTCGATGATAGCCGCGATACAATGACTGCGAAAGCAATCAGTACACCCCATCTCCATTTTTCCCACAAAACCTGGCGCAGCTGCCCTGTCCACCCCTGCGGTGTCGTAGTCGGCTTGTTTGTAGATGTCAGACCGGTATTTACGACATCGCTTGCGTGCAACGTCGTCGTGGTAGCGGGAGCCTGTGCTTCTGGCCGTCTATCACATACCTGCGGCTGCGTGGCTGTGGTAGATCTTGAAATAGAGGGAGAAAACGGACTAGGGCTCATAGGTGAAGTCGGCGTGGCCACTATATCTGGTTTCCCTCTTTCCCGCTCGCCCATATTTGGTAGATCTCGGAGAGTATCCGTACAGTACTGCGGAAAGCGCGGCAGTGATCAGCGAACCAGGCACAAGTTGAAACCGACGGATACCAGTAACCCTCAGGAGCTTGGGTATGACACTCTGATCCGAATGAAACGGTACTCCTGTCCCTCCCGGGCTTCTCGTATCGTGGAGAAAATATGACACTCACGTCTGGGAAAGCTTCTCTAAATCTTGGCTGTGTTAAATTATGAGAGTGACTGCGAGTAGCATAGGCTCGTTTGTGACCGTCTGACGATGTCACTGAGCCGGTGGTCATCTCGTCGGAGAGCATGAACGACAGCAATCCTGTGAGTCTAAATGAACCTTGATGAGTAAGCGCTCAGGCGGGGAAGTCGGCGAACAGAAAAGACAACGATCGTGAGCATCAAATACCACTCTATCAATCATGCCTGGGTCCGGGGAAGAAAAAGAAACCGGGCCGTTAAAATCAAGTAGGACACTCACATCGTGGCGACACTCCAGGCGGGATTCCACTAATAATAACTCAGTGATGATGACCGTCAGGATGACTGAACATGACGCACGGTACCAGGATGGAAATCAGACATAGAGAAACAAATCTTCTTGTCAGGTTGGAATCGACCGGAAGGGGTAAACATCTGTTGCATCATATTCATCATAAGTCGTCGAAGATAACGATCATGTAAGTCAAGAAGAGCACACCTTGATGCCCGGTGGCTTGAAGGGGTATTCCGCAGGGAAAATGAGTACACCATGATACTCTCCGCCAGCAAAAGGCGAATCGGGAGGACCGCGCTGTATAACAGAAGTTGTTGAACAATAATAAAGGCGCTGTCCGCTCAAAGAACGCACGATAAGGTAATTCCCTGGATATAACGCTTCAAAAGCATGCTTCCGCGTGGAAGATACTGAAACTTACAAGTCAAGATGTTCTTTTCGTCTGGTGTTGCCCACACAAATGGGGGCGGCTCCTTCTGCATGCTCACAAACTCCTTGGCGAGCTGAATTTTGACTTATCAGCAACATCTTACGAATTAAATGTGGGTTCTTACACGTTTGTGGGCTGCTTTGCTTGCCATGATTGCGGGGTCGATGGGGTCGATGGGGGCTGTGGAGAGTGTAGGAGTTGTGGATGAGAGCCTGCGGGCGACTTGATGCTGGCCAAACCACCCGGCACACGCAACAAATAAGTACAAATATCCCGAACAATTTCTCCCAAGGCTCCACGCTTCCTTTAGGAGACTTTCAGTCTTTCACGGGCTGGTTTTTGTAATTCGCATGTACTTTATACCATTGTGCCAGCTGGCATGCTTTAACATTAACAGGTCTATGACAATCATGCCCTACTTCTTCGCAAAAATGGGAAATAATGCGAGGTCACTGGTACGTGGCCATGTTAACTTTCTTACGTCCGTACCTGGCGGCGACCCAGGGGCGTTTCCTATGTACATGGCGCTCGTAGGAGTCATGGGAATGCCACTGGCGCATTGGTTCGTTTTGACGATTCAGAGGTTTCCATGGTACGGCACTCAGATACTATGCTTGTGAAGCGATTTCTAACATGATCTCCACCAAGAGTGCTATCTCGGCTAGTGAAACTTCTTAAATGTTCCTATCGAACTGCTATGCACATTCTCTAGCCGGCTCTCTGCTTCTATTTGTGGTCGATATTTCGTGCAGACGCCGCTGTGTTCGGGTATCTCCTGGCCAACTCGCGAATCACAAGCCTGGCATACTAGTACTTGTCGAGTATCACTTAGCCACTGCATCGTGATGCACGTTGAGCTCGTATGAGTCAGCTTCGCTAGTAGGCTTCTTGGAACTTCACAACATGTCATTTCTACACAACTCAATCTTTTATAGCTCTCCTTCATCTCTATTGGTACAACAAGCACACGTGGATTCCGAACAAGCACAGCTCAATTGATGCATTGTGGAGGCGCTTAGCACTTGCATTCTCCCGGCTTGCAGGCGCACCTGTATATTCTAAGTCAGCCACCGTGCACAAGAACAAAAGACACCGTTACTCACGTGCTGCCGCACCCACAGGTGGTCGTCGAGTCGTTGTGAGAAACAGGGACTTCAGTGACCTGCAAAGGAAGATTAGGCAAGGAAATGCCTGCAAGAGGTCGTGCGTACAGTGAACATATTGGATGGATTGATGCTGATGCTGGGTTGTTGTCAAAAGTCTTTAGAGATTGTGCTGAATTACGGACACCTTTATACTCCAGTGTGTATGGCCTTGTTAGCAATTTCTTGAAGAGGATATTCCATTCAGTTTGCTGTCTTTCGGTTTGCTGCCTTTCCGGAGGTGGGTAATCATTGATCGACCCACCGTTGCCTACCATCATCCAATCACGCAACTTGCCGCACTGATCTAGCAATCCATCAAATGCCTCAGAAGCCACTCTTCAAAATACCTCATGATCATACAACGAACTGATTATCTGGAGAATAAGGCCCGAGTACCGAAGGACGACTGATGACAAGGAAGAAGCGCCATTGTGACGGTTCTAGTTTTTCCGCACCCTTGCTGCCATGGAGCCTAGTTCCAGACTGATGAAAAACGCTATGATCGCGTACTGATCTACCAATCAGTCAAATGCCTCAGGAGCTGCTTTTTGATGAGTGTTTCATGGAGCGAACGTGCCAACTTATTTTTGAAGTTGTATTATGCTGACCTACCTGAGTTGATTGCACAGCCTCATCATGTTCTCCCGAGAGTGAAGCTTCGCTCAGCGGCTCGGCGCATGCCGTTTTCTTCCACGTATCCAGGCTTCGATCAGTCTTTGTGATCGTTATCGTGAGTTCATACTTTACTATTTGGATTGCCATCTTCACGTGACTGGACCCGGGAGCGCCCAGGCCCCAGTTGTCGCCGCAGAACGGTAAAGGATTGACGATAAAGGACCCTTATTTTGAATTAGTACTAGTCCACCCGACAAAGATCTCTATACATATAAGAGTCAACATCAAGTGCGCATCACAGAACATCCAATCGGAGCAGTCCGCACGCGATATAATTAATACTCATGATCGCGGGTTAGGGTGCCGCGTTTCAAGTTTCCTCATTTAAGCAATATACTTGTAGGGCATTCATATAACTTTAGATCAACTTTCACTGCGGACCCCATAATGCCTCGTGTAAAGCATGAAGATCAACTGATTGCATAATCACTTACTCGAGATGGTGAAAAACGTACAGAAAATCGCTCACCCTCAGGTCGTGCCGGCGCCGCCATTCGCTCGAAGCACTAGCGATACTTCTTGCACGATCCATAAGTAACACTTAAATCAGAAACAGCACGTTCCTAGCTAGGAAGCACTATTCCAAAGGGAACGTCTGATTCAGAGCTTTTAGATCACTGTCAAGACCTTGCAGAAAAATAGCCTGAGCTCAACTGTGAGTCGCACATTTTGTAATACATTATACGGTTCTGTAATTGTAATCACAACAAGCTTCCACTGCGCACAAACCAGGCGCGACATGTGGGCAGACACCAAGAACTATTGCTATTTGACAGCTGGTCACTGGGGTGTGCATGCAGCGGTGTCCAGGCAGCTCGGATCCGGGCAGACTCTGCGCCTGACCAAGGTAAGCGGAACTCTTTTGTTTGTCCAGCTCCACAAGTAAATGGAAGCGGTGAGACGAAAAAAAAAGAAATCTGATTTACACATCGACATGAAAGTACATAGCTGTAATGTGACAATTGAATAAGGACTACGTTCACCGTGACATATTACATGCAACAGATCTGGCAATTCAATCACTATAAACGGTATCAAGGTTCCGCAGACTTTGGCAGAGGTTCCGGAACCACAGTGACCAGTCTCTTGCTCATTCTCCTTCCCATTTTATCAGGTACATCTTCAAAGCGAACGGTGACGTCCTCGCTAGTGTATTTGTTTCTTTCACCTTCGTGAAGGTATGATTCAAGTCTTCCGCCAGATGCCGCGATGACGAGATCAACGGGATCAGAAAAGTCGAAAGATGGATCGGAGGCATGGATTTTTTCTTGGATGAGGCTGTACCCGGCAGCTATTAGGGTGGCGCCCCAGATCATGGTGATCACCACAAGCAAAAGGATATACGTGTGGGCTTGGCTTCGCCAGCCGTACGTCGTGATATACATCATGCCGTTTGTCAACGTCGTCATATTCGACGGAACTCCCGAAGCAGAGTATCCGGAGCGAAGTTGCTAGATGCAGTTTTCAATGATATCCACGGAATGCATGAAAAGTTGCTTACAGTGGAGGCGAACTCTGTAACACCGCGCCAGTAATCTTCCTGCAAAGCAGTCAGTCATGTTCATATCAGAGGAAGCGGAAATAATCACCAGTTCGCTGTACATGGTTGATACATTGCTGGTACCATACGCGGTCAAAAAGTCACCAATTGTATTTGTGGTCATGCCTTGGTTCGCCCCCGATTGATAAGCCATCACGGTTGCAATGTACTGAGACAAAGGAAAATTCGGACTGCTTGTCGATGTGTCAATCCGATCGACAGATATGATGCCTCCATTATAAGTGACGTTGACTGTGGTTAGGTAGGGGACGACCTCGCAAACGGTCGTTGGCAGAAAGTCGTACTTGTACAAGCCAGCCATAAAAACATCTGCAAAAAGTTTACTCGCAAGATACCCAGAAATATAACAAAAGTCGTACCAAACTTATATGGGTTGAATGTCGAGTTTTGTGGGTTGGGACATACAACAGTGGGGAGAAATCCCTGGGTTACATTGTCCATCTGACCGCTCGCATTGCCAGCGGTGAAGTAGAGCTGTGTATTTAAACCTGGGGCTGATTAGCCGTGGACAAGTTCATGGCAGAGATGAACGTACTTCCGGAACAATTCACACCGGCTTCCCACGTGAAGAACGTGAAGTCCAGTGGTCCTTGTGTCACATTTGGTTGGACAATAAATGTATTTTGACTGCGGTCAATCGGCTGGCATGAAACATTTGCTGTGACACCCTGCTGTGTAACAGTGTAGTTCTTCGCAATGCCTTGAGTGCCTGCATCGCGTCCGAGGCGTCCCCAGTCAAAAGTGGTATTAACCGGTACTTGTCCCCCAGTGAACGCCAAGCCAACGTCAGAACCCGGTGGGTTTGATGATCCAGAGTACTCCTCTATCGCAGGAAGAACTCCACCTTTCAAATTTCAAGTGAGCCCATCATCTTTGAGTGCCGAGGTACTCACCAGTCGACTGATTGTATGAAACTCCATTGAAGCTGAATATACTACTCGTTTGCACACCACCTTGATCGTCAACCGCAGCAATACCACTGAGGAGAGTCAAGACGTTGATGGTTTGAAACCCAGGTGCTTGTACTGGAACGGTTCCTCTTGAGCACCCCAACTATTGCTGGCCATTGAAATTGAAACAGTGACATACCAGTGTTCGCTTCCTGGGCATTGAGGTCCGTACTCAGCTGATTTACAAATGCAACAGATCCCAAGTCTAGTTCCGTTCCGAACGTTGCCACAGGCCACTGGACAAGGGTGGGGAGGAGTAAAGTGCTCCAACTATATGAACCAGCGTCAAAGATATCTTCATTGGGTTCGTTGAGAATAGTGCATACCTCGTGTTCAGAAATGTGATCACCGCATAAACGGCCAACGTGAGGGCCGACAACTTGAGAGATCTCCATCGTAATACCCAGGTCGGCCTGCTCAGCGCTATTGCAGTGCGAAGCTTGAACAGTGTCATCGGCCCTGAGAGGTGGTGCCGAAGCGCTTCTTTAACCGCAAATGTGAAGAACCTGTGCAATAACAGAAGGGTGAGGTTTCGGATTGGATATGTAGAGGAAGATGTACATCGAAGTAATGATCGACAAGGTAGTTGAGATCAGCGTAACTATCAAGGTTAGCTCGGTCGGATACTCTACGATCAGACGAACGATATGATCGGGTAGTGCGAGAACCCCTGTGAATAAAATTCCTCCGGTGAAGCCCCATGCGAAACCCATGATGACAGTCTGCCCGAAGATAGTCACGAGGAGCAGAGTAGTGGGACTCAAGCGCTGCGAGATAAAGCCTAATCAACGAGGCACTGGAGAGTTATGGAGGTTGGCTCACAATTTTGACAAAGTTTGCGAAGTGCATCTCGAAGGTAGAAGCACGGAATGGGCTCCGTGAGGACGTCTGTCCGATATCTTCAAGTTAAGTATTGCTGCAGGGCGCTATTCACTCGGTGCATGTGTACCACGGAAGGCAAGAAGCAAGGAAGCGAATTAGGTCTACGTACCCTGCTGTCACCTGTGTGAAGAGGCGCTAGTAAGAAGCAACGAACCATCGGACTTCCTTGCAGAACCGAAGAGGCTGAAGCCTTATCACTTGTTTGGCGCGCTAGTACATGCCCCGCTGGTCCCAGGACCTGGGTGTCACCTTCGTAATCTATCAGAAACATGATGAGATACGACGAACCTACCGCCCCGTGATTCACGACAACACGTTCGACATGATTAGCGCGCGCATGCCGAAACGCAAAGAGGAAACAAAGTCCCGGAAAGTTCAAGCTGATTAATGACAAAAAAAACGTAAAGATGGGACCAAGTTATGTACTAGCCTGGACTGGCGCATCATGTGCCCTAAGGAAGTACTTCAGTATGCCAGAGCAGTACTAATATGCCTGGCACGAATCACGATTGGCAGCGTCGTTCTAATCTTGTCCCTCGTCTGGGATACAGATCTGCACTGCTGAAAGCTCCTTCAAGTTGATGCAGCTATTCGCATGGGCCCGAGTCGCCGACTGGGAGGATTGGCGGGCCGAGTTCAATTGTAAATTTATATGTTCCACTAGATTCCTGTCCAATATGATGGATCGGGACCTGGGGATGCAGGAGTACTTGGGTGTCTGAGTAAGTAGTCAGGAAATCATCAAGTGACTGCAAATTAAGGTTCAGGAAACGTTTACTAATATATTTATAAGCGCCTGCCGTGGTCAGCGACCAAGCTGCCGTCATTGATATACTTACTTGTACTAGTCAAGGGATGACAGGACTCCGAGTCTGCGCTATGTATTCTCAACAGAACTCGACTGCTATACTTGGAGGCCCAACCACGCAAAGAGCGCCACCGCCGAATCTTCAAATCTCAGTGATCCTATTGGGACAGTCGTACAGGTTACCATTAAAAGTAGAAACTCAAGGTAAAAACAAACAACAGCGGAGATAGTTTTGTGCTGTTCTTAGAGTCTTAACTGTCTCCAGCTCTTCGAAGGAGGATGATATCACGGTGACCGTGCATAACTTAACTTAGACATGACTCGGACGCGTGCTGGCGAGCTCGGCTATAGGTGAGCCTACCCTTACTATTCATTTGCCTTCGCAGTCGGCCATAGGCTACTCCTTCAGCACGTAAATATTGATATGAAAAACTTTTAAAGCGAGTCGTCATTCAATTGAAAGACCTGCTGAGATACACTTTTGTTAGCGGTAAGGAACAATTCACTTACCATAAATGGTTCGAAAATCTAAACTGAATATGGAACTACGTTTATTACAATCATGTAGTTTCCAGAGTGACGTAAGCGCGGACAATGAAATCAATTTTACTCACTGTCAGCGAAGATAAATGGGTGTTTTAGTACTTCGAGACCGCGGACGGTCGTTTTTGTAAACCAGGCAAACTTCCATAGCTGCAATTCAATGACTGTAGCCCTTTCACGATCCATACTCATTTTACGTTGTGCAAGGACACTATGATTGCCCTTTCACACGTACTACTCAAATAGACGCTCCAGCAGCCTCGAACGAAGTCAATGCCAATGTGGGGTACAAAGAACCGCTAATGTGGCTCATACGCACGCGCTGCGGGACCGAAGCTCTCCGCTACAACCGAAGGTTAGAAAGTAAGGTGACCACCATCATGATATGGATCATACCGAGTTGCACTGCCTCAATGATGTTGGCGCTCAAGAAAGTCCGTGAGAGATCCGTTATCATCAACTCATGGACAGATCATTGCGAGAAGTTATTTCCCACTCCGAAGAGTGGAAGAATTCGAGATTGACTTGACCTATAACATGCAGCACTTAACAAGGTGAGCCTAGTATTTAGCGATGTGCGTCATCTTGCGAACTCACTGATTCTGCATGTAACAGCAATTGAAACAAACGATCATGCATGGGAGCATTTGGTCAAAGCTGCCGTACACCGTGCTATACACAATGCTAGGCCACGAGCACTGTCTCCGTGTCTTGAGAATACACGAACCACCGTTCTGACGAGCATCAGGCACTGCAGATAGCACATGAGAAGAGCCGAAAGAATACCTGGTTGCACAGTTTTCCAGGCTCAGGGAAAACGTCCATCTTATTCACGATTGCGGACGAAGCACAAAGACGTCTTTCCGGAACTTTTTTCTTCTCGCATAGCAACGTGGATACAACGGTGTGCGCCCTTGCATTCCCGTTGGTCAAAAGTGAGATCATCGAAATCTGACATTTCTAATGATCCTGCGTGTGGAAGTATACAACATTCACTTGCGCGAAAGAAAAAGGGAAGTTTCGAGTGCGTTCAATGCTATAGATGCTGTGTGTCCTTGATCGTCGACTAGCCCCTTTGTCCGCTCGCCACGCCCTCTCTTTCCCCTCTCAACACACCCATCAACGCCCTCGCCGCCGAGCTCTCTCTACCACCAACCTTATCCCCCCAAGAAGGCGGACGTACATTTTGATCATCCCGAGAAGACAACAAAGAAGAGTGCATACTCCCCTCCCTCTCACTCCCACTTTCTCCATTCCTTCCCCTCGTTCGCGCACCAAGCACAAGCGAAAATCACCTCCCCCACCTCCATGCGAATTCCCAACAGGAGCAGGCACCGTTTGCACAGCTACCGCAGGTAACGAGAACCGTTTCTTCTCTCTTTTCGTGTGCATAGGCTCGCGTTCGCGGGGTTGTCTTGGGCGTATCTCGTCATGATATTCCTCTTCTTGAAGCCCATCATGAATCTCCCCCCTTTCGCCGTGGTGCACATCCTCTCCCACATGCACGCCTTGCACCCCACTAGTATTACTCACCTCTTTGAATTCCGGCAGCTGACATATTTGCTTGGAGCATAGTGACAGTAAATGACATGCGTCCTGAAAGTTTAATATAAGGCCACTTTGCCGACAAATCTCTGTAGCTATTTTTTGTGTCTCCAGTGTCATCCAATGATGAGCCGGAAAAGTGATAGGGCCCGATATCGAGAATGACCTCGAGATGAGCTCCAAGTTTGTGCGAGTGCAGGATGAACTGACGCTCTCCAACAACTTTTCCAATACCTGTCCAGTTACTTACTTGCGCGATCTTCTTAAAGTCACCTTTCCTTCGTTAGATTGCATGTCTAAAACGCGCGGCGGGAACGGCGGACCGGTGGAGGCAAGCCTCACACCGGGGCATTCATGAATCTAGAGGTGCGGGGGGGCACAGGGGCCCCCAAGACTAGATAGTATTGTCTTACATAGAGTTACACTCTCAAAGACACAAATTTGGATTTAAAATAAAATAAAAAAACTTTTCCAATATATCAGGCTGTATGACTGAGCATCGGGGAATCGTCGAGCTCAAGCAGAAGCGTTCGCCTGTCAGCGCTTCAGCGCTCAGCAGTGGTGACGTGAACAGTGTAGAACGATTGATCACTCACTCTCAGGTCGTGCCAGCGCTGCCATTCGCTCAAAGCACCGGCGATCCTTCCTGCACAATCTATAAGCATTAAAGTAACACTTCATACACCGGAAACAGCACGTTCCTAGCTAGGAAGCACTATTCCAAAAAAAATCTGACTCAGAGTTTTTAGATCACTGCCAAGAACCTCGCCGATGTAACATGGTCAGACTGCCGCCCGCATAACCGTTACACCAAAAGGTGAAATACTGAAAGCTTAGCTTTCAGCATCAGCGACAGTATATGTACTGATTATGAGAACTCAGGTAAGCCGGCGTGCTTACACCCGAGTCGCAGAAAAGTAGACTCCTGCCACTGATGCTCGCGCCCCAACATCCCGATAGGAAAGGTGATCATAGTGAGATTATTAGGTGCAACAGATCTACATAGTAATTCGATCACTACAACAATATCAAGGGGCCGCAGTCTTTGGTAGGGTTTCCTAAATTACAGTGACCAGTCTCTTATCGTTTCCCTCTCCTTCAAAGCGAACGGTAGTGTCCTCGCTAATGTATACTCCTTTTTTCTCATCACCCTGAATTCGTGATTCATATCCTCCGCGATACGCCACGATGGCGAGCTGAATGGGATCAGAAAAGTCGAAAGATGGATCGGAGGCATGGATTTTTTCTTGGATGAGGCTGAACCCGGCGGCTAATACGGTGGCACCCCAGATCACGGTGATCACCACAAGCAGAAGGATATACGTGTAGGCTTTGCTTCTCCAGCCGTACGTCATGATATACATCGTGCCGTTCGTCGGCCTCGTCATATCCGACGGCACTCCCAAAGCAGAGTATCCGGAGCGAAGTTGCTAGATCCAGTTTTCAATAATATCCACGGAATGCATGAAGGTCGCTTACAGTAGAGGCGAACTCCGCAATACCGCGCCAGTAATCTTCCTGCAAAGTAATTAGTCATGTTCATATCAGAGGAAGCGGAAATGGTCACCAGTTCGCTGTACATGACTGATATATTGTTGGCACCGTACGCGGTCAAAAAGTTACCAATGGGATTCGTGGTCATGGCTTGGTTTGTCGTCGCTTGATAAGCCATCACAGTTGCAATGTACGGAAGTAAAGGAAAGTTCGGACTGCTTGTTGATGCATCAATCCGATCAACAGATATGATGCCTCCATTATAAGTGACGTTGACTGTGGTCAGGTAGGGAACGACCTCGCAAACGGTCGTTGGCAGAAAGCTGTAGCCGCCCAAGCCAGACATAAAAACATCTGGAAACAGTTTACTCGCAAGACACCAAAAAGTATTAAAAAAAGCCGTACCAAACTTATATAAGTCAGATGTCATTAAGTTTGGGTTGGGACAGACAACAACGGGGAGAAATCCCTCGATTCCAACGTTGTACTGACTACTCACAGTGAAGTAGGGCTGGGCATTCGTATCTGGAGCTGATTAGTTGTGGACGACTGCATGGCAGAGATGAACGCACTTCCGGAACAATTCGCAATGACGTCCGACGCGATGAACGTGATATTCGGTCCGATTTGCGTCTGTGTTGAGTTGAGAGTAAATGAATTTTGACTGCGGTCGATTGGCTGGCATGAAACATCTGCTGTGACACCCTGTTGTGTAACAGTGTAGTTCTGCGCAATGCCTCTAGTTCCAGTATCGCGTCTGTTTGGCCAGTCGGGATTGGTATTAACCGGTACTCGTCCCCCAGAGAACTCCAGGCCGACGGCAGAGCCCGGCGGGTTTCGATGATCCAGAGTACTCCTCTATTGCAGGAAGAACTCCACCTTTGGAATTTCAAGTGAGTCCATCATCTTTAGGTACCGAAGTACTCACCAGTCGACTGATTGTATGAAACTCCGTTGAAGCTGAACATACTACTTGTTTGCACGCCGCCTTGATTGTCAACCGCAGCAATACCACTGAGGAGAGTCAAGACATCGATGGTTTGAAACGCAGGTGCTTGTACTAGAACGGTTCCTCTTGAGCACCCCAACTATTGCTGGCCATTGAAATTGAAATAGTGACATACAAGTGTTTGCTTCCTGGGCATTGAGGTCCGTACTCAACTGGTTTGCAAATGCAACAGATCCCAAGTCTAGTTCCGTTCCGGACATTGCCACAGGCCATTGTACAGGGGTTGGTAGGAGCAAAGTGCTCCAACTGTACAAACCAGCGTCAAACATATCTCCATTGGGTTCATTGAGAATAATGCAGACCTCGCACTCAGAAATGTGGCCATCGCATAAAACGCCAACGTGAGGGCCGCCAGCTCGAGATATCTACGTGATCGCGGCAATACCCAGGTCGGGATGCTCAGCGCTATTGCCATGCGAAGCTTCAACAGTGGTATCGACCGTCCTGAGAGGTAGTGCCGAAGCGCTTCTTTGATGGCAAATGTGAAGAAGCTGTGTGATAACAGAAGGGTAAGATTTCGGACTGGATATGTAGAGGAGGACGCACAAAGAAGTAATGTTCGACAAGGTAGTTGAGATCAGCGTAACTATCAAGGTCAGCACGGTCGGATACTCTACGATCAGACGAACGATATGATCAGGTAGTGCAAGAACCCTTGTGTACAAGATTCCTCCGATGAAGCCCCATGCCAAACCCATGATCACGGTCTGGCCGAAGATAGTTGCAAGGAGCAGATTAGTAGGACTCGAGCACTGAGAGAGAAAGCCTAATCAACGAGATCCCGGAGAGTGAAGGGGATTGGCTCACGATTTTGACAAAGTTTGCTAAGTCCATTTCGAAAGTAGAAGCGTGGAATGGCGATAAAGACGTCTGTCTGACATCTTAAGTATTGCTGCAGGGCGTTATTAACTCGGTGCATGTGTACCACAGAAGGCGAGAAGCAAGCAAGCGAATTCAAGTTAGGTCTAGGTACCCTGCAATCACCTGTGTGAAGAGGCGCTAGTAAGAAGCAAGGAACCATCGGACCTCCTTGCAGAACCGAATTGAAGAGGCTGCTTACTTACCACCTGATTGGCGTGCTAGTACACGCCCCGCGGGTGTGCTGGGCCCCACATCCGGGGACCTAGTTCTCGTCTATACCTCTTTCAGCAACTTAGACAACTGAACACTCTCAGAGAACTAGTTCGGCATCTTCCTCAGCGCCTTCATGATGCAGGACTTGGGTGCTGCCTTCGTAATCCATCAGAAACGTGATGAGATACAACAAACCTACCGCCCCGTGTTTCTCGGCAACACATCGAGATGATTGGCGCGCACATGCCGAAAAGCAAAGAGGAAACGAAGTCCCGGAAAGTTCGAGCAGATTAATCGCATAGTATGAAAGAGAAAAAAACGTAAACTTGAAGCCAACTCGAACTTGAAGTTATGTGCTAGTAACCTAGACTGGCAATGTGGCACATCATATGACTCGGAAATACTACTTAGACTAGCACGAATCAACAGGACTCGAGTCCCGACTACTGTACTTGGAGGCCCAACCGCGCAAGAGCGCTCCCACTCAACTCCCATTGAATCTTCAAATCTCAGTCACTGCGATCCTATTTGGGCAGTCGAGACTCGAGATAGTTTTGCGCTGTCCTTAGAGTCTTGACTGTCTCCAGCCCTTCGAAGGAGAAACTGGCTATATTTACTATCTAGAGCAGGGTCATGGTGATATCACGGTGAGCGTGTATAAGTTAACTTAGACGTGACGCATGCTGCCAGTGGCGAGCTCGGCTATAGGTGACCGTATCCTTACTATGGCCTTCAAAGCTTCACAGCGCCTGGCGACTATCGAGACCTTACTCCTTCAGCACGTAAATATTGATCCGAAAAGCAGTCGTCATTCATCGAGTTTTAATTGGTTTAAACAAGTTGAATCAACGGTCGCACATCGGCTCAGGCCACATTGTGCACACGCGTCGTGACGCTCTTCATTATCTCTCAGCGTTTAAGCACTCTGTTGCTTGCGCACATTTTGCGCCTGGAAGACTCGTGCTGAGAGTAATATACCGGTAATGAACCATCGATTCACTTAATTGTCCGAAAATGTCTAAACTGATTATGGAGTGACAGAAAATGTCAGAAATGGACACAATTTTGTACACCGTGCTACACACAATGCTGGGCCACGAGCATTGTCGATCCGTGTCTTGAAAATACACGAAACACCATTATGACGAGCATATGCATGAGAAGATCCAAAAGAATATCTGATTGCACGGTTTTCCAGGCTCAGCAAAAACGACCATTTTGTTCACGATTGCGCCGGACAAAGCATTGCAAGGACTTCTTTCCGTAATTTTCTTCTGATAGCAACGTGGATACAACGCGTTATATCTGCACATTTTTAGCTGGCGCTTGTGCGTTACGCGCACTTCGTGTTTGCAAGAACCACTGGGAGTTCAAGGTGATTCATTAAACACTAAAATGGTGTGATCTGTGCTACCTGCCACCAAGTTGCTGAACTATAACGCCTACCCGGCGCACGTGTGTCCATGCGGACAGCATGGCATCCGAGTCTCGACAAGGTTTGATATCTGTAAAGTACGGTTGTTCCTAGACGGCCCTGTGATAGGTCCAGTGCCGAACACATCAGGCCCAGACCGAGAAAGTCAGAAGGAGGACGAGGCTGAGATGAAGGAGATGAGGATGATAATTGCCAGGCGACAAGATTGTCGGGTGAGTCAGAGCTTGTACCTTGAATTCAGCATAAAGCATTACACCTCATGAAAGATGAGTGCAGAGACCCTCGATAATGCCGCTGAGCCCTCTAAAGATTGGAGCTACAAGTGCCCCGAAATTCTTCGGGTCGAGAAGAGTCAGTTGCCACTTGGGATGGACGAGGGTTGACTGGTTTATCTTGGATCCCGTAGTTGGATGCAATTATGGTGGATCAGGGCAGTCCCTTGGACAGATGTGCAGAGAGTGTATCAGCTGCCAGTGAGCTGTGTCGTTGGGTTCAGATTCCAGAACTTCAACCGTTCAAGTTGGAGGACCTAGTCACGTGAATTGTCAATGATGACACATCAAGCTGTGTTCTTTCTGCACACCTAAACGCAGCCGAACATCCGAAAGAGCTACTGCCACTAGCACACTAACTCAACATCTCATTTGTTTCATGCCACTTGAAAATTGAAATTATATCTTTCAGGGCAGGTTTTTTCACTGGTGACATGAAGTCTTTCTCTGCATGCAGTTTGGAGGCTTTTCCTCACAGCTCAGTGACATAGTACTGTGCAGCTGTGGGGGCGCCGGGCTTCTTGCAAAGGTTGGCACAATGGCAATATCACTCCATTCGTAACTGATCTTTGACTCGGCATCTGAGTTACTTTGAACTTATCTTGAGTCTCCTCCGAGTATTGTTCGAGGTCATGTCACTCAATGGACATGTGGCGAACTTTTCGATAAACTCCAAGTCTGCGGTAAGCTCTCAACCTGAACCACCTCCGTCGACGCAGCCTGGTCGGTCCAACAACCATGGTGTGTTTACTGTTCCGCTCATTTGTACTACTTGTAGTTAAGCTGCGCCGTTATACCAGAAACAGTGTTGTTTTGTGCTAGTTGAGTGCCAGTTTTCCTCAAGTTGAAAACGAGTTATCTTCTCAGACTCTACCTGACTTTGTGTCGGTCCACGAGGCAGATATTCTGTGGCGCAACAAGACACAAGGTGATGGCCCTTTCGCACTGGAATGTATTCCTACCCTTGCATTCCCGTCGGTCAAAAGCGAGATTATCGAAACCTGACATTATAATGATCCTGCGTGTGGAGGTATATGACATTCTAAGAATAAGGAAGGTTTCGAGCAATCGAAGTTAGAACACAAATATACAGGTATGCGCGTAGTCCGTGCATGCCTCACCGCGGAGGGCCATTGGGCATGTACATACTGCCATCGCTATAAATGTGAGAATTCCTCCTTTTGAATACTCATTATGCCATAAAGTTTGACACAAGCGCCAGTATTTTGCAGCCGAAGGGCAATCTAGTCGAGAGCGCCTCTACAATGCTCAGGGCTACATCCCCATGTGTGCACGACTCGAAATATCGAAAACCCTAACGGCGGCTTCTGGGTTTGAGACATTAAATTGTTCCGAGTCAGCGCAAGTGCTTTACTGTCAGTGCACATTGGCCAATTGTGACGTAAATTTCAGATGATCTATGTATCATGATCCGGGCTAGCGGCGCACCACTGCCCACCTGGAAGACGCCCCCTTTCTTCTGGTGAAGGGTTTGTCCATGCGTGTGTGATGCTGAAAGAATCTGATTGACGCCTGAGCGGAAGCGAATAGACCCATCTTGCAACATCCGTGCTGTGCCGTACCCCCATGCGCGACCCACCTGGTAGATGGTGTTATAAATTTGAACGGATGCCTGGGTGAGCACCAGCTTCCTGCTACCCTCCGTTCTCGCTGAGCAATGGTTGCCATGCACCTCTTTTCATATTTTTGGCTTTTAGCTTCTATCTGGTCATGTCTGGCTGCAGCTCCCCCAAGGACGATCTCCAAGAGAGGTAACAGCTCATTCGTGAGCTCTAGCGAAGATGGATTTTCTGTCAATGGAAGGTAAGAATGATTCTTTTTATCAGCATATGGTGTACAAACACATCGCACCATAGCTCACTTAGATTCGTCGGGACCAACTTGTACTGGCTGCCGACGTTGGAATCGAACGATGACATCTGGAATGTGCTGAAGAACATATCTGATACCGGTATCAAGGTCATCAGGATTTGGGCATTTAACGGTTCGTCCATCGTCTGTCTACCGAGGTTCGCGATTTTAATGTCTTAATTGCCAGACGTGGAAATCATTCCGGAGAGTGGAACGTGGTTTCAGTTGGTACAGAACGGCACTACTACAATCAACGACGGACCGACTGGACTGCAGAAACTTGATACAGTGGTTCAAATGGCAGAACGACAAGGGCTATATGTTATCATGTCACTAACGAATAACTGGAATCCGGTACCTGACACAACATCTTCTGACATTGCATCACGTGATGTGCTTGATGTTCCGCGTAACACTCTTTCAAACGACTATGGTAAGCCAATACTGCACTTGATGTTCGATCAGACCTTGGACCAATCGACGTTTTTACAGGCGGTATGGATCTATATGTCCGTCAGTTCGGACTTCAGGACCACGACGATTTCTACACGGACGACAATATCTTGACCGCCTTCCAGAATTACACCAAGCAGATCGTATTACGCTATCTCAACAGCCCTGCTGTGTTCAGTTGGGAGCTTGCAAATGACGCTAGGTGAATCGCCCTGTGTATATGCTGCCTTGGAACATGCCCCTTATCATGTGTCAGATGCAACTCGACCCTGCCCACTAGTCCAACGTGTACCACACAAACCGTCACAAAGTGGCACGCTCTGATGGCTGAATTCATCACGTCCATTGATCCCAACCACATTGTCTCTGCAGGGTAAGTATCACTCGGTGTCGCTTCAGGGTTGTGATTCTCAATTTTCCGTAGAACATCTGGATTCCAATGCACAAATTGTGCGAAATTGTACCCCATTACACCAAGAGCTTCGCCTACGCCTTCGCCCTCTCCCGCACCTGGAAAGAAGCGCAGCAGAGTCATCCCTTTGGCACGAGAGCAGATCACAAGGCAGCGTGCTGAGTCGAGACGCCAAAACAGGGCAGCCGCTGAAGATCACTGGGTATCTACAGGTGCTTTGGTCGATGTCATCGAATTGCAATGTTTCTTATCATTTTTCAGCAACGCGAGAAGTTTCCAGCTCGATCGGCCCCACAACGGATGGTTCATATGGTGTCGACAGCCAGGACATCCTTAACATCCCCAACATTGGCTTCGGTTCTTTCCAAGTATTTCCCGACCAGAACACGTACGGTCCCGATGACCCAAACCTTGACCCCGTCCAAAACAAGATCAACTCGAGTCTTACGTGGATTCAGCAATCAGCTCAGTTTGCTGCCGTGTGAGTTGAAGTCTGGCTCAGTCAATGGCTAAACTTACATTCCTTTCAGCGTTGGAAAGCCTCTTGTCCTCAACGGATTTGGTCTAGTCACCCAATCCAATTTGAACGACTACGTCCCGTTCAACATGACTTGTGCTCCTTACGCATCTAGTAAAGGTAATATTGTCGTAGTTCAGCGGTTGACAACAATGTACTCATGTTCCTATCCCCGCAGCGGTTATGGGTGTCACCGCAGCAGTTATAGGATGCCACCACGACGACAAATTTTGCCAATAACACGCAACAAGAACAGGGTTACAGCTCAGTTTTTGCAGAGTGCGTAAATACAAAAGTGACAATGTCCGATCATGCTAAACTCTATTGCAGTGGGCAACAGCGCTGGATTGGGAGGCACCATGCAATACCAGGTCAATACTTCCCTTCCTTATGATGTATTTGTTTGACGCCCGTTGTAGTATGGCTCGACGGGCATTACCCAGCCAAGCACCACCACCCAGTTAGACAAAACCAACCGCACAGCGGCAGCGACGGGGGATTCACCTAACGATGGTTACTCCATGTACGCACTACATTATGACATCAATAGACACCTAGCTCACTCAACCTTATAGTGCTAACAACACAGCCATTCAACAAATTCTGCAGCAGGGCGCGCTGGCGATGACTGTAGGTTCGTGAGGACTATTGATTCTTGTTTGCTGTTTTTCCCTTTTGTGTATCGGTTCCTTTGCTCCAGAGACAATTACCAGGACCCTCAGATTAGCCTATGCCTGTTTTCTTTCTATTTTCTTTTTTTCGTCACTCTGCATTTTGGCTCAGATTTTGGTTCTCATTTGAACTTTTCTCCTCGTACTTTGTTACACAATTTACATTGTCGACGTTCTTCTTGTTCAAATGGCCAAGTCGTCAATTGCACTGACTCCCTGACTACTCTCCTCTGGCATCTTCGCCATGTCTAAGCAATGTTGGCAGCGAGGCAACATTTCGATGGCATCTAAATAGGGGAATCGCTTTCACAAATTTCCGCCGTCACTCCCCTCTCTCTTCGGACGCTTCGGATCCCAACAAGCTGTAGTGATGTGAACAGTGTAGAATTTACTCTGAGGCTGTGCCGGCGCTGCCATTCGCTCAAAGCACCGGCGGTACTCTCTGCACGATCTATGGATGTTTTTAAGTAACACCTCATAAACCGGAAACGGCACGATCTAGCCATCAAGCACTATCCCAAAGTGTCTGATTCACAGCTTTTAGATCACTGTCAAGAACCTCGCAGAAAAGTGGACTCGTGACCTCGACCTGCCACTGGATGCAGAGGCTCGCGCGCCAACATCCCGGTAGGAAAGGCAATTATTATGACATTATTAGGTGCAACAGATCTAGTAATTCGATCACTATGAACAATATCAAGGGGCCGCAATCTTTGTTAGAGGTTTCTAAACTACAGTAACTAATCTCTTGCTAATTTTCCTTCCCCCTTCGTCAGCTACATCTTCAAAGCGAACGGTGATGTCCTCGCTATTGTCTGCTTGGTTTCTATCACCTTCGCGAAGCTGTGATTCAAATCTTCCGCCGGACGCCGCGATGATGAGATGAATGGGATCAGAAAAGTCGAAAGATGGATCGGAGGCGTGGATTTTTTCTTGGATGAGGCTGTACCCGGCGGCTAATACGGTGGTGCCCCAGATCATGGTGATCACCACAAGCAGAAGGATATATGTGTGGGCTTGGCTTCGCCAGCCGTACGTCGTGATATACATCGTGCCGTTCGTCGGCCTCGTCATATTCGACGGAACTCCCGAAGCAGAGTATCCGGAGCGAAGTTGCTAGATGCAGTGTTCAATAATATCCACGGAACACATAAAGGTCGCTTACAGTGGAGGCGAACTCTGTAATACCGCGCCAGTAATCTTCCTGCAGAGTAATCAGTCATCGTGATATCAGAGGAAGCGAAAACAGTCACCAGTTCGCTGCGCATGACTGATACATTGCCGGTACCGTACGCGGTCAAAAAGTCACCAATTGTATTCGTTGTCATGGCTTGATTTGACCCCGATTGATAAGCCATCACGGTTGCGATGTACTGAGATAAAGGAAAATTCGGACTGCTCGTTGATGTATCAATCCGATCGACAGATATTATACCTCCATTATAAGTGACGTTGACTGTGGTTAGGTAGGGAACGACTTCGCAAATGGTCGTTGGCAGAAAGTTATACTTGTACAAGCCGGACATAAAAATATCTGCAAAGAGTTTACTTGCAAGACACCGAGGAATATAACAAAAGCCGTACCGAATTTATAGGGGGTAAATGTCGTCGAGTTTGGGTTGGGACATACAACAACGGGGAGAAATCCCTCGGTTGCATTGTCCATCTGACCGCTTAGGTCGCCAGCGGTGAAGAAGAGCTGTGAATTTGAATCTGGAGCTAATCAGCTATGAACGAGTTCATGGCAGAGATGAACGTACTTCCGGAACAATTCACCACGGCTTCCCACGTGAAGAACGTGTTAGTCGGTCCTAGCGTCTGTATTGGGTCGACAGTAAATGTATTTTGACTGCGGTCGATCGGCTGACATGAAACATTTGCTGTGACACCCTGCTGTGTAATAGTATAGTTCTTCGCAATGCCTTGAGTGCCTGCATCGCGTCCGAGGTGTCCCCAGTCGAAAGTGGTATTAACCGGTACCCGTCCCCCAGAAAACGCTAGGCCAACGTTAGAACCCGGTGGGTTTGATGATCCAGAGTACTCCTCTATCGCAGGAAGAATTCCACCTTTGGAATTTCAAGTAAGCCCATCATCTTTAGGTGCCGAAGTACTCACCAGTCGACTGATTGTATGAAACTCCGTTGAAGCTGAATATACTACTCGTTTGCACACCTCCTTGAATGTCAACCGCAGCAATACCACCGAGGAGAGTCAAGACATTGATGGTTTCAAACGCAGGTGCTTGTACTAGAACGGTTCCTCTTGAGGACCCCAACTGTTGCTGGCCATTGAAATTGAAAAAGTGACATACCAGTGTTCGCTTGCACGGCATTAATGTCCGTACTCAACTGGTTTACGAACGCAGCAGATCCCAAGTCAAGTTCCGTTCCGAATGTTGACACAGGCCATTGGACAAGGGTGGGTAGGAGTAAAGTGCTCCAACTATACGAACCAGAGTCAAACATATCCCCGCTGGATTCATTGAGAATAGTGCATACCTCGTGTTCAGAAATGTGATCACCGCATAAACGGCCAATGTGAGGGCCGACAGCTTGAGAGATCTCCATCGCAATACCCAGGTGGGCCTGCTCAGCGCTATTGCAGTGCGAAGCTTGAACAGTGTCATCGGCCCTGAGAGGTGATGCCGAAGCGCTTCTTTGACGGCAAATGTGAAGAACCTGTGCAATAATAGACGGGTAAGATGTCAGACTGGAGATGTAGAGGAAGACGCACATCGAAGTGATGATGGACAAGGTAGTTGAGATCAGCGTAACTATCAAGGTCAGCACGGTCGGGTACGCTATGATGAGATGAACGATATGATCAGGTAGTGCGAGAACATCTGCGAACAAGATTCCTCCGGTGAAACCCCATGCAAAACCCATGATGACAGTCTGGCCGAAGATAGTGACGAGGAGCAGAGTAGTGGCACTCAAGCGCTGCAAAAAAGCTTAATCAACGAGGCCCTGGAGAGCTATGGAGGTTAGCTTACAATTTTGACAAAGTCTGCGAAATACATTTCGAGGGTTGAAGCGCGGAATTTAGGTAAGGGCGTTTATCCAACATCTTAAGTATTGCTGCCTGCAGGGCGCTATTAACACGGTGCATGTGTACCATGGAAGACGAGAAGCGAACAAGCAAATTAGGTCTAGGTACGCTGCTGTCACCTGCTATGGTGGCCTGTATGGGGAGGGGCTAAAGTCAAGAAGCGTCGGACTTCCTTGGAAGTGTTTGGTGCGCTAGTACATGGCCCGCGGGTGTGCTGGGCCTGGGTGTCGAAATATGATGAGGTACGACAAACCTACTTGACAACACGTTGGGATGATTTGGCGCGCACATGCTGAAAAACAAAGAGGGATTTGAAATAAAGTTCAACGTCGAAAAGTTACGTGGTCAAAGAAAGAAGAGGAAGAAAACGTAAAGATGGGACTACTATTAGACTGGCGCTGCGCAGCCCTCATGCCCATCCATATGGTGTTTTACCTGTACATTTGTTATTCGCGCGTTCCGCGACGTGCACACTACGCGTTGCGCAAAAGGGCTGCTCAATTCTAAAACTTTGTACGCGTTCACTTGGAATTCGAGCAAGTTACTAACTTACGACATTAATTACCAACGCTTATAGCTCCTTATTTGGAACCGGATGCCGGCCGTTAATTCGGCCCAATTCAACGCGTCGTTCAACGTTGAACGTTTTGGCAACAGTACTTGCTTCATATCGATAGGCAAGAATCTAGAAAATTCACTTGGCCACTTTTATTTATTATTGGAGCGATACCAGAGGCGCTTACGGTAAGTCGTTGACCTTGTGGGGTTTGTGCGGGCCAGTACAAATGTGACGACACTGTGGCTTATGCGTGTAGAGGTATACAACATTAATGCTAAGAATAAGGAATCAAAACTAGAACACAAGGATACAGGTATGCGCGGACTCGGGCTACAGCTTGTTTGCAATGTGATCATATGATGGCAAGTCGTCGTATTCGTTCAATTCAGGAAACTTACTACCCTTCTCTATGATCGCTCCCATGTTCATACACCTCTGGAGTGGAATTGAAGACATCGCTACGCTGAGCCCCTATGTTCGCTTTGGAGAGGATGAAATTGGCCACGAAAATACGATCTAATAACTAATACACCGAGGACTCCGCGGACTTATATGTGTTGAAGACGTGCGTAGTAACTGTATTCTGAACGCCCTCTCAAGTTTCAACAGCTTCGTGAGTCGCAGTCTGTTTCTCCTAGTCTCATATGCAAAGATTCACATCGAGTCACTCATTTATCGCGAGTTCAATGCAGACTTACGGAACTCGATTGCAGTCCCTAGACTCTTGTTGAGTCTTCAGAAATCGAGTATCGAAGAGCTCCTTGACTGAGACGCCCGTTGTGACACCCTGGTGCAGATGCGTCCAATATTATCCTCTAAAATCTATCCTGCCGGAACCGCTCATCTTAGCTCTTACTCTTCGCATTGCCTCAATTTCATCCTCCGTTCGCTTACTCTTGCCCGGCTCCAGCTGTTTGTTCATGCCTCATAGCTCACATCATCCTTACACGCATCATTTTCATGGTGCTCTCGTTCTGACCGCTTCGTGGATATCGCGGTTACATGTTGT